AACCCATGTATATAACCAATTCACCATTTCACAATACGTAGATGTAATATATGTATACCCCTTCCCATCTCTACCACCCTCAGCCCCATCCTCATTTTCCCAATGCGTGTCCCCAAAGCTACCATACCACCTCCGAGATACAGCGTCTGTCGAGAACAAAATGTCGGTGTTTCGACTTCCTGGCCGCGTTATACAAACCACGTCAAAAGATGGTAAGTGTTGTTACCCTGCCTGGCACTGGGCATTAAAGGGAGAAAACAAGGACAAGTCGGTTCGGAGATATTGAAATTAGCCTGACTTGGGTGTCCTTGTTAATCTGAGGTGGGTAGGCACTATATCAAACGGCACGAATCCGGGTATGCACCTCGCTATATAAGTGAAATAAGCTGTGCAAGTTACAATGCTCTTATGTAATGTGTGTTTCTCCTTTTCCTTCACCTTGGGATAAAACACGTTACTTTCACAAGCAGCCAAAAAACCATTGAGAGAAAATGATAATACGAAAGGCTGTACACCAAAAACAGCAATGTGATCGATAACCTTTGATCTACTCAATATCGACCTGGTTATCGAAAGTGACTTGTTTTTTCATCTTTACGTATTTTGATAAACAATCCACCAACATGTCTTTATCTTAGTATTGCGGCTTTTACAAAATACTTAATTTTTATTAGTGTGACATATATGTCCCTTCTCTCAACACCCAGACATACACCCAGACATACATATATATTGTTATTTTATAACTTTAACGGGGCGGTCGGGTAGCTTAGTGGTTAACGCCGAAGACCCGGGTTCGATTCCCGACATGGGTACAACGTGTGAAGCCCATTTCTGGTGTCCCCCGCCGTGATATTGCTGGAATGTTGCTAAAGGCAGCGTAAAACAATACTCACTCACTCACTAATTACCTTAACTGTAGGTCCCCAGGAAAATATATTTTGTTAGTTTTTTATCTGCGATCGAACTTTGGAACAGTTCTCTTCCGCTGGTCCAGTATTCGTGGATATTTATGTTAAGCTTTGTGTGTTGTCTCCGATATGAAACAAACGTACATGGTGACGTGGGTACATAATGACCAGGTCACAATAACACCTTTAGTAATATGCATCATAAATATGCCATCAAATGGAACTCATCGTGGTCCCGGATCCTGAACATGTCATTATGCTTTCAGCTGGCACGACTTCGTACGATTTACAGTTAAGCTTCCTGATTGATTGACACATTGCAGTTGTTTTTTTCATTCAATGCTTAAGTGTTTTTCACACTTGCAAATGTTAAATATTGGCTCCAGATGCGAGTGCGATCATTTTGAAGACTGATCTCCAAGGTAAGTTGCATTGTTTTATATTTGTTCTTAATTAGTGTTCCTTTACGTTGAAGGTGAGGTGAAATTGGGTTTAACGTCGCGTCCAAGATTATTGCACTTATATAGCGACGTGCATGCACGTGTGTGTGTGGCTGCTTGTACTAGTCCGGACTGATGCCGATTTATAGTGCTAGCACACTGAGATACCATGCCGCAGTTTAACATAAATACCCCACTCAGACACAGTAAACTGACGTTAAGCCCGTTAATGTCGAGCGCCAGACGGGGTAACAACAAGTACCATCTTTTAACGTCTTTTGGTATGACGCGGCCGGGGATCGAACCCTGGACCTTCCGCCCTCCTGGCGGACGCTCTACCACTAGACCCCGGAGGCGGTCCCTTTACATTGAAAGTATAGTTATATTGAAGCTCCTGTTATTTATTCGCTTTACAAACTGCACAATTCACCATCATTGAAGAAACGAATTTGGTGAAACAATATTGTGTAGTCGTAGTCTAGTTGTAGGTGTTGTATAAAAGTTTGTGCGACCACGTTTCAACCGTTTAAAGGAATATGAGATGTAGGGAATATACACATTAGGTACTGAAATTTGTTGTGTATTTTGTAAAACATTTGGGACATATGTGCAGATGTGAGTTGGGTTAATTTCCGGAGCTTAACTTATGAAAGTTTCCATTAAAATCAGACTAATGATGAAACGGTGACTGTTGCTGTTAATTATATTTTAAATTTTTAGTTTCCAAAACAATAATTGAAATTTGTTCAAATGTAGGTCGTTTGGGGAACAAAACTCGAAAACGGTGTAATGTGTTTCAGACAGACTATATATTAATATAGCATGATACATCACGTATGCTGGGGTAAAGTTCATATATATAACAATTTCATTCATGAAAAAAGGTATGAGGTATTTCTTAATTTGTAGGTTTTTGCTAAGAATACACCCATATTATGAAGGACAGGATTATCACCTGTCTGCATCAGCTGTGTGCATTTCATAAGAGATATATATTTAGTGTAGCAAGGCGAGAGGTACTTTGTTCTTACTCTGGAACATCGTTCAAATATTAAACCACCCATGGTACTCATTTTCAAAATATTTACAGTTTTGGATAAACAGAAATCGCTGAATCGTTAATTATGGAGAGAGTACCTGTGTCTTCTTAGTTCCACATATAAACGGAAATTATTACATCTAAACTTTGAGATATATATATTAATGTAATGTAGAATGTCACTTGGTAATTGACGTTCTATATTCATCAGAGCTCTGAAGTGACATGGTATTTACATTTCAAAGATAATTCCATTATAAATGCCAGTTTTGATGTAGACTCAGTCTTTGCTGAAATCGATTTAGGAACAATGTTATATCGCCAGTTTAAAACCTAACCTGAACAAAATGTTTTTAACTGATGTAGCCTGTGGAACTCAATGTGTTTCATGTAACTTTGGGGGGCTCGGGTGGCCCAGTCGTCTAAGGTGCCGCGATTCCCTGTGCGAGAAACCTATGATTGTGGGTTCGAATCCCGGTTCGCCTCGATTATGTTTCTAGGTGTGTCAGCACCATACCCGTGCTCGTGGGTTTCACCGAAGTGGTAAACGTCTGACACCTGCATCAATTCGGGTTTCCCATATGACGCTGACACGCCGTGATAAAAACGAAATAATGTTAAAAGCGGCGTTAAACCCAACTCACTCATGTAACTTTGCATATACATATCTGACAACTGTTGAACTGTTGAATGTCTTTTGATTTTCAAACATTTAACATTTAACATGGAATCTTTCCGCTGCCTAGGCACAAACTGGAACTGAGGGTAGGGTGTTAGGTGATGGTGAGGTGAAATGGGGTTTAAAGTCGCGTCCAAGATTATTGCACTTATATAGCGATGTTCATGCACGTGTGTGTGTGGTTGCTTGTATTAGTCCGGACTGATGCCGATTTTATTGTGCTAGCTCACTGTGATACCATGCCGCAGTTTAACTTGAATACCCCACTCAGACACAGTATACTGACTCCGAGCCGACCAGCGCTTGTTTAAGCTCCTTATTGCCGAGCGCCAGACAGGGTAACAACAAGTACCATCTTTTAACGTCTTTTGTTATGACGCGGCCGGGGATCGAACCCCGGACCTTCCGCTCTCCGGGCGGACGCTCTACCACAAGACCACGGAGGCGGCCTGGGCAGGGTATTAGTCCAGTGCCCAACTTACACGTATGAGCCTTTCTCCATTTCTCCAAGAAAATGTAATAAACTAAATATAGCAAAAATAATTTATACCATCAATTTGTGAGAAAAGGGCTTAAGTTTAAATGTGAGCAGGTTTCGTTTCAAGAGTATAGTTTCTGTATCGCTTTAGGAATATTTTCACAAAAATCAAGCACACAGATCCCTGGGCTACGCAGAATTTCAGATCAAACAGTACACAACAGATTGGGGGAGGCCGGACATTTTGCACGAAACCTGTTCGACGTCATGTATAGACCCCACGTCATCTGGCAGACCGTCTTCATTTGTGTCAACAGAGGGTGAGATGGGCATGTCCCGTTTTCTACTCACACGTGCTGATGGGCGCACACGTGTCTACAGGCGTCGGGGTGAACGTTACGCCCTCAACTGTGTGCACCGCAAATTGCACGTGTTTGTCAGGACTTTCTACAGCGCAACAACATCCAAACATTACCTTGGCAAGCGCGGTCACCAGATTTGTCCCCGATTAAGCATCTGTGTTGGATCGACGCGTGCGCAGTAGGACTCCACCACCCCAAACACTTCCGGCCTTTCTTGTGGCACTTCAGCATGAAAGGAAGCACAACTTCACAACTTGATTGCATCTATGGGTCGTCGGTGTCAAGCGGTAATTCATGCACGTGGTGGTCACAACCGTCACAACCGATACTGACATTTCCTGTACCCCTGTGACATTAGCTCTATTGTGTACGTGTGTCTGTCTGTGCGACACGATAAATGTTTTGAACATTGTGTACATTGATCCTCAAACGGTGTTTCAATTATTGTTTCTGTGCCCTTTTTCAAACATTGTTTTTATCTTAAATTTTGAAAAACGGTGTCAAGTTGGGTTATTTTTTAAGAGAATATAATTCAATTGCCTTTAGGGGAGGTCGGGTAGGCTTGTGGTTAAAGCGTTCGCTCGTCACGCCGAAGAACCGGGTTCGATTCCCGACATGGGTACAATGTGTGAAGCCAATTTCTGGTGTCCCCTACCGTGATATTGCTGGAATATTGCTAAAAGCGGCGTAAAACCATTCTCACTCACTCACTTACTCACTCAATTGCCTTTAGACGGCCTGCTGTATGATTGGTTGGTTGGTTTGTTGTTTTACGGCGCACTCAGCAATATCCCAGCTACATGACAGCGGTCTGTAAATAATCGAGTCTGGACCAGACAATCCAGTGATTGATATCATGAGCATCGGTCCACCCATAGGGGATCGATGACATGCATCAACCAAGTCAGCGAGCCTGACCACCCGATACCGTTAGTCGCCTTTTACGACAAGCATAGTCGCCTTTTATGGCAAGCATGGGTTGCTGAAGACCTATTCTACATCGGATCTTCACGGGTCACCTGCTGTATGAAGGTGGGGTGTTATGAACCAAATAAGGAGTACAGAGTAGTCCAAAATGTAGAGAATGTTTAGATATGTTCTTGAATAATAATATAAATTCTTCCAGATGCGGCTGTCACTGCTTTTGCCGATTGCAGTGCTTGTTGTGTACCTGAGCTACTCGGAAGGGTGGAGAAAACCATGGCGAAGGCCAAGAATACCATGGCGAAGGCCAAGAATACCATGGCGGAGGCCAAGAATACCATGGCGAGTACGGAGTATGTATTTCAGGATGATTTAGATAATGTTGAAGGAGTTTCCTTCATATTCCTGCTGTACTTTATGTTACTGCCAGTAGCATTTACGTGCATCGATTTTATTTCTTTGCAGCTGTCGGTCGTGATGTCCCAGATGAGAGTGTTCACAGTGATCAGAACGAAATGAGGGGTATGACATTGATATGCCAAATTAAAATTACTATGGACAGTACAAGCTTAGTGGTTACTCACATTTATTGTAAGTTCATAATAAATGAATGAATGTCAGGCACTCTATGATAAAATGGTTGGTCTAACCAGTAAGCATGAAAAGCTTAAGGTATAACGGTTGATAAATTTGATATTGCCATAACCGCTTACTCAACGTATATAAAATCCTAATATTGTATACCGCTCATCGGAGTGCTGCTGGGAGGCAACAGCCAACAAAGGTTTACCTTTTTATGAATTGTTTTTGTGAGTGGCCTGTGCTACTGGTAGGGCAGAACATGTTAACCCTTTCCTCAAACACATTGTGTCACCACTGATTTTCAGTGATCTATTGGGGGCGGTCGGGTAGCCTCGTGGTTAAGCGTTCGCTAGTCACGCCGAAGACCCGGGTTCGATTCCCGACATGGGTACAATGTGTGAAGCCCATTTCTGGTGTACCCCGCCGTGGAATATGGCTAAAAGCGGCGTAAAACCATACTCACTCACTCACTCACCCAGTGATCTATTGATATAATTTTCACTGTTATAATACCTTTTGCGCTCAATGGATTTGTTTCTGCGGTTTGAAGAGACTGGTTATTCTCTTTCATTGACGTCTTATATATTACGCAGTTAAAGCTTGTTTCACATTATTCTCATTAATTCAAACAGTGACAACGTGAAATGTCTATGGTTGAATTGTTTACTTTCAGACACCATGGATGAGAGGCAGGCAACCGTTGACAGAGTTGTTGAAGGTAAACGTCGACGGTTTTCACTATTATGTGTAATGTATTTAATGTTGATTTGTTTTTGTTTTTTCAAGTAATTCCCTTTTCCCATGTTCATATTTTTTTTGTATCTGAATATCCTTATCTTGAATAAGTTGTTTATTACTTGCCCGTGAAGAGATCACCCGTTTAATAAACATACAGCTGTATTACACATTGTGTAATACCAAAACGCGTGCTCATGTACTCTCGGAACACGTTTCATGAAACATATTGAAAGCTCTCAACATCCCTTGGCTTATTCAACGACATTGCGTGTGGAGATGATAGATCACTGAGAGGAGCTTAAGCACACTCGATGACGCCAGCAACCTTGTTGCTAGGCTGACGTCACATGGCATTGTTTCGCCGAAGGATCTTGCAACAAAATTCCACAAATTACGTCATCAGGTATTGTGACGTGATTGTAAACTTTGAGGTGCAAGGCCCCGTTCCACAAGGCGATCGTGCTGTAGCGCAACGACAGCCGTTGGTCTAAGTTTAAGTATGTGAGTTGCGATAACCTTAACGCTACGATAATTTTGTGGAACGGAATTCTAAAAGTAGACTATTGTATGGTAATAAATTCATACGTTTCAACTTTTGACGTGTTTGAAGTATTATTTTGTTAAACTCAATTGTATTATGCCGTGGATCGTGTAGGTGTCAGCCTATTCACACCCGACAGTATAATTCTAAAAACGTTTTAAATGGCAAGTAATAAATAAAATACTAAACTCGCTACGCTCGCTTTCGCTCGTCAGATACCACAACTATTCACTCGTTTCATAAAATTGGTATTACACGGGAGCTCGTTTAGTATTCTATATTTATGTCGAAATAATAACCCTCGTCTGCCTCCCCCTTCCACCATTAGCCCTCCAGACTCTGGCCGAAAGACATCTGTCTGACGGAGAACAAGACTAGCTGTAACCTGATGGCGGAAACCAAGACGTTCTCCATCATCTGATGTACAGCTGACAGAAACATAAACGATGAAAAAACAAATTTGTTTGTCTCTTTGTTGATTATCTTGAAGGGGGCACGTGTGGCCCAGTCGTCTAAGGCTCCGCGATACGCTGTGCAGAGTTGCGTCCCTTTGGCACGCCAGAAACCTATGATTGTGGGTTCGAATCCCGGTTCGCCCCGATTATGTTTCTAGGTTTGTCAGCACCTTACCCGTGCTCGTGGGTTTCACCGGAGTGGTAAGCGTCTGAGACCTGCATCACTTCAGACTTTCCTTCCACATTAAGCTGTCACGCCGCGATACAACTTGAATAATGTTAAAAGTGGCGTTAAACCCAACTCACTCACTCACTCATTGATTATCTTGAGATTTTGGTTTAGTAAGTCGTGTCTGTTCTAAGTGATGCACCAAATGGGGCTCGACGTGTTTTATGCATGCATGGTTTCATAACCCATGACGGTAGTGTTTCGTGAACATATGATATTTAGATGAAAACACACGGAAACATATGGTACAAGTCAAAACAGAGAATTGCATCGGATATGATTTTTGTCACTGATGAGTCAAATATGGTAACGTTTTACAGTCTTACTGGTAAACGAAGACGACCTGCTAAAACATGATTAATAATTTCTCATTTCTTCGACGGGCAGGGGCTGTCGAGTAGCCAGGTTGTTAAAGCGTTCGCTCGTCACGCCGAAGACCCGGGGTCGATTCCCGACATGGGTACAATGTGTGAAGCCCATTTCTGGTGTCCCCCGACATAATATTGCTGGAATATGGCTAAAAGCGGCGTAAAACCATATTAACTCATCTGACTTTTCGCCGTGCAGAGGAAGTATTGTAAAGACATGTATTTCGTCTTCGACTTTATTCATACACATGAAGCAGGTCCTGTGCTGAGCAGGTACATAAGATTTGCATCACGTGAGTGTGGTATTCCTCCTGGTTTTCTTGTGGCTTTGGAGAGGTTTTAGACACATTCATTTATTGTCCTCACTCACTCACTCACTCACTCAGGTTGTCGTGCCCGGAATAGTGTTCTCACTCACTCACTCACTCACTCACTCACTCACTCTTTCAGGTTGTCGTGCCGGAATAGTGTTCTCACTCACTCACTCACGCTATCAGTTTGTCGTGCCGGAATAGTGTTCTCACTCACTCGCTCACTCACTACATCAGGTTGTCGTGCCGGAATAGTGTTCTCACTCACTCGCTCACTCACTCACTCACTCACTCACTCACTCACTCACTCACTCACTCACTCACTCACTCTGCAGTGTACAACTAGTATCACTATCTCTTATAAACATGTGTTTGTTGTTTAACGCCGCTCTCAGCAATATTTCTGCTGTATGACGGTGGTCTGTAAATACTCGAGACTGGACCGCATCGATCCACGCAAATTGTCAGCTGAAATGAAAGCTCATTTAGTTGAAACTAAAAACCATATGTTCATTTTGAATTACGTCTTCCGTGTACAAGTGCAGAGATTCTTTTGAGTTTTTAGCTGTATTTCATGTTTACATATTCCCTATAAAGTAATGGCAATGGCTACACTGGTGTACAAATACAGTATATTCTTCGTCCTTTCGTTGTCCTTACGTCGTAGAATGGATACTTTAAGCCTAATTTTGCTAATAAGATAACATTCTCTTGATCGACAGGTTAAGTTGTATCCGATTCTTTTTGCGCCTAGTGGTGAAGGATTGACTTGTCACGCTAAAGGCCTGCTTTCGATTCAACACACGTATCTGCAATAATATTATAAGACCATTTTGAGTATCCCCGAAATGGATGGAATATTGCTGGAAGTGGTGTCTCACTCACTCAATCACGGTACAATTTCATACATATATCATGGTTCTTTGAAAGCGTCAGGTAATTTACTCCCATGAAAATATGGTGTAAAAAAGACAAAAAGAGATTTGGAGTCAGGTACCTGAATAAAAAGGTCAAACAATGAAACTATTAATATTACTTACTACAGAAGAGAAAATGCATTCATGTTGTATATTGTTGTGCTGAGTATTGAGGGAGTTGTGCATTTCTTCTGCTTCCTGCACTGCACGTGTTTGGGTATTGAGGGGGAGGGTCAAAGGTCGTGTAGTTTTTTCTGCATTCATACAGTGCTACACCGCACGCGTTTGGGTATGAGGGGATGGGTCAAAGGTTATGTAGTTTTTGTTTTGTCACACCAGCTGTGAGACGATGGAATGTGAAAAGGAAATGCAAACCATGAGTCATATTGGGGATTTGACATGTTAAATGGACAGTGCAGAAAGAAACATACGGAAGCCTGTTAGGGCCATGTGTTTTTTTGTGTTTTTTCTTGAAATTTAAAAAAAACTAAGTTGAAATTTTTAAAAACTAAGTTGAAATTTCAAAATAGTATCTTGAAAAGTCAACTTAGTATCTTGAAATTTCAAGATAGTATCCAACAAAAATAAGAAAGAAATGGCCCTAAAAGGCTTCCGTAGAAACACGTATCACCGAGGCCTATTTTACTGTAATATCGCCTACGTGCCTTCTTGCAACACAAGCGCAACATACTCTGCACGCTAACAACCCAGGATACACAAGCAGGATGCTGTGCACCAGTGTTAGTTAAGTGTCGGAGTTGTCTCCCTTCCACCATCATCAGAAACTATCACCACATTCTCGTATGCCAGCTGCACTGGCGAGGTATAGAATTTAACGAGAACACACCACCGATATAATTTCCTTATTTTTTTACATTTCTTTGATCGAATTGGTTCAGTTTGAATAACTGTCAGAAGCAACATGTTCATACACAACCTTTCATAAGCAAATGTATACCGATGAGCAACTATCTGGCTTGGTTTGTTTTGAGGTCTGCAATTGCTTGGCTGTGTGTGTCCTTCAGATGAGTAGGTAGTCCTGTCGCATACTGTTCACATAGTAATGATCTCCTTACCAATGGCAAACACTTAGTACATTAATTTTTTTCTGATTTAAGATATGCATTGTTAAAGGTGCAGATTGCATTACTCAGGAAAGCCTTTTTGAAATATAATTTTGTTCAATACGGGCTTTGTACTGCCGCTCCAGGACCCTCTCAACGTCTTGTTAACAACAGCATCAAGTCAGCGAGTCAGCCAGTTCAAACGTAAATCTCTTTAGTTGTAACTCTCTTGGTTGTAAGTGTACAAAAAAAACAATCAGGGGTTATACATACATTTTTTCTGAAAAATCAGAGAAACGCAAAAGTGATTTTAGATGTATATTTTATAGATCATATAAACACTAAACATTTGGTGATCGACTGTTCGAAATCTGCAGACATCATTCTCATTGACCAAGGGTCCATATGGCACACAGTAGATTTTCAACGTGACGGTCATCTGTGCTCAATATATTGTATGTCAACCAATAGTGTCCAAAACTGACTGGCATCGTCGTCTCATGGAAACAATCAGAACCTGTGTTGTGGCCTAAAGAGTGTTCACCCACTCTTCCTGCAGTGATTGTGCCAACTGTGGAGGGTTCTGTGGTTGTTGCTGACGTGCTCGCAGTCGTTGATCCTGTGCATCCGATAAATGTTTGATTGGGTTTAAATCTGGAGACCTGAAGGGTCATAGCAGGAGCTGGATGTTGTGATTACTCACAAAGGTTGTTGTCAGTCTTGGCGTGTGATGTCGGGCGTTGTCTTGTTGGAAAACGACGTTGCATAATGGGAAGGACGTGTTGCCGAAGAATCTCATCCGTGTAACGTTGTGCCGTTAAATTCCCCAGAACTGGCACCAAGTCTATTCTACAAGCGTAGGAGAAAATAAAAGTTGTCAGAGGTTTATAGATGATTTTGTATTAAGAAAACATTTGAATAAAGAAGCTTTGCCTAGTGATTGTTCTGACTGTGGTTTTGTCCTTTGATGCTGAACCAGTCATTATGTCACGTAAGATCAGACATTGAATAGTGATTAGCATCATAACAAATCCATGCGAATCATGTTCACAAAATAGTCTCAGACAAATTACCCTCAAATGGCGGTCACAGAATTGGTTCTAAGTGATTAAGTGGTTGACAATATCCCTTGCCCCAAAACGTTACAGTTTATATGTGACACGAAAAATATAAGCATTTGACATGTGTAATATCTCCAACGGTAGCAATATAAAGAAGGTCTGAAAGTTTGACTGCATTGAATTACACATGGTATTTATTGTGTGCAACATCTATTGGGTTTTACTTATGTACTGAATTAAAATAAACCATTTTGTACTCCCCGAACCCTAAACCTGCAGGAATATATTTTGTGCTATTTCCTTATAAGTGTGCTGACATTTCATATCGCATAATGCCTACTCGTATTACTACTATTTTAATAGATTACCGGGTCGGTCGGGTAACCTAGTGGTTAAAGCGTTCGCTTGTCACGCCGAAGACCCGGGTTCGATTCCCGACATGGGTACATGCTTTCATGCTTCCCGTTTGAATTGTGGTTCTAGCTCTGCCTAAATCAACAAAAGGTTTACGACATTACCATGCCGGTATCCCATTTGACACAATAAAGAACTTCTACACCTGCATGAACCTATCACAAATAAGCATTCACACGTGTTATAATCATTATTATCATTCATGTTTGTTCCTATGGATACTCAAAATGGGTTCCTGTCTCTGAGAGGATGGGGTGGTCCATTCGTCTAAAGCGCCGCAATTCGTTGTGCACAATTGCGTCCTTTGGGAACGCGAGAAACCTATGATAATAGGTTCGAATCCCGGTTCACCCCGATAATTCTTCTAGGTGTGTCAACACCATACTCTAGATCGTGGGTTTCACCAAAATAGTAGACCTGAATCACTCGGGCTTTCCTCCCACATGAAACATACACGCCGTTAAGTATATGGCATGAATACTGTTCAAAGCGGCCTTAAACTCAAGTCACTCACTCGTTCGCTCCTGTCCTTGAACAACTACTTTAATTATTCTTAATGTGCGAATATACCGAATGCTGTCCTGCAATAAATCGACAGGAAAATGTTAGTTTCAGTATCATGTCGACTGACCCACAATAGTAGTATCAAACTACACATGGAGAGGCGACATGAGGCAAGCTTAAGTGATGTCATGGATTGACAAGGACATAGAAACTTGTCAGGATGCCACACTGGGTTCCAATCCTCTAAAATATTACTAATAGTCCACGAGCTACTGCACCCCTCATTTTCCGTGACTGCGAGATTTTTTTGTTATCTGATGCAAACCATAACAATTATCTCATTCAACTAGTTCACGGTAACCGGTTGTTGTAATGGATCATTTGGGGTCCGGGGAAGACCGTTTGGGGTAAGTAGGTTGTATTTTTTTTACCCCATTATAGCTTTGGCTTTACAAATCTAAACATCCATATTGTCTATAACTCAGTAACTATCACGCTCAAGATTATATATTCGAGAAAAGGATTATACATGCTAGACACAAAAAGTGTATTACTAGTAGAATGTCATACGACACAGCACTGTAAGAGCATTCTACTGGAAGTATTTTGTGTTCGCCATGGTTTTTTATGTTTTCACATTATCAATATAGTTTCGAACATATATTTGTCATGTTATTATTTCCAAACAGTATTCTGTTTTAAAATCAATAGTACAAGATGAACGTCAAACCAATACAATCATACCAATTTACAACATTTAGCTTGAGATAACACAGTTCTCGACATAATATTCACGTTGACGCATCCACGCATTAACGATAACATGATATCATTAAACTACAGTAATATTCTTCTTTTAAGAATATAAAAAATATCCGTTTTCTAGGATGTTTTCTGTGCTTTCTGAAGCTATGAATATCCATGAAAGATTTCTCATTTTCTTCATCAACTTGATTATATTAACAGTTGTAAACTATTTGTATATGCGTTTGGTATCCAAAATGTGTTTACTGTATGTTCGTATGTACATGTGAATGATGGGTCAACAAGGGTATTTAAGTTTTCAAGTCTGTTGTGGGAAAAGATCTCCAAACACCTGATGTCATGTTCTCAAGTAAACACTAAGGGATCGCATGAGGCAGTGATTAGGGACAGTTCAAATTATGGCCACATTCAACGATACCTGCAAGGAATAAGTCTCGTTTGAATATACCCACTGTAAACATCTTGGTGTAAATATACACAGAAAGGAAGATTGCATAAGAATTTTTTTCCAATGCATCATCGTGTAATGTAAGAGAATGATGGGAACTTGTCGTTGTATGACAAACGTTATAATGGGGAGACAGTTCATGACAGAGTGAGTGAGTGAGTTGGGTTTAACGCCGCTTTTAACAGTATTCCAGTTATATCATGGCGTGTCAGCTTAATGTGGGAGGAAAGCCCGAAGTGATGCAGGTCTCAGACGTTTACCACTTCGGTGAAACCCACGAGCACGGGTATGGTGCTGACCAACCTAGAAACATAATCGGGGAGAACCGGGATTCGAACCCTCAATCATAGGTTTCTGGCGTGCCTAAGGGACGCAACTCTGCCAGCGAATCGCGGCGCCTTAGACGACAGGGCACCCGTGCCCCCAGTTCATGACAAGCCACTTATGTGGATAATGGTCGCAATAAGGACGTTGGGGAAAGATCGTGCGAGTTATTTCAGTACAACGACTTTCAACCTGACTTTATAATTTATGTTATAGCATCATTACAGTGATATTATGTTGAAGCATGAGTGCAATACTGCCAATACATACACCTTATTCTTTAATGAGCGTCTACGTGTTGTGATGAAAAGAACGATTATCACGTAATTTCGTAAATTAACAAAATTTAATTATCATTTTCAATAAACAATAGTCAAATGGCATCAACAACCATACGAAATAGAGCGTCATTAATTGAATGAAAATATGCTTTATATATCCATGAACCAACATTTTGTCTCCATGGAGAATAAATAAAACACAGGATGTTTCCTGAAACATAAAATGTCATCTGCCGAAACATTGGGCGTAAAAGACAAATAGCGGTGAATATTATTTGAATGGACCACTGACAATCAGTAATGTTACCAGGTGTTCACGAAAAGGATAAGCATGTGCTGCCCTACCCGAAACACCCACCACTCACACAGTTTGCATTAAACAATATGAGTTGTTTTGTACTCCATACGACGGCAGCCTGTAAACAAAGTAGACAGCCAGAGGATCGACCAGGACTAGTGATACAATAGCGCATTTTCTGATTTTGTTGAAACTGTTTCACAAATGCATTGACATGGCATTCTTTAGTTTTAATTGTGTGCAGGTAGTGGTGAGGTGAAACGGCGTTTACGTCGCGTCCAATTATATTGCACTTATGTAGCGACGCGCATGCACGTGTGTGTGTCCAAACTGATGCCGATTTATAGTGCTAGCACACTGAGATACCATGCCGCAGTTTAACATTAATACCCCACTCAGACACAGTATACTGAGGGGGGAGGGGAAATTGGGTTTAACGTCGCGTCCAAGATTATTGCACTTATATAGCGACGTGCATGCGTGTGTGTGTGTGTGTGGCTGCTTGTACTAGTCCGGACTGGTGCCGATTTATAGTGCTAGCTCACTGAGATACCATGCCGCAGTTTAACATGAATACCCCACTCAGACACAGTATACTGACTCCGAGCCGACCAGTCCTTGTTATAGCCCCTTAATGCCGAGCGCCAGACAGGGTAACAACAAGTATCATCCTTTAACGTCTTTTGGCATGACGCGGTCGGGAAGCCAGACAAGGTAACAACAAGTACCATCTTTTAACGTCTCTGGTATGACGCGGCCGGGGATCGAACCCTCGACCTTCCGCTTTCCGGGCGGACGCTCTACCACTAGACCATGGAGGCGCTCCCGTGTGCAGGGATTTGCTTACTTCCTAAAACGTATACTTATCGTGTATGAATTCATTTAAGTACACCTGTTTGGAAATGTTTTAGCACGATATGTAAAGACTTCGCGAATAACGAATCGATATAATGCTTATGAACCCTTGTCATTTCTAATAGAATTACTTTGAACATGCAGGCAGCAAAATAACGGTTTACATGTCATGGCGTTGTCGATTTACATTATATACTCACTCATAAATGTATCTTTCTCAATTTGTTTTCTTTTCTGTTACAGAATACCACTAAGGCCTTGAAGTATTGATTGTAGCACTTTGGCACACTGACCCTGGTGATGGCTTGGTTTAAGCAAATCTTCTGTATGTCATGCCTTGTAGCAAATGGTAAGATCGTGTATCAATCTTCTCGTGAAGCACAGATTTTGTTTGCTTAAAGGGTGTTATTATAAAACGTCAACGCTAGAGAATCACAATGGAAGTAAACCGATGTTGTTCTAACATGTTGAATATCTGAAATACCGTGCATTTTTTACAATAATAAATTTCTTCTTCATGTTATTCTTAATTATATATTGAAGTGATGTGAAATGAGGATTATTGCACTTATATTGCGATGTGTAACTGGGTGCGTGCATATGGCTGCTTGTACTAGTTATGCCGGTCTTATAGTGCTATTCCACTGATATAGGATATCACTGAGCCGGTCAGTCGTTGTTAATCCCCTTAATGTGTGAGTGAGTGAGTGAGTGAGTGAATATGGTTTTATGCCGCTTTTAGCAATATTCCAGCAATATCACGGCGGGGGACACCAGAAATGGGCTTCACACATTGTACCCATGTCGGGAATCGAACCCGGGCCTCGGCGTGACGAGCGAACGCTTTAACCACTAGGCTACCCGATCGCCCCTCAATCCCTTTAATGCCGAGTACCAGGCAGAGTAACAACAGGTACCTTTTAACGGGTTTTGGATTGACAAGATCGGCGATCCTTTCCGCTATATTCACTAGACCACGGATGCGCTGTCCACATTGAGAGTAGTTGTTTGTAAAAATAATTTGAAATATAAATAATTTTCTCAGCTTGTGTTATAAAATGTTTCACCGCTTCTGTCGCCAAGATTCCTTGTGGCGGTGATGAGTCTTGTGTTGTAGGTCTACCTCGCTGTATCAACAACTCCATAATATAGCGACCAGTTAGAAAAGGCAATAAATAACACAAGTGGCACTTTGGCACTGTTTTTTTTCTCTAGATACGTTTCGCTCATCGTTATTATAAAATCTGTATCAAAGAAAATGCACTTTTATTTAATTAACATGTTTTCCTTTCGTAAATATTTTTGACGTGTCCTCTGAAATTGCATTTTCTACTTTTTGACAGCTCTTACAACCATTACTCCATGCAGTAACTGTGACGGTAACAGCGTGACCTGTGTTGACGGTGCGTGTCTACCTCGCTGTGTCAGTGTGACGTCATCTATAGAGTGTTTCCAGTGTCGGGACTCCAGGTTCTATGGTAAACAGTGTGAACTTGACTGTCCAGACACCTGTCTCAACTCTCGCTGTCAGATGGACAACACCCGTGTTGTATGTACAGAGGGATGTGTCGCCGGCAAGAAGGGAGATAACTGTGGTGCGCCCTGTCCTACAGCCTGTACACAGTGTGAACGTTATGGTGATGGTTGTACAGGACCGTGTCAGAATCCCCGGTTTTACGGTCCACACTGTAGAACACCTTGTTCCTCCAGCTGTACAGATGGATGCAATAGGATCACGGGGGAGTGTGACAGCTGTGAGCCAGGTTTCACAGGGGACAAGTGCGATGTCACCTGTCCCCCAAACTGTAGAGATGGATGTGACAAAGACACGGGGGAGTGTGACAGCTGTGAGCCAGGTTACAGAGGGAAGTACTGTGACAGCTGTGAGCCAGGTTACAGAGGGAAGAACTGTAATGATGCCTGTCCCTCAAGCTGTAGGGATGGATGTGATAAGGAGATCGGAAAGTGTGAGGGTTGTAATCCAGGGAACAGTGGGGAGTACTGTAATGTCTCCTGTCCTATCACCTGTAGGGAAGGATGTGACCAAGACGGCGGTTGCAACGAGACAGGTAAATTGTACACATTTTATGTCTTACAATTCCGAAAGGACATAGACAAATTTCGAATGCAGTTGTGTTGTGGGACATTGTGACAGTTGTGATACTAGAAATGTTGTTCACGTCCAGGTAAGTTGTACACATTTTATTTTATTACTAGCAATTCCTCAAGGAAATAGACAAATGACGAAAGTAGTTGTATTGTGATGGTGTGATAAAATCTGTAAAGTTTAATGTTACCTGTCCCCCCAACTGTAGAGATGGATGTTACAGGCGCACAGGGGAATGCAAAATTGGAAATGGTAAGTGTCAAGGTTTTTATGTATATGATGGACATACATACAGTAAATTAACATTCACATGGAAACAGGTGACGGTTTCATGAAGTTAAAGGAACATCCAGTTATAGTTATTAATTTACTTTATGTACATATTTCATTGGGTAACAATGTTCCCACGAACTGTCTGTAACGAATGTGTACTGAATAATACGCGTGGCATTTTGGAGTGAATAATACACAATTATCATCTGAATATATGCACATACGTATACCCTACACACTAGAACACCGCCGCAACTGAATAGAATTGAGCCCTATTTTGACTTGTCAATCACTGGATTGTCTGGTCCAAACTCGATTATTTACAGACCGCCGTCATGTAGCTGGAATAGTGTTGAGTGCGGCGTTAAACAACAAATAAACAAAAACAAAATTTGTGTCATAAATATAATTTGTGTTCCCGTTTTTATTCATGGGAACGCTTGACTGACTTTTGTGTATGTTCGTGAATAGCCACCCATGGGCAACGCTTAGCTCACCTGTCGCTAACACCTGTAATGTTCAAGTGTGTGCCCCCCCTCAGGGAGTACTAATTAGAATTAGAACTCTTTAACTGCCAGGCCACCCCCACAACACTTCGAATGATGCTATGGGGAATAATTTATTTAAAGGTTGCCCAGCAGTAGAAAATGCATATAGCAGTGAACCATTGATGACTCAGACTGTATTTTCACATTTAAGACGATATGTAATTTTTGTCATTTCATAGTCAATAGTCAAGTAGTACGAGTATTGATGGTTATTAGGCCACACTTTAGTTGACATATAAGATCACTCATTGTATTGTTTTTATCTCTAGCATCAACATAAATAGTACTGTTACTTCAATTGTTAAGTAACGTAAATGTTTTGATATAGTTAACAGACACATGTGTAAAACTTTCATAATAACATACTTAACTAATATATTAATATACCTATATCTAAATTAACATCGTTTTAACAGACCATTTACAAATGTAGATTTGAAACTGTTGACACAATTACAAGTATATTACATGTTTAGTGGATTTTTTACATGAAATGTTTTCCTATCGAAAAATCTAGTGGCCTGTATCCTGAAACTGAAAACAAAATGAATCAATATGGAGTCTTTCATAGGCATTTAGAAGTTGGAGAACATGAATACATAACACTTTTTTATGGATACCAACTTTTTTTATTCTTTCCTGAAGAACTATATCACTCCTTAATTTGCAGACATGTCTACAGTCGGATCCATACTGACGTCATTGGCTGTAACTATCTGTATAGCGGTCGTTGCGTGTTTAATATTGAGAAGGTAAATAGTCAGCCATGGGTACGACATGGCAACGTTTGACTGATGGCATCTGTTGCTTGACTGAAAAGACATTATTTGAAATTTTGTTGAATTTGCTCCGTGCGTTACCGAAAGTAATTGATCAAATTCACTGCGAGTAATGTCATCTGGTCCTCCATCTTTCAGAATTAACTAATGATGTAATATAGGTTTGAGTGAGTGAGTTAAGTTTAACGTCACATCGGCAACATTTCAGCCATATCGTGACGAGACCTTATTGACATTTATAATGTAATAAAGGAGTTTAGTGTGATGGTGTACACAAAAGTGGCACAGAATTGGCACCAAATATGATCCGTCAAAATATTTAGCAATCACAAAACAAATACTAAACAAATGACATGATATTAAGATTTACAAATATATATTTTATAAAGATACTTATTTAGCAGTAGTTTGTCTTTGATGTCGAATGAGTGGTGAATTCTTAAAGTCTTCTTAAGCTGTTTTGTTTTCGAATATCCTCACGGCTAATTACAGATTAAAACTCAAACTGAAACGTGAAGCTGCTCGGAGTGGGCCTACTCCCATGAATGTAAACCCTGCAGTAAGTCTGGATGACATCAGTGAGGCGTCCGATGGATCCACCTCTAACCCTCTATATGAACACGCTGGTGCCTGTAAGTGTGACATGGATATCATGTTGCATACGTTATACTTGGGAATATGCTATCTTAGTAAAGTACAAATTCTAGTACATTTTAGGGGTGGCGTCCTATAGAGGATTCGAACCCACACTCTCAGAGTGAGGCACCTACTCGCCAGCACACAACCTGAGCAACATAACCCAATCAGCTACAGAGGCGTCGACAAAATGGAAGTCCGACAACTGATAGATCACGTACTTTATGTACCCCTCTGTGTGGTGGCAGTTAAATTTGAATCTAGAACCGGACTACGCCTAAAATAATACCAGAATTTGTACTTACGAAGAAGGTGTAATCCCGAATATAACATATGTTACATTTGACCATTTTCTAAGAGGCATTGCTATTATTATCACGCCTGCAAACCCAAAGTATTAATCTAGAATGGACAGGACAAAATACAGAGTGTTGACTGAAAATCTTAATAAGCGTCCGGTTATTTCTCCAGTACGTGTTGCCTACAAGAATTCTGATATTACATAAAAAAGTTACCCTACCTTAGCATCAACGAGGATTCTGGAATAATTCATGTCAGAATTAAGTTTGATCATCACTTGGGTTGAAATGACATGAGAAGATATGGACATGTGTTAAAACAATTAGGTTTCTGTTGCAGTGAGAAACCTTCCACACATTAAGATGTGCCCGGAACTGCAGGAAGACAACTCGGTTACCCACATGGCGCAGGAATTTCGGGTATTACTCTATTGAATTGTGGAACAATGTTTCGAGTTTATCGCATTAATCATTGAAAGACATGTGTGCGATTGTTGCTTCTACGTGGTTTTCACATTAATATGTGCATATCTTGTTATAATACCCCTTGATATTCCTCAGAATCTGCCAACACCTAATAACCAATCTTCACACTGTGGACGTTTGACAGAAAACATATCTAAGAACAGATACCAAGACATTCTGCCATGTAAGTAACCTGCACCTCCAAACCAAGATAAAAGTTACTACGTATTCATTCCGTTTTATAAGATCGACATCAATGCTTATTGGTATTATCATTGTAATCGGTGTCGTTGGCTATCTAGGATTTGTGGTCAAAGCGTTATTTTGTCAAACCATGTTTAATTCCCAACATGGATTCGGCTTGAGAATCCCTTTAATTACTGGAATAGTGCAAAGAATGAGGTGGATCCATACCTACTCACGAATTCGCTAACACTCTTCTTTAACTAGAGATTAGATATAGAGTATAAGTAAGTAAGTATGTACATGTATGTAGTTATGCTTTATAGGTCTATTAAATGGGCTATCGATACATCGATGGTTCAAATATTACTTTCTGATCGATGACATATTTGATCTACTCATAATTTCAAACGATTATTTACAAACCCTTGTCATATACCGGAAATATTGCAAGACGTCTACCCTGACACAAATAGTGTGTAAAGTAAGGACGTAGTTTGTAAAGACTGTGTATCTCACTGCAACTTGGTATGGGTGATGTTTCAGTTGACACAACTCGCGTCTGTCTCACAGTGGAGAATGAGGAGCAGAGTGACTATATCAACGCCTCGTACATCGACGTAAGTATATTCACTTCAAGTGTTAGGATATTCACATGTATTTCGTAAACCATCCAATAGGGAGAAGATAAACTTAAGAAAATATAATTGTGTTTTAACCTTCTTTTTTCCACCTTTTTGTAGGGTTACGGACATCAATCAGAGTGGATTGCAACACAAGGTAGTTATACGCATGTATTTTGGTTGGTTGGTTGGTTTGTTGTTTAACGCCGCACTCAGCAATATTCCAGCTATATGACGGCGGTCTGTAAATAATCGAGTCTGGACCAGACAATCCAGTGATTAATATCATGAGCACCGATCCACGCAATTTGGATCGATGACATGCATCAACCAAGTCAGCGATCCCGTAAGTCGCCTGTTACGACAAGCATAATCACCTTTTACGGCAAGCATGGGTTGCTGAAGACTCGGAATCTTCACGGGTCTGTACGCATGTATACTATTGCATGTTTGCACACAATATAACATATAGGAATTCCTTCAAATATATATATTACAGCAATTTTCAGTAAATACTCAAGCACATTACCATGAAGCATGCTGTGTAATGCTCTCCTGACAATTTTATCATCCAACCGATCCTCGACCTGTTATGAACATCTGTTATGAACATCTGTTATGAACATATGTTGGTACAACACCTTCTGTGGGGATAACTGTTTTAATTTCTATTGAGCACAGGTCCGCCTAGCCACTTGATGTTGGACTTCTGGAGAATGATCTGGCAGGTTGAAGCCACCAAGATTGTAATGCTGACAAGACTTGTAGAAGCAGGATTTGTAAGTGGTATATGGGCGTTAAATCTTTCCAAAGAGGTTTCCCCATTAAGAGGTATTACAATTCATGTTTGTATAAATAATTTTTATAATTTAGTTTCATTCAGCTTTGGAGAGTAGTTTTATGCTAACAGTGATACTATATCTCATCGCTACACAACGTCATTTATCTGCCTTAATTCTTGACCGTTACTCTGTTCAGATCCAATGAAACCTCATTTCTTAGCATTCCCTTGAAATAGTCCGGGTAAACGAATGTCCGTATTAACGTATTATGGGTTCGGTGTAAAGTTTATCATAAGTTAGAGTTTTCTCAAAAGTAATCTTTCGGAAAGCGGGCTTCATTATCAAAGGGATCAAGACTAACGATGCTTCACCGGTTTCATGCCTTCATTGTAGGTAAAGTGTGACAAGTACTGGCCATGCTGCAGCATGGACTGCAAGACTTACGGGGATGTGTCCGTCCAGTGCGTGGAGGAGAGGGTGTTTGAACATTACACTACACGACAATTCGCCGTTTGGAAAGTAATTAATATTTAGTCTCTTGTGACTTAATTGCTTCTCCATCGCATTGAAACATTACAAACGTTACATTGTTTTCACGGTATGATCTTAATTCATAAAAACGTGTTTAACAGGCCAACTCCCAAACAAGGAAGATCAACCACTTGCACTACACATCCTGGCCGGCCCATGGTGTACCCGATGAAGTGGCTACTCTCATTGACTTCTATAAGGTGGTCAAGAACACGGATGCAGATGAAGAAGGCCCAACAGTGGTGCATTGCAGGTACACTCAAGTTTCAATGTTGAGCCTATGCATTTCAAGATATCAAAATTTGTACCAACATCATTCTGTCGAGCTTAACTACAGAAGTATCTTTCGCACACATATATCGAAATGCGTTTTTCATTTTTTAGAACATTGGGAAAAACATGTGAAATGCTTGACTTCCCTATAGATAACATGTTCGAAAAATGTGGTGATAGGACATTTAGGCAAAAGGTGTCAATTGTGCTCCCCTGTGTGCTGATCTGTTTGATTCTGCATGTGAGTACAAATGTCTGCTCGGATTAGCGCAAGGGAATTTGGCCAAGGCATTTAACCTTTATACCCTTGATATATCGATTTCTGCTGGGATTTGCAAATTCAAAACACGGGACTTTGGTCATGTTACATTTAAGCTCCGATGATATGATATCGTTCACAAATTGCCAAATACCCCTTTTACTGGATTACCCACCTGAAGAAGTTGAGATAAAAGATACAAAGGACACAGTCTCATCTATTTCATATTTACATCTTTGCAAAAAGATTCAGAGTGACATTATAGTATTGCTCCAAAGTAGTGGGATCAGGGTTACAGCATTCAAGGCTTTCAGAAAACATTGTGGTAGACATGTGGAATATTTGCACATTTGACTCATCAGTGAGAAAAATGTTGTCAAATATAATTCCCTATTTGGCTTCACCATGAACCATATGTTCATGCTTAAATAATTTCTGTAATTTTTCTCTCTTCGTGTAATGCAGTGCTGGGGTTGGACGAACCGGAACGTTTCTGGCCCTGGGGTTTCTGATTGAACAGTCGCGGTATGAAGGTCAAGCCTGTGTGTTCGCCTGTGTCAAAGGATTCCGAATGCAGAGAATGAATATGGTGAACACACCGGTAAGTGGACAGATATTATCTCACACACATGTTAGTATGTGGAGAATGGTTCGTTATATTATATAGGTACCCAAATAATATTCCGTTCTTTGTCATGTAATCATATTGAATTTTTAGGAATAATATATGCATTTTGAGACTGCTTTTAATGAATAAATGTTTTGGATTGCAGGAACAGTACATTCTCCTGTACAGAGCCCTGATCGGAGCCCTGCAGACCCGGGGGATACTGCCTGACAACTGTAGACCTGTGTGGCTCCAGTGTCAGCGATGCTGGAACAATGTCGCTCACCAACCTGTGTAAGCATCAAAACTATCAATAGCAAGTGATGAAACTACACGGCATCACGTATGTCATATCAGTTTGTTTGTTGTTGTTTAACGCCGCACTCAGCAATAGTCCAGCAATATGACGGCGGTCTCTAAATAATCAAGTCTGGACCAGACAATCCAGTTATTGACATCATAAGCATCAATCCACGAAATTTGGATACGATGACATGCATCAGCGAGCCTGACCACCCGATCCTTCGACTATTACGGCAAACATGGCTTGCTGAAGACTACCCCGGATCTTCACAGGTCCAGTCACATCAGTAATGTGATGTGTCAGTTACAGCAAATTATATGAGGGGTGGAAAGTGCTTCCCCTTTTCGCAAACACCTTGTGTCATCTTTTCAGTGATCCATTCATATACTTTTGACTCTAATCGACTTATACGCCCAAAGAAATCTGTTTAGCGAAAAAAAATCAATATTTTCTGGCGTCGGAGCTATATATAATAGGAAAGGAATGCAGAAGGAAGCAATATCGTATTAACGCCAGCACATTCAATTGCTTACATTCAGATTCCCTGAATACAATTTCCTCAAACATTTCGCTTCGGAAATTAGTACGTGTCCTTTCAGTGGTGAGGGGGGAGATGATGATATACCAATAATTTAAAAACACAACTCGTGTTGTCATGACGTTCATTCAGCATATTTCACTTTCATCTTTCATATTTCACAGATGCAACGGCGTGTTGATGAGGCAAGTGGCAAATAGACCAGCGAATTCATACGCCAATCAAGATGCAATGTAAAACCGGATGAGTTCTCTTTGTCCACGCGTCACTCATAATTGAGCCGTTCATAACATGCCCGTGTATACCACATTGCCTACTTACGGATGTGTCCCCCTGAAACACGTTCAACGTGTTCATCACTGCATATTTGGCCTATGGTCTTACGTCCATGTTGTAAATTGTTTGGGACAGATTTTCAAATGACCGCCTCATCTTATTTTCCTCGAAGTCAGAGTCTATCTGCAATGATTTCATCGTTTGAACTAACCCAACTAAAGTGTTATTCCACAAGAGGCCCATTTTATTGCAAATATTTGGAGTGAGCTTTTCAACCATATGTTATGTCAACTGGATTAATAATAAGCAATGAAATTAATTTATGAAATTTATAGCTTATAGCGTCAAAGAAGCGATAAATTTTTATCTTGAAGCCTTTTTTTAACGTTAAACTTCAGTCTATTTTCCGCTAATATATATTTCTCACTTTTCATGTTCATTTTTTTTCTGACACAATTTAGTCCTCCCTCGATCGCTTATACATTTGTACAAACATCAGTCATACTCTGTCATTGCTGAAGTATATATTTTCTAGGCTCTTTCTGCAAACTGATACCAGTGTACACAATGTATGCATGTATATAAAGTTGTTTTTATTGTATACGATTATGGCTTCCCGTTTGCTCACACTTTAAATTGATTTATACTAACAATCTTAGTATCACAGATTAGTCATTCAGCAGACTGCTTTGGCCTATCATTATATACCATAGGAAACTGTTCTCAATGTAATTACTCATATCAAGGAAGTCATCACAACACAACGAATTCATTTACATGGATCAAACTAAAGTATTTATCCATTACATTCAAATAGCTATACTGTTTATTGTTTGGACAACAATGTATGCTTCCCACATAGGGGCGTGTGGTAGCCTAGTGGTTAAAGCGTTCACACGTCACGCCGAAGACCCGGGTTCGACTCCTCACATGGGTACAATGTGTGAAGCCCATTTCTGGTGTCCCCCGCTGTGATATTGCTGGAATATTGCTAAAAGCGGCGTAAAACCATACCCACTCACTCACTTTACTAAATAGAAACAGAGTGAGTAAGTATGGTTTTACGCCGCCCCAAATAGAAACAGAATCCATACATGTATGTACAAAGCATGATAAATGCAATAGTCCTAACCGACTAGAAATTTTCAAGATACATGTTAATTGTAGATTCATGTCAACGAAATCAGCTTCTATGTTTCATGTACAAATGTTTTCTCATGTACATAATGTTACTGAAAACAATGTTGATTAGTGTTATAATTTCAGGACAAAACAAATACACCTCTCTCCAGTTTATGTAGATCTGAATGTAGTCACAGGTGTGCTGAAATGGGGTTTAACGTCGCGTCCAAGATTAGTGCACTAATGTAGCGACGTGCATGCACGTGTGTGAGTGTTTGGTTGATTGTACTAATCCGGACGAGTGCCGATTTTATAGTGCTAGTCCACTAAGATACCATGCTGCAGTTAAACATGAATACCCCAAGAGCCAACCGGTCTTTGTTTTAGCCTCATAATGCCGAGCGCCAACAAGTAGCATCGATTCTTTTAACGTCTTTTGTTATAACGCGGTCTGGCATCGAACCCTGGACCTTCATCTCCCGGGCGGAGGCTCTACCACTAGACCACTGCGGCGGTTGAATGTAGTGATCAAGGACATGTATGCCCCACGAGCTAGTCTTATAGTAGTGAACTAATATTAGCTAACTGCATTTCAGCTCACAGGTACTGTAAAGGAAGGGAGACTATATACTATTACTATTTCATACACGTATGACTCTCAGATTGCTCTGTATTTTAATGAATAAATGTTAACATAGAAATTAGTTTTGTGTCTGTATTGCGCTGTACTTTGACATAACTGATTTGACATAACACTATACAAACGTAGTTTCATGAAACCCAAGGAAATGAAAAATAAATACTTGAAATATTTCCGCCTTACGCAGAATGTCGTTACAGTAGTTTTTATAGATATTATTCTGAACATCCAAAATGAATAATGAACAAAGAGACAGATTTTGAAAACCAGAATATTATCAAATACAAACTTTAATACCACATTTATATCAGATTGTGTCAAATACTTCACATGCCATTACATAACTTAACATAAGCCAATATAAACACACATTACTCCAGTCCAGCAAGCATGTGACTATATGTGAACCTATTGTATTAAGATTTACGGCGAAAACATTTACACGGTCTGGTGTCACGGATAACAGAATGTGAGTCAGTAACAACTGAAAGAGCAGAGTGCAATTCTCCTTTTGTCCTGCGGACGCGGATGTTACTTCCTCTGAATAGGGGCCACATTGAAACGGAGTCCAGTATTAAACGTTACAGGTGCGGACGGGGTGCAGATGTAGTGCTGCTGGTCTCCCTCAGTTGCCAGTGCTCTCTTTCTAAACTACATGACATATAATATTAAATCAATGTGACAGCTTTACAGAAAAGTTAAAATTTTACGTATTTGCGACTTGTGGAAGATTTGGAAGATGTAAAAATACATACATAATTTATACCTACTTTTTTTACATACATCTTGTATATAGAAGTTGTTAGATGAACTCCGTAATTACTAGCCAGTGCATGTGTATTGTCTCTATGAAGTCGTGCTGATATACTTGACGTAATTCTTAAAGCAACATAAGACAAACCCTGCACACAACAGCAAACGAAGGTATTCTGGATTGTGAACATGCCTTTAATGACCTGATCTTCTGGATAGTGTGATACGTCTTTCTCGTTAATGATAAATAAATGCAACTGACGATACGTGAAGTGAAGATCCCTCTCTATCATTTTAAGCCCCCCACAATCCCCTAGCAACGATGGATACTAGGTTATTCATGAATGATACTTTATACTTTACTCGATTAATGGGGCTACGCAGGTCAGCCATAGGATATATAGTAACTATATTTCAAAAACACATAAAAGATAAAACATATACATATTTCCAATAGTATCATCCAAATTATATTCCATTTCTGATTCGCCAAATATATTTTTATGACCACGATCAATGGATCACTGTGCACCCGATGTCATTCTCAGCTCCCCGGGGAGTATACAACCAAAGCTGTCTGTGAGGCGCTAGAAGGTGAACACTGTCATGCCATCTCATCCTCCCGGTTACCCATTCACTGATATATAGAGGCATATTTCGAACAAAGTCTCTAGCCTAAGCAGAGACCACATCTGATACATGTGCTTCAGCTGTACAGATTACTATGTAATCACAAGTAAATGAAACAAGGTGGTATAGAGTAAATTGATGCTTTCACAGGCTGATAAGCTTCAGCGACTGGTCAGATATCTACTTTGTCCATCCGTGTGTGAGTAGGCTGTATGAATATATTGAATTATAATTCAGTTATGTTAAGTTGACTCAGTGAATTGTAGGAGTGAATTATGTCAAATGCTCATCATAGATATTCTACTCATTGGTATTTAGAAAAAAAGTCAGATTTTGTGTATGGATGGATTCGAATTTACGTCAAATTTACGTAGTTTACTGTACATAACATTCGTGATTACTCAAAAAACATTGAATGTATAACATAGTGAATGAGTGTTGTTTGAGACCACAGACAGAACTTTTCACAACTATGTCATGGCGGCCTGTATATCATCGTGTCCATACCAGACAAACCGGCGACTGATATTAAGCAGCTATCTGTCAGAATACGACGACACACAGCGAACCAAGTTACCGAGTCTGACCACCGAAAAATATTGGCCCGAATTGTCTCATTGAGAGCGGTCGAGGTATGCTTGGGTATCATGGTTCTGTTTGAGAACTCACCCTCTGTGGTACAGTGAGTGACTTAAGAATTGAAATGACGTCGGCAGTATCTCTGACACATTGTGCTTTATGACAAAGGTATCGATCAGGTCGTTAATGGCATCATTACATGCACAGGGACACTGTCTCATGTTCACACACAGTCGAGAGTTCCTTCTTGTCAATATCTGCAAGGAAGTATTACCATTGTGATCATAAATTTTATTTCAAACTTTCATTGTCCCTGATTTAAATTTCCTGGGTTTTTTTATTAAAATTTTAGCTACACCGAAACAAATCCAGAATAAATAACAGATATTGCACATTGCGGGCGCAGCAGTGTGCTGATTTCGTATAAACCTCCGGACAAGTGATCAGAAAGGAATGTCTGTATGAGTCGAAACACTGTGGCGCAACGTGTATCGCGGACATATTTAACTGAAACTTAGTCCTTCATTTAAAATGAACCTGCATAATATTACCACACAGATGAACACATGTACACAATTTATCCAATCACGGGTCAAGGTCCAAGGACAAGTTGTTTGCTAATGCAGAAATCATGAGAACATGTCGATTCCGGAAGTAGAATAAACGAGCCCCGAAGGGGTGAGTTTATCCTGCTTTCGCATTCGTCACCGCTCGCCCCTTTCCGTAACCTGCAAGAAGACTCGTCCCCCTATCGATGAATGTTATGTGCGAAAATACGACAAACCAATCAGAATGCGCGTACGACATCAGGTACTTCGATCAAAGAGTCCCTCGGGAATAATTAATGATTTTACAAATGTCTTGCATCTGAAAATATACCCTAGATACAGTTAAATATGTTTAGTCATACTGTATAAATACCGTAAGTCGAGATGTGTTTTAAATAACATCTGGAATATATGACATGGGGGAAAATATGCGTGAATCATTACGCAAAGAGTTGACAATTCTTTTAACTATGCCCATTTGCGCTTAGACGGAATCCAGTCGCAAAAATGGCCACGAGAGGGGCACGAGTCGTTATTCGGCTTGTCCCGAAATAACACGAGTTGGTCACGAATGCTGCTTTCGGAATCATCAGATTCGACTGATTTCTCTGACATAAGCCATGTCATGTTTGATGTATAATTTATCTACAATTTGGTATAATGACCTATATTTGCCTCAGTTTTACTTGTTTAAGATGCGCGTTCAAATGGCTCAGAATCAGCTGCAAGAACAATAGCGTGACGTCATCCTAATGGTTTGATTGTGGATATTTCTAATTTCTAATATAATTGTTGGCATATTCTGTCCAAATGAATAATGCTCCAAATAGAATCACCGCGCAGGAATAACTTGAATGCGAACGTACGGCTACCCTCTCAATTTGCCATTTAAGTGACTGGGCGAGTTTGGTTTAACACTTCTTCAAACACAACATTTCAGTTATACCACTGCGTCGGCTTAATGTGGAAGGAAATCTTGACATGATGCAGATCGTAGACGTATAATGATTTTCATCAGTTCGATTCTCGGATTCCAACCCACGATCAGCGGATCACGACACGACTAAGGGATGCAAAATTGTTCACAGTGACTCTGAGCCTACAATCCTGTTTTACCCCCTTAATGCCGAGCGACAGCAAGGGCGGACCCAACATTTGTAAAAGGGAGGGGTCCAAAATATCAAAATCCTCTCTCAGATAATTTTACTGCCTACAACATACTACATTTGCTTTTAAAAATTAGTGTGTGTGTGTGTGTGTGTGTGTGTGTGTGTGTGTGTGTGTGTGTGTGTGTGTGTGTGTGTGTGTGTGTGTGTGTGTGTGTGTGTGTGTGTGTCTGTGTGTGTGTGTGTGTGTGTGTGAGAGAGTGGGGGGGTGGGGGGTGGGGGGGGGGGGCCGCTTATTGTCAGCCATGGCAACAGCAAGTACCATCTTTAGCGTTTTTTTGGTATGATTCGGCTGGGGATCGAACAACCTACATTCAACTCTTCTGATAATAATAACTGAAACGATACTACATGATTTTTTTACACGTTTATTGCAATGATCATTTGCTCAAACAGAATATTATGCAGAAGTTAACTGCATTCTATAGATATTTACAAAGTGGTCATCCAGTATATCTGGACTATAAGCTATGTGTACCTTTGTACAATCCAATTATCTCCAACTGCACGTACACATGTAACGTAAATACATATATCTTACATATCTATTGAAAGTCATTTTAGAGATATCGAGGGTTTACTACAATGGTGTGTTATGATTGTATATTTAGACACTGTTTGTAAAAGCCACACTTCTTAATTATGTGCAAAACCCATTCAAATATAACAAATGTAAATCCATAGAAAAAGAGAAATAACACTTAGACTAATACACGTAGATGCTGTTTTCTACTTAATTAAATATCAAATATTTCGTTAAATGTAATACTGTACATACTTTGCTTATTGTAAATCTATTATAATACATGTTGATAATATTTCGGATAGTGGGGTTATGTGGGGTTTTATCTCACTGACGTATATGATATGTACTGTAAGCTCGTAATCAACCTAGAATCAGAAAATAGTAGTGTTCAAAGAGTGGAACGTTCAAATACAACTTGGCGATATCAAAAACATACTTGATGCCCTCTTTATTCTTTTGTTTACACAAAGTGTACCTTGGACAGATGTCATGCTCCTGCTAATTAAACAGGGAAGAAAAATATCAGAATTTGAAAATGTTCCGCATTCTGCCCCGGTGGCAGTTAACCAGTTTTGTGAAAACGATTTCAGTAAATATTTCCGCCAAGCACGGTCCTGTGAAACTGGACTTTGAAACGAAAATTTATCTATGTCGCATTTTCGGGAAACCAACTCGAAAATTTATTTAAACATAATAATAATTGCTAAACGGTTGATGACAAATCACTCAGGAAATGAAACTTTTAAAGAATTATGCTAGGTCATAAAACACTTATGTATTGATGTGAAAACATGTGAAGAGATGAAGCGAACAATCCCGCAAGTAAAACAGATGAATGAAACCGTACCAACATGTCGCACTGTAGAGAAATAAGTGCTTAACAGTTAAGAAGTCCATGCTAATGTCTTCTGTAATACTCTAGCTTGTAAATGCCAATAACGCCGTGATACAACTGGAATACTGTTCAAAGTATCGTTAAACCCAACTCACTCACCCATTCACACTAAAGGCCAAAGTGTTAATTGAATTAAGTACATTTTCAATGCTTCACTCATATAACTGAGTGAATCATGCCACGGAAATATGTGTTTGAGTCACTGTCATCAGCATCTACTGCATCAAACTGAAAGGGGGCGGTCGGGTAGCCTAGTGGTTAATGCGTTCGCTCGTTGCGCCGAAGACCCGGGTTCGATTCCCGACATGGGTACAATGTGTTAAGCCCATTTCTGGTGTCCCCCGCCGTGATATTGCTGGAATATTGCTAAAAGCGGCGTAAAACCATACTCACTTACTCACTCAAACTGAATGATTTGTGACTGTACTGGCACGTATTATGGGCTTTTTATTTAAAACAAAACTGATGCAAAATGTCCTACCATAATATCATTATTAGATATGATATAGTGACTCTATGTAATGCTAAATTAACCAATCATTATCAAATACGAACCAATCTAATTTAATTACACTTTGTCCAAAGATCACTCTTTAGATAAACCTTAACCCCAACATACACATTACAGCCGACACAATTATGTATACGTAAACGTGCGGGTTACTGTTCTACTGCGTTAAGAATCAGCCTTGGCAAACAAAATTAGCATCACCTCTTATTTACAAGCAAACTGAAACATTACATTCCCCGTTACAATCGAAAAATGTAAAATAATCTTCATTTTATATTTTTTTCCAATTTCACTCTTTTGTGCTCATAAGCTGTTAAACGACTCAACCATTTATCTATAAATCTGCTAAAGGCAGAAACTAATACACAAGTCCGTCTATCTCATAACAAAAAAAGCCAGATATATGACACATGTCTATATGTTACTAAATACAATAAAAAAAAATCACAAATAATATGCAATGTATCAAACAGAGTGTATCAAAACATTAGCATTTGATTGCCACATTTCATTACAGTACAGTGAAACCAAAATTCCGGTTGTACACCCTTCTTATTGATTCCGGTTTAATACGTTTCCTGATTAATGTATCATGGGTGGAGCAATGCCCACTTGTTTATAAGAGTCGTTCGTACCAAGATCGCCCTGTAGGCAGGGTTTCCGGACGAACGGGGCGTCCGGCTAACGGTGTTTCACTGTTAATTACACATAATAAGGAAATAATACAAACTACATTTGTACATCATAAATATAGCGAAATGTTAGCTAATTGAAAAAAGGAATAATAATATCTTTGCAAATATCATCATACAAATACCCTAGCTACTGACTTAAAATAAGAAATAAATCATGATTTAAAATGTCAAAAGTATAAGAATACATGCATATACAAAGCTCAAAATGTCCTTCCTTCAAAGACGTGTATTAAAGAGATCATATTCTCTTAATATCCTTATATTATCTGTATTTTCATCTCGTTCGCGTTTATGAAACCAGTGTTGAGTAAGTTGACCTCGCATTGTTTTAAGACAATGTCCATTGTGTATGTCCATAATGACCATTGTGTACGTCCAGGTCTGCTGATTCTACAGGGCAGTGACCCAGCTAATTCTCCCTTCTTTATTGTCTGTGTTCTTTGGTGAAAGTCTCTCCTCGTCAGGGTGATCTGCCCCTCTCTCCAGCAAGGGCAGGGTTTCACTGACCACGGTAATGACATCTGGGAGAGGGGTCGGGCCTCCTGGTATGAGTTTCTGTCTATCCTCCAACTTACACGTCCACAGCAGGTGATACTCGTCCTCCTCGTCCACATCCCTGTCACCATCACTGTCACAGAAACATACCACTTACTACCGACATTTGCAACATGCATGTGAGGTGAGGTGACATTTGGTTTAACGTCGCGTCCAAGATTATTGCACTTATATAGCGACGTGCATACACGTGTGTGTTTGTGGCTTCTTGTAATAAGTCCGGACTGATGCCGGTTTACAGTGCTAGCTCAGTGATCACTGAGATACCATGCCGCAGTTTAACACGAATTCCCCACCCTGACTCCGAGCTGACCAGTCCTTGTTTTAGACCCTTAATGCCCAGCGCTAGACAGGGTAATATCAAGAACCATCATTTTACGTTTTTGGGTATGACGAACCCCGGACCTAACGCTCTCAGGACGGACGCTCTCCCATTAAACCGCAACATACATGTACATTGTACATGTGCACACATCCAAAACAGTCTACTTGGTGGGTGAGCAGAGTTGTAAGCCAATTAACGACGTTCAAATCATATCATGGCGGGGGGACACAGAAATGAGATTCACACGTTTTACCCATGTGGGCCTTTAGTATGACGGGCTAACGCTTTAACCATTAGGTTAACACATCACCAAATATACTTACATTGATTACATGTATACATATAAATAACAGAGAAACACATTTCCAAATCATAAGATTTCTCTACTAAAATCAGGGTCCATTGTACGATTCACATTCAATCATGCATTAATCAATCGCTATCAAATAATGATGACACCAGGTGTTCGCGAAAAGGGAGCATAGCCTGCCCACCGGTAAAAAAAACACATGAAAAGTGCACCTTAAAAAACGGAAACATGATTATGGCACAAGTGAAAATAGTGAATTAATCGGACACCATTTTTGTCACTGATGAATAAAATTTGGTGTAAATGTTATAACTGAGATTACCAACCTCATCTCTGCATTGACCTTGAACCAGCATTTTTCACACTGGACACGAATCGGCTTCTTGGCACGGGGGAGGATCTCAAGAGACCGTAGAGCTGCGTTCAGAATGCTGTATATGAAGACATACTGCTCCTGAAAAAGAGACCCAGCGAAGATTTAATTCACTGGTGCCACTTGTACTCACAACGTGTAACATTTGATTTGAACTATTTTAACTTGCAATATGATTCAGTTTAGCAATGTCAGGTTTCAATGCACTATATACGCTCATTATAAAGATCAATGTAATTTTAATTCACTTTTGTCTGAACCATTTTCATCCTCTTCCTACGGAAGTGTTGCACACAGTTGTAGACACAGACTCGACCCTCGCTCCTGGCCTGGTCCAGTAGGTAGTCCAACGCTAAGAATGTCCCAGACCGTCCAACACCTGCACTGTTTAAAAATGAATAGTGCTACTTTTCAGAAAAGAAGTTAGAAAAACATGAAACTGAACAATGGACATCTTTAAAACACATTTTGAAATACTTGACACGGGGCTTCTTTACAGTATTAGATGATTAACTGGTAGTATAATAGCAGCTTTGAAGATGTAAACCAAGACTTTGATCTGAGCTTGTATTCAAACAGTTTTGTTTTAACATATTGTATTCTCGTGAAAAGGATTGGGCACAAGTTATCACAACTTAGATTGTCTTCTCCCATACATTTACATGTACGCTACTTTTTGCAATTAATAAATTAAATGACACAAAGGAAAGAAAGGAAAGAGCGAAACGTATGTACATTAAAATTGCTCCCTCAAACCTTTTTTTTCGTCACACACGTGGGTACATCCATAAAGATTTTTTCGTTGATTAGGTAAAACTGTATTGTCAACTAACATTAAGTCAATATTTACATCACAAGTGTCTTTCACAATTAACAATAGTAATTGCCTCAATTCGTTTCTAGCTATAGAAACAACTCATACACGTCCTCTTTTTTGTTATGAACGAGGTCGTGTTTGAAAGTAATTAGTGTGTTACCTGCAGTGAATAACTAGCGGTCCTGTGAAATCTGGTCCCGTGTCTTTCACTGCTCGGTAGAAGTGTAATAGTGCTGTGGTGTCCTCCGGAACCCCGTGGTCAGGCCATTTGGTGAAGTGGAACTGGTTGATCACTCTTGTCTGTGCACCTTCCTGCAATGACATAAGCCATAGAGTCTCTTTATAGAACGTCTATGGGACGAACGTTTCATATTTTAGGAAGGGGTGGAGGTGCTGGTGATTTGCAGCTAATTCAGTTAACATTTTAACTAAAAACAATAGAGCCTTAATATTTTCTTTTTTAAAAACACCTTGCAACTTCGTAATATTTGTGGCAGACAATTTAATTTGTTCACAAGAGGCTGAAACATAATTATTTTTTCAAGCATTTTCTGAGACAATTTATATTTTCTATCAAATGGTCTGTCCCGAACAGGGAATATGAGGAACAAGTAAACTTAGTTTTGAATGAAAGTAAATATAACTTCATCCCCTAAACGAAATATGTGTATATACGGTTTAGGATACTGTCCTTCAAGATGGTCAGGAAACTGACGGTGTCATGCACCTATCTTCCAGATGGCCAGGGGGCGGAGGTTGTTGATCGTCTACACACCAGATGGCTCCGGAGCGGAGGTTGTACATGTAGGTCACCAGCCCTCTAGAATGCCAGGGAGCGGCGGATTGGGGTCAACTATCTTTCAGATGGCCAGAGGGTGGATGGTTGACGTTACCTATCTTCTAGGTGGAGTGGAGTAGCAGATGTTGCCCGCCTACCTTTCAGATGTCCCCAGAGGGGAGGGTGTAGGATGCCTACCTTCCAGATGGCCAGACAGTGGAGGGAGGAGGTAGAAGCTGTAGCTCGCCTACTTTTCAGATGGCCAGAGAGTGGGGGGTGTAGGATACCTACCTCCCAGATGGCCAGAAAGTTGAGGGGGGGAAGTAGAAGGTGAAGCTCTCCTACCTTTCAGATTTCCCCAGAGGGGACGGTGTTGGGTACCGAAGTTCCAAATGGCCCCAAAGTGGAAAGAGGAGGTAGAAGGTGTAGCTCGCCTACCTTTCAGATGTCCCCAGAGGGGAGGGTTTAGGACACCTACCTTCCAGATGGCCAGAAAGTGGAGGGAGGAGGTAGAAGGTGCAGCTCGCCTAACTTTCAGATGTCCCGTGAGGGGAGGGTGTAGGATACCTACTTTCCAGATGACCAGACAGTGGAAGAAGGTGCATCTCTCCTAATTTTCAGATGTCCTTAGAGGGGAGGGTGTTGGATACCTATCCTTTCAGTTGTTCCCAAAGGGGAGGGTGGAGAAAACCTACCTTCCAGTTGACCAGAAAGTGGAGGTAGGAGGTAGATGGTGTAGCTCTCCTACCTTTCAGATGTCTCCAGAGGGGAGGGTGTAGGATACCTACCTTCCAGTTGACCAGAAAGTGGAGGGAGGAGGTAGAATCTGTAGCTCTTCTACCTTACAGATGTCCCTAGAAGGGAGGGTGTAGGACACCTACCTTCCAGATGGCCAGGGAGCGGAGGGAGTAGGTAGAAGGTGCAGCTCTCTTAACTTTCATATGTCCCAAATGGGGAGGGTGTAGGATACCTACCTTCCAGTTGACCAGACAGTGGAGGAAGGAGGTAGATGGTGTAGCTCTCCTACCTTTCAAATGTTCCCAGAGGGGAGTGTGTAGGATACATTACTTCCAGTTGACCAGAAAGTGGAGGGAGTAGGGTAGAAGATGCAGCTCTCCTAACTTTCATATGTCCCCAGAGGGGAGGGTGTAGGATACCTACCTTCCAGTTGACCAGAAAGTGGAGGGAGGAGGTAGAAGGTGCATCTCTCCTAATTTTCAGATGTCCTTAGAGAGGAGGGTGTTGGATACCTACCTTCCAGTTGACCAGAACGTTGAGGGAGGAGGTAGAAGCTGTAGCTCTCCTACCTTACAGATGTCCCTAGAGGGGAGGGTGTAGGACACCCACCTTCCAGATGGCCAGGGAGCGGAGGGAGGAGGTAGAAGATGCAGCTCTCCCAACTTTCATATGTCCCCAGAGGGGAGGGTGTAGGATACCTACCTTCCAGTTGACCAGACAGTGGAGGGAGGAGGTAGAAGCTGTAGCTCGCCTACATTTCAGATGTCCCCAAAGGGGAGGGTGTAGGACACCTTCCTTCTTGATGGCCAGGGAGCGGAGGAAGGAGGTAGATGGTGTAGCTCTCCTACCTTTCAGATGTCCCTAGAGGGGAGGGTGCAGGATATCTACCTTCCAGATGACCAGACAGTGGCGGGAGAAGGTAGAAGGTGTAGCTCTCCTACCTTTCAGATGTCCCCAGAGGGGAGGGTTTAGGATACCTACCTTCCAGTTGGCCAGAAAGTGAGTGAGTGAGTGAGTGAGTTGGGTTTAACGCCGCCTTTAACAGTATTCCAGTTATATCACGGAGTGTCAGCTTAAAGTGGGAGGAAAGCCCCAAGTGATGCAGGTCTCAGACGTTTACCACTTCGGTGAAACCCACGAGCACGGGTATGGTGCTGACAAACCTAGAAACATAATCGGGGCGAAACGGGATTCGAACCCACAATGGCGTGTCCAAGGGACGCAACTCTTCACAGCGAATCGCGTCGCTTAGACGATTGGGCCACCCGTGCCCCCGACCAGAAAGTGGAGGGAGAAGGTAGAAGGTGCAGCTCTCCTAACTTTCAGATGTCCCTAGAGGGGAGGGTGTAGGACACCTACCTTCCAGTTGACCAGACAGTGGAGGGAGGCGGTAGAAGCTGTAGCTCGCCTACCTTTCAGTTGTTCCCAGAGGGGAGGGTGTAGGAGACCTACCTTCCAGATGACCAGACAGTGGAGGAAGGAGGTAGATGGTGTAGCTCGCCTACCTTTCAGATGTCCTTAGAGGGGAGGGTGTAGGAGACCTACCTTCCAGATGGCCAGGGAGCGGAGGGAGGAGGTAGAAGGTGTAGCTCTCCTAATTTGCAGATGTCCCCAGAGGGGAGGGTGTAGGAGACCCACCTTCCAGATGACCAGATACGTGAGGGAGGAGGTAGAATCTGTAGCTCTTCTACCTTACAGGTGTCCCCAGAGGGGAGTGTGTAGGATACCTACCTTCCAGATGACCAGACAGTGGAGGGAGGCGGTAGATGGTGTAGCTCGCCTACCTTTCAGATGGTCCCAGTGGGGAGGGTGTAGGATACCTACCTTCCAGATGACCAGACAGTGGAGGAAGGCGGTAGATGGTGTAGCTCGCCTACCTCTCAGATGTTCCCAGAGGGGAGTGTGTAGGATACCTACCTTCCAGATGACCAGACAGTGGAGGAAGGAGGTAGATGGTGTAGCTCTCCTACCTTTCAGATGTCCCTAGAGGGGGGGGGGTGCAGTATACCTACCTTCCAGATGACCAGACAGTGGAGGGAGGCGGTAGGTGGTGTAGCTCTCCTACCTTTCAGATGTTCCCAGAGGGGAGTGTGTAGGATACCTACCTTCCAGATGGCCAGGGAGCGGAGCGTGTATGTCTGGTACACCTTCTCCTCTACACACTGAACACTCATTCTGCCATACATCGTGGACTCAGAGCTGCAGAACGGCCAGTACCTCTCGCACTTCACCTGCAAGAGATAGCGGAGAAACACTGATTGACGATGTTGCTGAATATATCGTCTAATAAGCGTACTTACGTATTCCGTTCAAATATGATCCATGTAGATATTAATATTTTTCCCGAAGGCATCAGTACATATATACAAATACCGAAAAAAATACGGGAACTAATTGTTTGGATGTTGCTATCGTTGAGATTACCTCATTACATTAATTGTACTACGCAATCCATTCCTCTTTACAGAATAGGAGTTTTTCGAACAATAACAGATTGGCGAAAAGCAACATCTACCACTAAACACCGGCTCTATGCAGCCCGCCTGATATCAAGGCCTTCTGTGAAGGGTGTGACCCAAACAACTTACAATAAGTAGCAACTATTGGGGTAGGCTATAGACAGGTTGTACCCCACTATCGTTACACCATGTTTACAGACGAATCAAGGTTTTGCCTCTGATTCACACGTGGCAGAAAACGTTGATGGCGACATAGCGGCGAGCGGTATGCCAGGGCAACAATTCTTTACAATGATCGGTATGCAGATAGTGTCATGGTCTGGGGCGGTATCACACATGACAGACGAACTGATTTGGTTATTGTGAAAGGTATTTGACCAGCTGGCGACACTAGTGACTCAATTTTGCTTTCTGTCGTACTTCCATAAATTCGGTGCATAACATTCATCGACATTACACCTTCACTATCATATCATCAGTTCCCATATTTTTCTGTCGGCAGTACATATAAATAATATTTCTGATGTTTCTATTCTTACCTTCCCCGCTTCCACAAGGTTTGTAACCATGACAATCTTGGTGGTGTTCAGCTGCCATATCATCCTCCAGAAGTCGTCCGCTGTTTCCTCAGAAGGACCTGAAACAACGTGCTAAGGTTAAGTTACATACCCGGTACGTGTGAACATATGTAGAGGTACCTGTTAATAGAACACAAATATGTTAATATATCATCCAAAACTGGCTCCCACAGGAGATATCGCTTGGATGAAATCAAGCGATATCTACGATATCACTAATGGCTCTGCTACTGAAGCTGTTACCATTCCTTTCTACACTGAAGACACTGCTAATTTCTGTCTACAAATTGAAAAAGTTGAAAGAATGATAATGGATGATAAAAAAAATCTCACCCTCGTGTCTTTTGATATCAAATATATTAACACTCGTTGATGAAATCGGCAAAAATCCTCGGCAAGCCTCGGAATTTTTTCCCTTTTATCAACTCGTGTTGATACATTTGATATCAAAAGACACTCGGGTGATATTCTCTGTCTATTATGAAAATCGTAACAAATGTATGTAATCTAGGATATGAATATTAACATATTTCTAATGAAACAACACGTGTTTTATTACTTAGGATGGATAGGAATGAATACTACCTTGCGCTGCAACATAGCGTGTTTGTTCTCTGTAACCCTGTCAGAAAAAAACGTTCTGATTAAAACTACGAATCAGTGGTGGGTATGTGTGGAAATCAATTATATTGTGTTAGATAAAGATTTCAGGATATTTGGAAATAATTTGCTTTGGATAGAAACTGTTGGTAGCTGTGACTACTTACATCTACGTAAGAGGCGTTGATGTAGTCACTGTCATCTTCCTCCTCTATTACCAGGGGTACTCGTGTGGCATCAACTGTGAACATCAAATAATACATAACGAATCGATATTGACAAGGAACACACACACAGAATATATATAAATCATGAAAAGATGTACCTCATTATAATCACATTGTTAGGTTAACTTAGGCTGTGACGAGACCATTGTCTTAAGAATCTTACATATATATTTTTTTTGTAATCACGTACACGGTAGCACATCTTTGTACCGGTTCTTCTCGGTGTTCTCTTCCAAGGAGGCACAGTAGGTAGGTTTTATACCCGGAGAAGGCAGCTTCTGAAACGAAAGTTCAAATGTCATTAGAGGATTGCACAATTGTACTTGTGTCACTAGCTATAAGACACAATGGTAATATTAATATTGTTGTTGGTACTGCATCATCAATAAGAATATAAAACGTCAACGCTAGAGAATAATCAGTCACGATTATCTGCAGGAACAGATTCTATTGGACTTCTTCCCGAGGCAAGGGCGTTGACTGACTTTAAAAGGACTTTTTTAGTCAGTTAAATCCCTTGCCTCAGGAAGATGGTAAAGGCAATGATGAAATAATAATAAGCTAATAACCGCAGTAACATTTGTATTGCATATTTCATTGCAGCACATAGTGATCTGATTATCAAACACTCTGTAACGAAGACGTTGTCCGCGAAATAGGGGCCTCATCACAAGCTTATGTACTAGTGTATATTTTGCATCACTAATTTGCCTTTTATGCCCTGTGAAATCTGTTTCGTAAGATAATCACTGATTATTCTCTGACGCTGTGTTGAATTATACTCACTTTAAACTCTTCTAGCATGTATTCAATCCATTTGTCTCCGCTGAGCTCTTCACACACGTCAACGTGTAACATCGAATCTGATTAGATGGTATATCCTCATGAACAGTTTATTACAGCATGGTAGAATGTATTCTAAAGTAACACCTTGTAATGTCGGTCAAATGCAATTAATGTAAAGTTTGTATTTAGATTTCGACATTCAAAAAATGAATAGCTGTCTTCTGACTAGTGTAGCAATATTTTATCATCAATTTTGTTATGTGCTAACTCATTACCATTAATTTCAATATCAAATAAGACGGAAATTCTAACTGACGTAATTTCGACTGGTAACGTAAACAGATATACACAATCACAAATTCTCACCAGCACATGATGTATAAGTTGGATTTGAAGTGCCTGGGAATATTCTTTTCGGTAAAAGTTGTCGTCGTTTAAATCTTCTTCTTGAAAAATGAAACAAGTATATTCAGATGATTTGGCTATAATGAATATGCAGTATATATTAGTTCATTTGTTCTATGATAATCCGATGTGATATAGTGATGTTTGTCGTTACTGTTAACGTACCTTGTGTACATCAGAATGATGATCAGGAGGAGAATCAAAGCAGCCATTACAAGCACAGCTACCACAACAGTGGTCTTAACTGAAACAGATGACCTGCAACGTTATCATACTGACATGACTATGTGACACTCGACACTCCCATTTCGAAACTCCTGTCATATATATTGTCAATAGTGCACCTAGTATCTCCATTATGCTAACAGGGTAACTATATATCGCTGTTATATCAAACTACATGTAGATAAGGGCCACACTTAATTATGACCCTAATTGAATGTGCGGGGGAGAGGGGAGGGGGGGGGGGGGGGCAGCGATTTCTGTAGGCGCCGTTGTTCTTCCACTTTTCAGTGATGTGAATAGTTTCAGATATAATTTTGAAGTTCAAATTAAAAGGATGACGAAGTTGGTGCCCAGGTGAAGCCATGCAAGTTGATTTATTTTCTGGGACAATGAATAAACATCTCCGAGCTGTGGTACATAAAACTATATAATTATATAATATGGAGAAATAAAAAAAATTCTAAAACATTACACGTGTGTATGGTTATTGAGAAATCAACTCTATCCTCTGCATTTACCCCTCAATAAGGCCTATCCCATCAAGGTATTTTTGCTTGAGTCACGTTCTTATGTTCACCTCATCCAACTATGCAACTAGGAGAACGGATCTGTTTCGAGGTGAAGAACGTGTGAAAAAGATCGCTTAGCATGGAATCCAAGAAAGGAACATTGTCGTCACGTTGTGCATTGCCGCGCTTTGAATAATATAATTAACTTTACCAAAGGGCGACAATGCGACATCTTTCAAGGTCGATATATGTCGCGTTGTCGACCTTTGGTAAAAGTAAATTATATTATTCAAAACGCGACAATGCGACAAATGGTCAAATGTTGCGTTGTCACATTGTCAAATTGTCGAGCTGTGATTACATGTACATTTCTGCGTGTTTTTGTAAGGGAGACAACTCGAGAAAATCCCATCTGGGATTCCTCTGCTTAGATAGATAAACAGAGACTCTGAGACAAGATCGTCATCGGCGTTTCATGTTGTAAACATGCATTCTAACATTGATAAACGAGATGAATATTCATCTTCTCCTACTGTACACACTTTCAGTACTTTAATCAAATATTCTTATATTAAGTTTGTTTATTTATTGTTTGGTTACCGCCGCACTCAGCAATATTCAAGCTGTATGTCGGTGGCCTGTAAAATGATCATAAGTGATTAGTACTCTGTGATCAACGTACCATGCCGTTTGGGTACAGTGACATGCACTCAACAATGATACCAAATCCGATACTGATCGGGTTTATAAATAAGTATAATCGTATTATTGGATACTAATCACCCCCAACACCAAACACCCAACACTCAACCCAACCAAACCCCCAAACAAACCCCACCACCATGTGTTATGATAAATACACCGGTATCACGGTCGGGGCCCCGAAACACTGCACACATCCTCCAGGAAACTGACCCCACTGCTCCAAAGGATGATTTTCCGGGGGCAACTGTTAGGTGTCAGTTTTCCAGGGGACTTATAAACCTGATGCCATATTTCGTACCATACCTCCTCAATGACTTGTATGCTTGTCAGTTTGCTACTAACCACTGTCCTAATCCCCTGTGTCTTTATCACATCCACCTCTACATTTACAGTGTAACCTGGTTCACAGCTGTCGCAGTACTTTCCTGTGTAACCCGACTTACAGCTGTCACACTCCCCAGTGCCTCTGTCACATCCATCTCCACAGTTAGGGGGACAGGTAACATCGCACTTGTCCCCTGTGTAACCTGGCTCAAAACCGTCACACTCCCCCGTGATCATATTTCATCTATCTCTACAGTTAGGGGGACAGGTAATATTACACTTGTCCCCTGTATATTTCCAGTAACAGCTGTCACAGTTTACAGATTTTATCACACCATCACAATACAACAACTTTCGTCATTTGTCTATTTCCTTGTGGAATTGTTAGGAATAAAATAATATGTGTAGAACTTACCGGTCAAGATGCACCCACCGTCTTGATTACATACTTCGCTGCAGGTGATAGGACAGGAGATATTACAGTACTTCCCACTGTTCCCTGGATTACAACTCTCACACTTTCCGATCTCCTTATCACATCCATCGCTACAGTTGGAGGGACATGAATCATTACAGTTCTTCCCTCTGTAGCCCGACACGCAGCTGTCACACTCCCCCGTGTCCTTATCACATCCATCTCTACAGTTGGGGGGACAGGCATCATTACAGTTCTTCCCTCTGTAGCCCGACACGCAGCTGACACACTCCCCAGTGTCTTTATCACATCCATCTCTACAGTTGGGGGGACAGGTAACATCACACTTGTCCCCTGTGTAACCTGGCTCACAGCTGCCACACTCCCCCGTGTCTTTGTCACATCCATCTCTACAGCTTGGGGGACAGGTAACATTACACTTGTCCCCCATGTAACCTGGCTCACAGCTGCCACACTCCCCCGTGGTCCTATTACATCCATCTGTACAGCTGGAGGAACAAGGTGTTCTACAGTGTGGACCGTAATACCGGGGATTCTGACACGGTCCTGTACAACCATCACCATAACGTTCACACTGTGTACAGGCTGTAGGACAGGTCACACCACAGTTATCTCCCTTCCTGCCGGCCACACATCCCTCTGTACACACAACACGGGTGTTGTCCATCTGACAGCGAGAGTTGAGACAGTTGTCTGGACAGTCATGTTCACACTGTTTACGATAGAACCTGGAGTCCCGACACTGGAGACACTCTCCAGATGACGTCACATTGACACAGCGAGGTAGACACACACCGTCAACACAGGTCACGTTGTTTCCGTCACAGTTACTACAAGGAGTACTGGCTGCGGAAGCTGTGAACAATGAGATGGTAAGGCAATAAAAAGTCAAACGCACTGAACTATCGAAAAAACAATAAATACATGCTTTAATCGGCAATATGGCTCAATGTTCAGTTGCATAGCATTTAGGAAGTACATTAAGTAAATATATGCTTGACATATTTGTATTTGTTCTATGTGACTGGGCAGATGACATATAATCATCTAGACCATTTGCCAATTATGTATGTAACTCTTTTGTCCAGACATTTCTTAACATTATTTTCACTAAGCTGATGTGTAGCTTCATCAAACACAAAACAAACAAACAGAGATCACTTGAGATTTACACTTTTCATAAATGCAAAGAAAGATGCATTTCTCTGTGTATGTATACAATATAGCGAAATGTTTTCTTAAGGGTTATCGGGGGCACGGGTGGCCTAGTCGTCTAAGGCGCCGCGATTCGCTGTGCAGAGTTGCGTCCCTTACGCACGCCAGAAACCTATGATTGTTGGTTCGAATCCCGGTTCACCCCGATTATGTTTCTAGGTTTGTCAGCTCCATACCCGTGCACGTGGGTTTCACTGAAGTGGTAAACGTCTGAGACCTGCATCACTTCGGGCTTTCCTCCCACATTAAGCTGACACGCCGTGATATAACTGGAATATTGTTAAAAGCGGCGTTAAACCCAACTCACTCACTCTTAAGGGTTATCGAGAAGGTATTTACCGTATAAAATAAGGCATGCGATACCGATGACATGCTTGATAAATCCCATATCGTTGTTTTGCGCATCTTACAGGGATGGACCTCTCGTCATGAAGTGGATCTGATCCAATAACCTACAAGGAGAAGTACTTTTCATAATCACAGGAACATTTCAAATTCACAACATGTTGGATATAGTCATGCTCCTCTCAAGGTCTATACTTATAAACGTAATTTAGTAGCACTAGTTCAAAGGATGCATATCCAATCAAGTGCAAGTGCTAGGTGCTAGAATCTTCACGCCATACACACAGTGGATCTGTTAGTTCCCAGCATTGATCGTGACACATGGATGCATTGCTTCCGTAAGTGTATTTGTAAATTTCGTTATAAGTCAAACAATTGTACTTTCATACTTGAATCAATACACACATTGAAAATGTCGCAATGCCTAATAACTGTCTGAAATAGTAATGATTTTTTTATGTTTCAACGAAATGTCCCTTCATTTCCATAAAGAACTTGCGGCCTCTATTGGCATTGTAATTGTTTCAGTGCTACACATTTTACTATAAAAGCAACTTTTTTTAACATATGTTTTCATTCAAAACGTAAATGTACTTTAGTTAAAAAAGGGAACTACTTCCTAGTTACCTTTAATTGTGTATAATTATCAAGAAACAGTCTTACCTGTTTTCGATTGTTTAAGGACTATACTGCATTTAAGGTTAAGTGACTCCATACGGTGTTTAACTGAACATGATGGGGTACTAACAACCGAGGTGATGTCCTGATGACAGTACGCCACTGCAATCCAGTTACCGAAGGAACGTTGTACACTCACACGCGGAAATAAATACTTCCGCTTGCAAATAGCATTTACTTCTAGACCGATGGTTGGCTTATTTCTAGATTTTAGCATGTCCAGTTGTATGGTTTTACGCCGCTTTAAGCAATATTACCCATTATACATTGTACCCATGCGGGGAATCGAATCCAGGTCTTCGGCGTGACGGGCGAACGCTTCAACCACTAGGCTACCCGACCACCCCGCATTACATATTGAAAGTACTACAATACATAATATGATACATATATCTAAACATCTAACGATAACTCAAAGATCATCTCCACATGTATGATATCTATGAAACGAGCAAAACTATACCGTATCTTTTTTTAACTTTTGTTTGCATTTCTAGGGTGGGTAAATATAAAAAAAAGAAATATACAGGCCAATTCCTTAGAGACGTTTATATCTAAAGAATTACATTGTAATTGGTTAAGATAAAGTAATGACATTTAGTGTTCTCGAAATGGGAAGTCAATTCCGGTCCTGCAGGTTGTGATGGTCGAGACCACCACACTGTCGCCTCTTTGTATATGACGATCCATATATTCTACAACTATTTTGAACATGAAAGACGTCACATTGTATGACTCGAGCTGTGGCATTGTATGTTAGTGGGCGAACCTTGTTTGTCACTTAATGTTTGTTCGGAAGATTGTATTTCACCGACATCTGAATAAGTATGGTAAACACAATATAAAGAAAATTGTTAACGATTATATCAAATACTTTTTCATGTCTGTTTCTTTGTTCAATTAGACGTCAAATCCGCCACAGTCCTGCACTAAATATTCGACATAAACTGCACGTTTGGCATTATGAACCAAATATATTCCCAATGGATTATATTGGTTATGTGAAGAATACGTATCGCTAAGTCTTTTTAGAGTGCACGTGACATACAGATAGATAGTTTGTCGTGGACGTGCCACATAAATCATTCAAACTAAATACATGAATAACTTTGGTGTCCATGCATTCAATTCATACAATTGTTTTCAGGAATGTACCATTAGCTTCCTCAAGATGGACTCTCATGTTAACCTATATATATCGTTGTTGATTTTATTTTAATTTTCGAATGAAACATCTTGCTTATACAATCACGAGATTTACATACCTTTGCTATGTATTGGTTTTGTAAAATACAGTTAAACGTGTGTATATTGTGTAAGCCAAAGGACAATGTCTAAGAATCAAAATCAAAGGAATAACCAACTGAAGAAACACAGATCTGAATATGTTTACCTTACGTCTGTTCCATCCCCAATGATGTCAGTTTTGATAGTCAACCACATAGCACGCTGGTTTTCCCTTCCAGTTAGAATTGGGTTACATGTGGCCACCTCTATCCTAAACAATACTGGTAATGATTTCCCTGTATATTTTATTTTTAACTTTGCGGAAAATGACTTCAGCTCGTTGGGTTTCAATCAACAAGCGAAGAGCCGTTGCAGATTTGGTGGTGTACAATGGTTGCTCTAAAAGCTTCCTTCTTCAGATAACATTCATTTGGTTTTAAATGTGTGCTGTGAAATAATTACATAGGTGACGTTCCAGATTGCTCATGCAAATGGATAAATTATGCGCGATGCTATTACATACAACGAACTTAAAACCGTTTTTCACACTCCCTTGGTCACTGGTACGTCCTATTACAGTAAACTACGGTTATAACGAACTCGAGGGGACCAATAATTTTAGTTCGTAATAACCGTAGTTCGTTATAAGCATACAGACTGCATATATACAACAAATGGTCGGGACTAAAAAATAAGTTCGTTATATCGGGCAGTTCGTTATAAGCATGTTCGTTATAAACGTAGTTTACTGTAATTGGATCAGGTGATCATGTAGGGGATTTCGTTGATAACTAGGTGCGTACCCCCACGATGTGGATCACTGCTCATGAAACTGATCACTGGATTGTGTGGTCCAGGCTCAATTGTTTCCAGGCTACTGGAGGGTTGCTGGGTGCGGTGTTCGGCAACAAACAAAAACGTACTTTTTCATGAAAACTGTGTAAGGGACAGGTGCTACCGCAAGGGCGCAGGACATGTTTCACCTTTTGGCGAACATCTAGTGGCATCACTGCCTTTCAGTGATCAACGCATATAATTTACGTCACTGATTTGCCTTTTACACTCTATGGACTTTGACAGAGTATTCTCTGGCGATGACAAACTGAATTTATATATCGCTGAAATACATATAGCTACTACAGTCTTAACGAGCTAAAATGATTTTTGAACCGAACGCACAGTTATACCGGGTATGGGTAACCTATCTCTGCATTTAAATCACAGTATGTTTATCTCCGCTCTACAATGAGTAGTGGAGTGAGTATGGTTTTACGCCGCTTTTAGCAATATTCCAGCAATATCACGGCGGGGGACACCAGAAATGGGCTTCACACATTGTCCCATGTCGGGAATCGAACCCGGGTCTTCGGCGTGACGAGCGAACGCTTTAACCACTAGGCTACCCGACCGCCCCTCTCTACAATGAATAAATAAAACAGGAACACTTTGATGTTGGTACATACACTGAGGGGAGAAGCATGGATTGAGTCCATTGCTCTTAGTGGGTCGTCGATCTGAATTAGGGAAACAGCGACAACAGCTGTTGGCACTGTACAGGCTTGAACAGTTTTATACGGTAATATTTCAGATGGAAACATATAAGGACACGAACTCCTTCATCCAACTTGAATTAGACATCCCGAAAGAAAACTAAGCTAGCTTTGCGCGGATTCGTTCAACATCGCACATGACTGTTATGACGCTACATTGTGACGCAAAAGATATGACGTCGCAGTTGCATATAGTAAAGACCATATTTCAAGGCTTCTGCTGTCACCAAAATTTGTAGATTTCTATTGCGGTTTTTGTACCCAAATTCTGTATTACCACACATACTGGTTATTGTGGTAAACCATATAATAAAACATATATTTATTTTAAAATACATACCGACTTTTTCCGGCAGTACTTTTCTATTAATATCAGCTTTTGCGGTGATGTGTCCGTAAACTCGGCTGTTTCATACAGAGGTGGTTATTGAGATTTGATACCTCTGACTGACCAGTCAGAGTCGGTGTAAATTCATGAGAGAATCCGACTAAGAGCCCCAGGGACTTAATGGATTGGATGGTCAGGTAGGGTGACTTGGTTGCTCACGTGTTGTCATACCCCGACGGCGACAAGTGTTTGTTACCAGCATCAATCGTTCTATGTATTCGTAGGGGGCACGGGAGGCCCAGTCGTCTAAGACGCCGCGATTCGCTGAGCAGAGTTGCGTCCCTTGGGCACGCCAGAAACCTATGATTGTGGGTTCGAATCCCGGTTCGCCCCGATTATGTTTCAAGGTTTGTCAGCACCATACCCGTTCTCGTGGGTTTCACCGAAGTGGTAAACGTCTGAGACCTCCATCACTTCGGGCTTTCCTCCCACATTAAGCTGACACGCCGCGATATAACTGGAATACTGTTAAAAGCGGCGAAAAACCCAACTCATTCACTCACTCTATGTATTCGTAACTATGAAGCACACGATAAGAGACGCTAATGTTTAAGGAAACATCCTTAGATTTGCCAGCATCTGTTATGAAACATGCATTATCCATATCATACGTATCGTCATATAGACATTGTTTAGTATCTGATTTTATGCACCATATGCATGTTAATTTGCAGGCCTGTCGTCTTGAAAATGATTGGTTGGTTGGTTTGTTGTTTAACGCCGCACTCAGCAATATTCCAGCTATATGTCGGCGGTCTGTAAATAATCGAGTCTGGATCAGACAATCCAGTGATTAATATCATGAACATCGATCCACGCAATTGGGATCGATGACATGTATCAAACAAGCCAGCGAGCCTGACCACCCGGTCCCGTTAGTCGCCTTTTACGACAAGCATAGTCACCTTTTACGGCAAGTATGGGTTGCTGAAGACCTATTCTACCCCGGATCTTCACGGGGCCTTGAAAATGAAGATTCATGACGATTGCTAGTGGTGACATTCACAGTGTTGCATGGTTGTTATCGAGTTCATTTCAGTAGGGTGGTGAAACTGAAACGGATTTTTTAAAGCTCGTTTTCCGCTCTGCCACTTCCTTGTATTGAGTAGCCCTTGTTGAAATGCAACGGTTTTACCATAACTCTTTATATTAACAAAATACAGTCGAAACACAAACTAGTAAAACCAAAAAATGAATCATCAATAACATTTACAGGAAATAATCATGAACTCAGAGTCGTGGTCATACTCTCTACATAACAGGAATGTTAAAGTTCAGAAATCGAATTCGCGTTCACCCATCACATTAGAAAAAAGAGGATGATCACTTCACAGTTATACTTGAACAAAAAAGTGACAAAAATTATTTCCGATGCAATTCTCTTTGTTGACTTGTGTCATATCTTCTCGTGTGTTTCAGGCGAATAATTGACTTGCCCTTGCATGTGTTTGTGACGGATGGACATGATACAGTCGGAATCCTACAATCGACACTACTTTGAGAAGAGATTTCTTGTGGCTATGAAAAGCGTTTTGTCGCTTATATTTATAAGCGTCAAAGTTAACCTGCTTCAAGTATCAGTTGTATTTACGTTCTACAAATAATAGCGCAAAAAACTAATTTTGCTACACGCAGTCCATTGTACGATTCTGACTCTATCATAAGCATCTTTACATATGTGATGAATGTCATCCTCATGAAGCGCTATCAAATAACGATGACACCAAGCGGATGTTCGCGAAAGGGTCAGCGTACCCTGAACCACCTGTGGTGAATAAATAATTTATGCAAAATTACATAATGTCCACAGCTGCGTTAAGCAAAACTCACCTACTCATGTACAACTGAGTTGAAGCATTACTTACACAAGTTTAAATTTGTAAGCCAGTACAAAGGTGCATGTAATTTATGTCCAGTGTTGATAGATAAAGTGTTGATAAATATTCCAATACACGTTTGGGTTGAATTAACTGCCTCTTATCTTTACAGAAATCACAATACGTTAATTTGAACACAAGTTTTATTCATATATTCCATCAAAGTATTGTACAATCAATCTTATCTTCCAACACGTTTGCAGGAAGACCATCATCACATGTTTTGGTGATAAGTCAATTGTAATACCTTTCTACTATTACTTGTAACCATATTATAACCATATTATAACCATATTGCAGGTCTTAGATGAGTACCTCCTTTGTGACAATGGGACAGACAAAAACAGAATAGAACACACAAATATCGGATCATGTCATGAACAAGGGACGCAACTCTGTACAGTGAGGGCCCCGCACATGCAATGAGGGATCCTATCACGATAATAGAGCGTCTACACTATGGACACTGATAGTATGGAAGTTGAAGGGAGTGTCATCACTGATTTTCAGTGATCCCTTTTATATAATCGTCACCACTAGTTTGCCTTTCACGCCCAATTGAATCTGTTTGGGGAGATAAAAGAGACTGCTTTTTCCTTTGCATTGGCGCTATATATTTACATCATAATATTCCGAGTCAGTATTGTCATGTGCTGATCGACCCATGACAACACACACAGGAAGTGTCAGTAAGTAGTTTTCTTGTCTTAATCTATAGCCGATCACAAGAAGACATGCCACCAACACAGATTATGGAACTTCTGTCACACCCTCGTAACCACGATGCTGGGTTGTTCGGCGAGCGCCTTGACGTCATCAAAGTCACCGTACGCCACAGGCTCATAGTCAGAACTGGAGTCCTCTTCATCGATGCCATCCATGCTGTAAACACAAACCAACAACACTGCAACGAAGTGTACATGGAGGCTACAAATTTGTATGGTGAAGATAAGGTATCATTTTGAATGAGGTACTCTTTCAATGTCAGTAAGCCCAACATCACCAATATCCCCGCGATAGACCTTAGGTGTCCAAGTCTTGTGAAACTAATAGATCGGAGTGTCGGGGAAAGCCTGCTATACAACCAGCTACAATCCTACCCACACACAATCACCACGAACATTTGGTACAGAGGACCTTTCAGTCCGGAAAACATCACAGGGACCAGATTTCTTGTAACACTCCTTATCTCGTACACACAAGCTGCAATGTAGCAGGAAACAAAGATATTTGCAGACACTGAACATTTGTGACTTACGCCTGTGTCTCATGGTCAAGACGCCAGCACTTTTCACACTGCACAAGGACAGGATCGTAGTAGCTAGGCAGCGTTCCCTGAGTTTGTAAGGCGCCAATCAGTATGTTGTGGATGAAGGAATACTGCTCCTACAGACAAGACATGTAGGATTAGAGCCTAATATAACATAGACATGAACAGTTGTGCAAACAATTCTAACAACGTATAGTATCAAAAGTTACGATTATACTTCGAGATAAATAATTGTTCATTGTACCATAAGTGAGATATAGTTTAAAGCGATAATAAAAGCATAATAAACAGTATACTGTCCATGTATATGAAGCCTGTATTTGAAACAATACATACACTATCGACCCGTGAAGATCCAGGTTAGAATAGGTCTTCAGCAACCCCTTGTCGTAAGGGGCGGCTAAAGGGGATCGGGTGGTCAGGCTCGCTGACTGGGTTGATGCATGTCATTGTATCCCAATTGCATGGATCGATTCTCATGATGTTAATCACTGGATTGCCAGGTCAATACTCGATTATTTACAGACCGCCGTCATATAGTAGTAATATTGCTGAGTGCGGCGTCAAACAAACAAAACAAACAAAACCTATCAATATACACTTACTTCTGTTTCAACCATCATCATTCTTTGAGCACGGAAAGTTTGTACACAGCTGTAGACACAAGCTCGACCTTCGTACCTGGCTTGATCCAGCAGGTAGTCAAAAGCCAGGAATGTTCCACAACGCCCTGCGCCAGCGCTTAACAACGAAAATATGACCCTTAATCAACATAAAAATCATTAACCACTGTGTCACTGTATTTTATTTAGATATAAGCGACAAAACTCTTGCATAGGATACTCATGTAACCATATCCATCACACAGTTATGAGCATCAATGGTTATGTGTGGTATGTTTGCGTCTATGAAGCGCAACATATGTTAACTTTGGGGTAAATCAATGTGACCAAATACTTTCCATAATCATAAGACAGCTCTGATTGACGAAGGGTGAGGTGAGGTGAAATGGGGTTTTATGGGGGATTATTGCACTTATATAGTGACGTGCATGTGTGTGTGTGGCTGCTTGTACTAGTCCGGACTGATGCCGATTTATAGTGCTAGCACACTGAGATACCATGCCGTAGTTTAACATGAATACCCCACTCAGACACGGTATACTGACTCCGAGCCGACCAGTCCTTGTTTTAGCCCCTTAATGCCGAGCGTAAGACAGGTTAACAACAAGTACCATCTTTTAACGTCTTTTGGTATGACGCGGCCGGGAATCGAACCCCGGACCTTCAACTCTCCGGGCGGACGCTCTACCATTAGACCACGGAGGCGGTCGCTTGACGAAGGGCCCATTGAACGATTTGTACTATACCACAAAGAACATGCTTATGAATGTGTGATTACCAGGTGTTTGTAAATAGGTGAGCGAAGACACCATCTTTCAAAGTGTAAAGGAAAGAGTTTTTAATCTGTGATAATCATATTGTTAAAACAAAGTAGGAAAGTTTCGTTTATCAGTGCGTTGACGATGCGATTATAATATTTTGAAAATTAGTAAGGTTATTTTAATAGAGGATATTTCATGTGTATTCATGTCGCTCTCGCTCGGGAAATATCGGCATTTAGACACTCGTCTCGTAAACATAGTGTGACGTGGACACGAATAATATGTTCTATTTATTACCGAAGAGACGAGATTACATACAGAGACGAACTATATTTAGGGCTATAGAAAGTACCAGGGCAAACAAATCGGGTTCATAAAAATCATTATGTGCCCTAGGTCATACACGTCACGAGACAACAGTGTATTGTTCCGTCATCCGGCGGCATTGGTGACGTCTTTCGAATCTGATTGTGACGTGAGGTCAGAATGACGTCACACAAGAAACGACGTCATAGCTGAAGATAAATGAACGTCAATCGATAAATTGTGGTTTCGCTGCTGTTGCGACTTGCTGTCCCAAAGGTAAAAACTAAGATTCATCTCTGTATGTAGACATCTTCTTTGGTAATGAATAGAACATTATATGAGTGTTCAATTCATACTATGTTTACGACACTCCTGCCTAAACTTCGGCATTTAGACACTCGTGTGGTAAACAGAGTATGACACGAACACTCATTTAATATATGTATTATATCATTCGGACACTTGTATGGAACTTCGATATGTCAGCTATCAGCATATATACCTGCTTTGTACCACTAAAGGTCCGTTAGAGTTCGGTCCTGTGTCCTTCACTATCCTGTGGAAATGCAGCAGTAACGATGTGTCTCTGGGAACGTCATGGTCAGCCCATGCGGCGAAGTGAAACTGGAGCACTTGTCTTGTGTCAGAATGTCCCTGATAAAAACAGTAATTGCAATTTCCTTCTAGATTACATGCTTGTTCATTTAAAATTTAGAATGGAGGAGCCTGGTGGTAAGCACACACAATCTACACTTACACATATGTGTGTGTCTGAAACACCTTTAACATTTGTCATTGCAAGGGTAGTTTTATGCCAATTGTGTGAATGAAGGATGCTACCGGCTGCGAAGGACATGCTCACCCGCGAACACCAGGGCCCACTTGCACAAAGCGATCTTAGCGCTACAACTGTCGTAAGCCTATGTTAAAGTATGGGAGTTACGATCATCTTAGCGCTAAGACCGCTTTGTGCAAGCGGGCCCAGGTGTCATCACTGTTTTTCAGTGTTACATTCATATAATTTTTACAGCTATTTGGCCCTTTTCGCTATATGGAATCTGTTTCAGTGGATCATTAAGACGGGCTGTTCTCTTGCAATGATGTTTTATATTTACAAACAGAAATATATAAGCTGACACACATCGAAAAATATAATATTGGCTTCTGTTACCCTTTCTATGACGAAAGAACTAAAACACTCTCGAAGTGACGGGTTCATTGTATTAAAACTTATCTCTGTGATTTTAGGGGACGAAGAGTGTTTTTCCATGTCTTAGGGAGGCTTCCTGGTGTTCTACTTCATACAATACATATAGCTCCAACACTTTTACATTGAATTTAAGTACCCAAACATTGTATTCATGAGGTGAGGTGAGGTGAAATTGGCCCAAGATTATTGCACTTATATAGCGACGTGCATGCACGTGTGGGTGTGTGGCTGCTTGTACTAGTTCACTGAAATACCATGCCGCAGTTTAACATGAATACCCCACTCAGACACAGTATACTGACTCCGAGCCGACCAGTCCTTGTTTTAGCCCCTTAATGCCGATCGCCAGGCAGGGTAACAACAAGTACCATCTTTTAACATCTTTTGGTATGACGCGGCCGGGGATCGAACCCCGGACCTTCCGCTCTCCGGGCGGACGCTCTACCAGTAGACCACGGAGGCGGTCTTTGTTTTCATGATATGAAATGATATTATATGATATCATATGATATCATATGATTTCATATGATATGATACAGTGAAACTGGACGAGACTATTTCCAGTGAAAGAGTCCTGATTAAAAGGTGTCCAGATTAAGAAATCCAGAGTCATGGATTATGTCCCTTTATTTATATCGCTGCTAACAGTAATGACCCGGAAGGATTCAGATTTGTTCTCACTGACCTTCCACACAGCGAAGTTCCTGACAGTGTAAGAAGGGTGCACCGTCTCCTCCACACACTGCACACACACCTTGTCGTACGCCCTAAAGGTGGCACCATACACGGGCCAGTACCTCGCACACTTGATCTGGAAACATAGCATGTACAAGTGTTTCAGGTTTTTATCATCCAAAACTAGATTCCACAGGATATATCACTTGTGTGAGGAAATATCGCAACAAGCAAATGACCATGATGCTTTGCAAACCATTATGACGTCATCGTTACCATGACATCAAAAGACATCATGAATCTCTCTACCACTGCAGGTGGTTAGCTTCTCTTTTTACACTCAAGGCACTGGCTAGTACTGTTAGAGACTGAAAATGTTGGAAGAATGATTTAGATAATAACTAGAATCACACGCGAGTGTGTCGTGAGATCAATACGCATCGGTAACATTTTAATGCATTAAAAGTTTAACATTTTATCGTGTTGATAACTTTCATATCAAAAGACACTTGAGGGAGATTCTCTATTTTTGTACTCTCCGTGTATTGTTATCATTGTTGGTATGTATTAAGGATGTACCTTTCCGTCTTCTGCAAGTTGTGTAAGCAAGACAATCTTTGTGGCGTTCTCCTGCCATATCAGCCTCCAGAAGTCGTTGACTGATTTAAATGACGGCCCTGTTAAGTATATATTGTATTTGCTTACTTGCATGTGATCTGTGAGGCAATAGGAACGTTAATTTCATTAGTTCTGTTGAATGACACTAACATAATGTTATACGCATTCAAAAGATAATCCCTCAGTTACGAAACAGGGTGATTACTTCCCTTGAATACGTTTCATCAACTATACAATCAAGATTCAAGAAAAGCTTCCTTGAGGTCTTACCTTGTGCTGCAACGTATCGTATATTGTCCCTGTATCCCTTGAAAAATACATAAAAATGAAACAAATATTAACATCACTTTAAGGTTACTTTATACATAGAGTATAAACATTCACAGTGTTTTAGACAAGACATTTTGAGACAAAAATAAAGCCTTATTATCATCACAATATCATTCAATAAGAGCGTGATACCTGCAAAGAGCTTTACGTTCAGAATATGAAATACAGTAAACTACGGTTATAACGAACTCGAAAAGACCACTAATTTTAGTTCGTAATAACCGTAGTTCGTTTTCAGCATATATAGAGCATATACTCTTGAAAGCATATTTTTTATATAAATTCTAAATGTTAATTTGTATAATATAATAACGTTCAGGCGTTTGATTTTTTCTTCTGTTAAATGGTCAATCATACCCATGTATTTTGTTGAACAAACACTTCTTAGGGTGAAATTAGTATAATGATAATAGTCTCAATAACTGAAATGCTCATATTTAGTACATATAATCCACTCTTTACTCACATTAATGAAAGACGCGTTAATATAATCACTATCGTTCTTTTCTTCTTGCTTGAGCAGTATTCTGTTTCCGTCATCTGTAACAATGGTTGAGAGGGATGTTGAGAACAGTATATCCAGTATATTAACCAATGTATATCAAAACATCATATAAATTATATTTTATGAAGTGTGACAAGCATTGTGATAATACTTTCTGCGTAAATGAAACATTGATATATCCAGAAGCACAGCGGATACAGTCTACGTACAGGGGAGGACACTCTTGTGTCTGTTCTTTACTCTATTGTCCTCGGATGCTCCACACTTTGCCTCGCCATAGTCTGGAGGGGCAAGCATCTGAAGAAAAAGTACATAATTCAGAACGCATATAATTTCTTGATTCATGCTGCATGTATAAATGGGAAATATATATGTAATGCACATTTCATTATATAAAATGGAAAATTATGCATTATAGATTTTGGGGCCACTTATGGATTGAGGTAAGATAAGGCAAGGCAAGGTATAATTTTTAGGCCAACCGTTTGAAGACACTAACCAGAAGATCTAAGAAAGGTATTGCCATATACACACCTGAAACTCATTCATCATGTGTCTCATGGTACGCTGACTCATCAACTCTTCACAGAGCCTCACTTGTCCCAAATCCCTGCCTGCGGAAATTTGAATTTTTAAATAAATGGAAATATGTTAGTTACTTATTCAATTAAACAACACAACGTTCCATAAAATCGGCAAAGAGGTTCTGGAAAAGTAAGAACATATAAGTCTTTGAAAGGCATTTAGAAGTGATACACATAAGGAATAGAATTTAGGGATGTCAACTTCTTTATGACGAGGACCACAATGCTTCGGAGTATATGCTTACTCCTTCATCACGTGAATAAATTCTATGAGGGAGAGAACATGAATATGTACCTGTAAGAACGACAGAAGTGATAAGATAACAAAGGTGGAAAGTTGACATCCATAAATTCTCTTCATTCAGAAAATATATATATACTTGCATGCATGCAAATTTTGAATATATTGGACTGTACCGACGAATTGCAGGTACATATTATATAAAATATATATATACACTCCAATATATTTAAAATTTGAAACAATATATCTATATAATCTATACATATCAAGATAATGCATCTGTTGATATGGATTAAATGTAAGCTTGTTTCGTATCACCGTCCTTCTCACCTTGCCATGAGGGTACATATATGGGGTTTGCCGTTGAAAAATCTTTTGCAGAACAATCCCGGCTTCGGGCACCAGATGTCTTCTGTTTGTTGTTGTTCAAAGGACTCATCTCATACTCTACTGCGTTAGTTTGTGGCTTTGCAAGCTTTCGTTTCCTGGAAATAATTTTATATACATATTACTTTTATCATTACATCTTGTTTGCTATACACATGATTATTAATAGTCAGAATTCCGCATGTACGTAATAAATAAAAAAGATCGCCAAATAGTATGATTGGTTGGGTGCTGGAAGGGGGCATTCGGTGCAGTGTGTTCTCAAGTTTCCACGAGGCACGGGAGTGCCACTGATTTAAGGCGCAGTAACTCGATGTACAGAGTTGTGTCCCTTATCAATGCCTAGATCCGCTTCTTGTGGGCGAGAATACCAGCTTCACCCTGATTCTGTAAGCACCATACCCTTGCTCTTAGATTTATACTTTTGTGTCTTTCACCTTCATCAATCTATCAAGCCGTGAGAAAAACACGGTACTGTATAAGTGGTGTTAAACCCTATTCCTTCGTTATTGGTAAAGATATAGTTGACTGGCTTACCTTCTCCACAAAATGAATCCCAGTAATAGAACGCATCCAATAACAAACAACACCAGCAGCACAATGCCAGCTGTTTGCGGTGGTGAAAGGCCTGTAAGTTAAAGTTAGTGTTTATCAACAGTAATATTCTCAATGTTAACAGACAAAAAAAGAGAACAGAACAAAAAATATTTCGCAAAATGTGCTTAAAGAAATTTGTATAGAAGCCTTCACATATATATATAATATATGTATAGATAGATAGATATAGATATAGATATAGATAGATAGATAGATAGATATATATATAGATATATAGATATATATATATATAGATATATATAGATATATAGATATATATATAGATATAGATATAGATAGATAGATAGATATAGATATATATATATATATATATATATATATATATATATATATATATATATATATGGGATTCAAAGGGAAGTGTTTCTGTGGCATTCAGAAAGTACCCCAAAGGTGAGTGAGTGAGTGAGTTTGGTTTAACGCCGCTTTTAACAGTATTCCAGTTATATCGCGGCGTGTCAGCTTAATATTTTTAATGTAGGAGGAAAGCCTGACGTAATGCAGGTCTCAGACGTTTACCACTTCGGGGAAACCCACGAGCACGGATATGGTGCTGACAAAACCTAGAAACATAAGTTCCCCAAAGGTCTACATGTAGAACATGCATTCACTGAATAAATGGCATATAGTTGCACGGTTATGTATCGAGACTGGAAACAAATATACGCACATCGACAAACATCATTGCATTGCAAGGTCGTCCCGTTACATTCTTCACATGTGCAGTTCGCATTCATGGTTCTGTAAATACATGGTGTCATATATTACCAGTAATGTCAATCATGCACAAACATGTCTAGTATAGTGTTGTGGACCAGGTAATATCAATAATCTGTGCAGGATGCGTTCAGTCCTAATATCAATGTTTGTATTGTTTAGGGTGTTGTTATGACAGACCATTTCAAATGAATCCTTGGTACTTTGGAACACAGGCATCAGTGTGTTAGCAAAACCCATGGTATGTTTACACGAGGAAAAATGTAAATAAAACTTATCATTAATTTGTCTTATACACAATTTACCTTTATTTAGCGGAAAATGTAATGTTATGTTCAGCTAAAATACAAAATGTATGTATGTATGTATGTATGTATGTATGTATGTATGTATGTATGTATGTATGTATGTATGTATGTATGTATGTGCGTGCGTGCGTGCGTGAGTGTGTGGGTGAGTGCGCATGCGTGTGAGTGTGCTTGTGTGTAAGTGAGTGTGCTTGTGTGTGTGCTTGTGTGTGTGTGTGTGTGTGTGTGTGTGTGTGTGTGTGTGTGTGTGTGTGTGTGTGTGTGTGTGTGTGTGTGTGTGTGTGTGTGTGTGTGTGTGTGTGTGTGTGTGTGTGTGTTTGTGTGTGTGTGTGTGTGTAAGTGAGTGTGTGTGTGGTGTGTGTATGTATGTATTATATGTAAGCTTATTTCAGACACAATGTATTAGAAAGGAAGAAAACTCACATTATTCACGCCAAAGCTACCTGGACGCTGTTGACTCTGATGCCGTTTACCGTTACTGTCAACTGATACCGTTAAAATCATTGTCAAGTCATAATAATAACCACTAATACACCATTCCTTGCGGGTTAACTCCTAGCATCCTTCAGATACAACTACTGACGGAAACTGGCCAGATCAAAACAAAACTGTTTACCCCGCCCGGAAGTGATGTGCGTCGCCTTATCAGATAGTTCATATCATTAGGTTAGTGTAGCTGGAGAGAAATCATACATTTCACAGAGGCTTTAAATATTGCCCATTAGATATGGATTGAAATATCTGTAATATCACTGAGTTATGTTTTCATACACCAAGATGTTTCGTTAGTCGCCTGTGGATGAGGTATGTCGGGAGAACAAAGTCGTCTATAAAGTGTTGGCCTCGCAAGTAGTTATAGTAAACATGCTTACCTTTAATGAAGCTTGTTTTTGTCCATGTCTTTGTAACATATCCTTCCACACCGAACATGCCCTACTCAGGGCAGGCTGGGTCAAATATAGAATTACTCACACAAGGAAATATTTATTTCCACAATTTCGTTTGCTGCGTTTTAAATCCTTTTGTAAACGCCTGTGAGTGTGTGAGTGTGTGTGGTTGTGTGTGTGTGGACAGACAGACAACGTGAAAAACAGACACACACACAGATATGTGACTGACAGTGATTTTTTGTATAATACCTGCCTTTCTTTGCCCCGATAGTAGCAAGACGGTTAACCTTGCTGTGGGGTTGAGTGGAGGGCTTTCAAGTCGCTTTGAATAGTAGTTCAGTTACATCACAGTGTCAGCTTGATGAGGGTGAGAAGCCTGAAGTGAAGCAGGTCATTGACGTTCACCAATTTGGTAAAACCAGGAACACAGATATGGTGCTGACAAATCCAGACACATTATCAGGAAGAACCGAGAGTCGACCCACGAACATAGACTTCTGGCACACAAAAGGGATGCAACTCTTTACAACGAATTGCGGCGCCTTATATGACTGTGCCTGACATACCCCAGTTACTTTAAGGATGTAAATTTGATCAATGCATCTTCACCCATATGGTTCATTATTATGAAGTTTAGCACAACCATGTGACATGAATATTAATGTATTCAAAATTCAAAAACTGTAAGGGGGGAGACAAGTATATCCCTCAATGGACCTATCGCGCTGCTTGAATGCAGGTGCATTTTGGAAACCCTGCCATTAGTTCAGGTGCCCTATTGTCATTGATGTATTAACTCTTTACGGTCTGATAGGAACAGTAAAATCGATGTCACGAACTTGTCTCGACATAGAGTGAACAGGAAATGTTTGCTTTTAAAACCTTTTAAAACTTCACCATATTGAAACAACCCAAGGACATTGTTATGCAAATATATAACGAATGATTTTGTTGACCTTCGTTGAGGAAACTTCGTCCCTCAATTGCATTATTAAAAAAAACACATGGACTTCCTAGGTCAAAGAGACAGGTTTCCTTTTCGCTGTATAGAAAAAACCCATTTAATTGTGCACATCTCTAACGTATCTGAGTGAAATTCGAGTCAGGGTGACCTACACAGATTGACGACAGATTGTATCTACTTCCCGTTCATCGCTCAATATTCCACAGACGTCACATAGTTTGCTTGTTAACATACTTTCAGAACGGGTCATGTGTACTTGTAGGCGTATGTTAAAAAAATCAGCGAGTGATTTTAGAGATTGAATATTAGGTTTCACAAATACACATTTTAAGCGGACACAATATGTTCATTAGGTTATGTCAGTGTTTTCAGTCGTGTTTTGAACTGGTACTGAGATTCGAGTTAAACACTGTTCGACATTACACTATGCGGAATAACATTGTTCGAGATGGAAATTAACTATATTCGAGAGGTAAATGTTCAAGATAATAAGAAACGTCTGTCGACTATTCTCCGAAAGTTTCGAAAGCATTCAAATAGCAATAAATATGAAACCTTGATAGATTGTGACTTGACCGACACACATACATAATTTATCCCCCAGCCACGAAGTGGGGCGTGGGGTATAGGATATTCGTCCGTCCGTCCGCCCGTCCGCTTTTCAATCGGGACAAGTTTTCTAAAAAACTATGTAAGATAGAGAAATGAATCTTTACATCCTGATGTTACTGGTCATGATCTTAAGTGTGTTCGAAAATTGGTGTCGTTTACTATTTTTCACTGAGTTACGGCCCTTGCTCTGTATTTTTTAGCTTACTGTATACTGCGTGACATGGAACTACTGAAGTTACATTGATGAAAGTTTGCATGCATATCTGAGAGATACTTTTCAAGAAAATCGATGCCATAAAAAATGTTTTTATCCCAGAGTTATAACCCTTACAATATGTTTTTAGGTTTCGTGCTTACACAGTTACGGCCCTTGATACATGTTCTGTTTTTATATTTATTGACAGCAATGGTGAAAGTTTTCTAACTGCTGAAGCTACATTAATTAAACTTTGCAAACCTATCTTGGAAATACTTATCAAGACGGTTCGAAATTCAGATTTCCTCATGACATAAAGACTCACTGTCTTTTTTAAGGCTTTATAGAACTATTTTGTTTAGTTAACATTAACTTATGTTATTCACTACTATATGAACAAACATAAATTCGTATGTGACCCATGGCGGGGTAAAGGGATAACTCTGTTTTCGAGTACTGACTTAAGAAATTTAATTCCTAAACATTGATATTGGAAGCTACGGAAGCGTAGTAGGAAGCGTGAAATTTTCTTTTGTCTAGTGTCTCCTGCGTAGGAGATAATAAGTCCCACGTAGGAGATAATAAGTCCCACGTAGGAGATAATTAGTCCTACGTAGGAGATACTTAGACAAAAAACAATTTCATCGTGGCCCTACCACGCTTCCGTAGGAAGCTGATTTATCGGGTTGTTATTGTAATGGTATCATAACAAGTTTCACCACAAGATTTCAGATCTGACCACATTTTAGTCGACCTCAATGTGTTGCTGCTTTAGGCCTGATTGGCCTGGATCACGTGATTCATGCCTCCATAGCAACCGATCTGACATATGCAGATGTGGGAGATAGCAATGTGGACTTTAGCTGATGACTCTCGGTTGTTACTTCCTTGTATACTGAGGCAGCTATGCTAACATCTAGTCTCTGAAATGAACATATTTTACAGAGAAAAAGTTGTTAAATTATAGTTATAAAATATATCAAAAAGGAGCCCAGAGACTTTCTTCATTTTCAGAGTAATCTAGACTTGCCAAACAGTATAGCCTTACATGGGCTGTATTGGATATGTTTGTTTCAGGGTCCGTATGACAGACCATGGGACCGCCTCCGTGGTGGATGGAGCGTTTGCCCGGCGAACGGAAGGTCGTGGGTTCGATGACCGTCCGCGTCAAACCAAAAGACGTTAAAAGATGGTACTTGTTGTTACCCTGCATGAGGCTCGGCATTAAGGGGCTCAAAATGGGACTGCCGGCTCGGAGTTAGTATTCTGTGTCTGAGTGGGGTATTCATGTTAAACTGCAAACATACACACACACACACACAAACACGCACGCACGCACGCACGCACGCACGCACGCACGCACGCACGCACGCGCACGCACGCACGCACGCACACACACACACACACACACAAACACACACACACACACTCACGTGGGGTCGCTTTAATAGTACAATAATTCTGGACGCGACCTTTAACCCCAGCAAACGGTCTCCAGCATATATATATATATATATATATATATATATATATATGCTGGAGATATATATATATGCTTATATTTATATATATATATATATATATATATATATATATATATATATATATATATATATAAAGTTTATAATGGGCAACGTATATAAGCAGTTTATAATGTATACACTTTGCAGCATCACTCACTCCTTGTATACAGTCTGCATAATGTATACGTATGTCTAGTTTATAATGTGTAAACCCTGAAGCACATATAACCACTTTGTAATGTATTGTCTGCAGCATTTATAAAACAGTTTAATGTATACACTCTGCAGCATATATAAGCAGTGCATAATGCATACAGTCTGCAACATACAGACCCAGTTTATAATGCATGCATATGTATATGGTGCATGCGGTATACATTGCAATCTTATCCGTGAAGAACCGGGATAGAATTGGTCTTCAGCAACATATGCTTGCCAAAAGAGGCGACTCTGCTTGTAGGCGACTAACGGGATCGGGATGTCAGGCCCGGTGACTTATTGATGTATGTCATCTTATCCAGTTATGTAGATCGATGCTCCTGATGCCAATCACTGGATTGTCTGGTCCAGCCTTGCTTATTTACAGGCCACCTTCATATAGTTGGAATATTGCTGAGTGCGGCGATAAACTGGATGTATATGCTGCAGATTGTATAAATTCAAAACTGATTGTTGTTTTATCCTGCAAGCTATATGTGTATATCCATTTTATAGTGTATAGATTTCTGTAAAACGTCCGATAACGAACACATTTGCTGTCTTTTAAAAGTGTTTTTACTAAGAGTATTGCAATTCCTACCCAAATGATGATTATTGTGAAAATAGCATAATGTATATGAACATAAAAGCGACACCTTTCCATCATGATAATCTCTGCATAAAGCAGAGTCGGTTCTGCAATTCCGACTTTAAGAAATTTCTGCTTTAAAAGTTCATTGTACGATTCCGACTATATCACAAGCACGTGTTCATAAATATGTCATATAATAAATGTCATATCTGTTTCACTCAATGACTGTACATAATGATATGATGTGAAGTAATAATCTACGTGTATGCACGAACCGCAGGATTCAGACACGCTTCAGGGACGAATCTCTGCATTATGAATCACGGCGCCTCAGGCGACTAGGCCACTTAATTGTATTACATAATGGGTTTTTTTTATAAATGATTGTTGTATAGAGTCATGTTATTTTTTATCACATCAATATGTAATGTCAATGTTCAAATGACCTAAACTGAGATTTAAATTATGTATTGATTTTGATCGTACATAACTAAATGTCTTTAAGCGGAATTTTTAGCCTAATTGTAAGCGGAATTTTTAGACTATAATTGTAAGCGGAATTTAAAGCGGAACTGGTTATTTGCTTTGGCGTACTAAAGATGGGCGTCATTGTGTCATTTGAAGTGTTTTGTTCGAATATTGTAGCTTTAGATGTGATCATCAAATAGTCTCAATAATATTTTCTCATGCAGGAAAGTATAGAAGAAGAAAATTGATTTCACTACCAACAGAACATAACGCGAAACGTTCGTAATAATTATGTCTTAAGTTTTATACTAGCCACCTACCTTGTAGAAGAAATACTGTATGTATGTATGTATGTATGTATGTATGTATGTATGTATGTATGTATGTATGTATGTATGTATGTATGTATGTATCATGTCATGAGGCTGTCACGATGTATGTATGTATGTATGTATGTATGTATGTATGTATGTATGTATGTATGTATGTATGTATGTATGTATGTATGTATGTATGTATGTATGTATGTATGTATGTATGTATGTGTCATGTCATGAGGCTGTCACGATGTATGTATGTATGTATGTATGTATGTATGTGTCATGTCATGAGGCTCTCACGATGTATGTGTGTATGTATGTATGTATGTATGTATGTATGTATGTATGTATGTATGTATGTATGTATGTATGTATGTATGTATGTATGTATGTATGTGTCATGTCATGAGGCTGTCACGATGTATGTATGTATGTATGTATATATGTATGTATGTATGTATGTATGTATGTATGTATGTATGTATGTATGTATGTATGTATGTATGTATGTATGTATGTATGTGTCATGTCATGAGGCTGTCACGATGTATGTATGTATGTATGTATGTATGTATGTATGTATGTATGTATGTGTCATGTCATGAGGCTCTCACGATGTATGTGTGTATGTATGTATGTATGTATGTATGTATGTATGTATGTATGTATGTATGTATGTATGTATGTATGTATGTATGTATGTATGTATGTATGTGTCATGTCATGAGGCTGTCACGATGTATGTATGTATGTATGTGTTGTGTGTGTGTCTGGTGTGTGAGTGTGTGTGAGTGTGTGCGTGCGTGAACGTGTGCCTCAAAAACTGAATTACTCTAAGGTAATATACAAGGTGTATTTTTCCTTCTTCATCACAATAACTTTTACCTTTGAGAATATATAAAAAAGATCATGTCAAATAGATCACGTGATGTTCGTTTCTATGTGTTTTCTGTGTAATCTTACCCATCATGACAAACCCAAAACACTCACTTTGAAACGATATACACAGGAACTCTTTACCTGTCCTTTTTTTGCACTCACTTTTCTATTTCGTGATTTGCCTTTCTATGTGTCTTGCATTTCTGACGATAGTAAATGAATATCCAATATTGCACACTGTAAGAGTTGTGTTACCAATGGATGAGGAAATGGTTTACTGACCGTACGTATGCGTTACAGGACGACTCTGAGAATATAATATTGCACCTCTTGGCCTGATGAGGGAGTTCCAGGGGAGACAACTTCAGTCCTAGTGTTATACAGGGTTGTTAAGGAAACAGAATATTATTCACTTAATTGAAAGTAACGGACTGTAAACATTGTTGGAACATAATTTCTCAGGTTTTTTTGGCAGAATCTCTCAAACTTACTGATCAATAAGCAGTCGAAAGTTCAAGATGATGTTTGAGCCTGAAGTTGGTACTTTGTGGATTATGTAAACTAGAACAATTCTAAAACCACGCGTTCTCGGAAGCACGGGGACATTCCTAGCCTTGGATTGTCTGTTTGACCAGGCCAAGGACAAGGGTCAGGTCTGTGTCTAGATCTGCACCTGTTATTCATGATATACACATGCTCATGATATAGTCGAAATCGACAGAAAGGTGGAAAGTGTTTTGTCGCTTTTATTTACAAAACGTCCGCTATCAGAGAATGAAAATATTTGAGACGAAAGTGAGTTCAATTAATGATGTTGAACGTCTTGTCTAATTGTGAGTACATATGTATCGGTGTATATCATTGTTCGTTATGAATGAAATAACGACCACATATTCTAAAATGCAGGTAAATTAATATGAGGCTATAATGAAACGTTTCATCATGACAACGACGAATCAATCGAAAGTCAACGTCAACTCGTGTCATATATCTTATAAAACAAGCATCGGAGAATTAGCACAAGATGTGAAGAGAAAATCTAAAATTATTGTTACCAATGTATTATCTTGATTCAAACAGACTAAAAGCTTAAATATTCTTCCATTTGACCCTTAACATCGTTGTATGAACTATATTTACTTCAGAAGCAGTATTCATTATATACCTGGAAAGGCGGGGGACGGCGTACTTCGAATACGATGATCAATGGCAACAGTAGGCTACAACGTAAGGGCTTCATTTTCTGACATTGATATTTACTTTGGATATTATTAATTTCCTTAGTCTCTTTGAGGACATGTTTGCCTTTAGAATTAATGAATGTACACATTCAGTTTATACATATATGTGGATGCATGAGAAGGTACTTGTCCGACACACTTAAATGACAGAATGATTTCTTTTTAAAGAACATGTTTATTGCTGTAATGATACAAACTTTGTTGGAATTTATTTACATATTAAACATTAATTCACTATTTATAGTTACATTTGAAATGGACATCAAAATTGAGTTTTGCGTAATTCATTGAATTAAATTACAACCACAGAACGGCCAATAACTAGAACATTGTAGTATCTTCACATTGTTCAAATGGCAACAGTATCCTCGTCCATCCATCAGTAACACTTAAACGTCACTGTACAAAACCTGAATAGCAACTATTAACAACAGATCAATACGCATGTCTCCTTATGAATACTGTACACGATGCTATTACTGTAACACACAAATATTCTGCCAATGAACATTTGTGCGTACATTTCGGTTTTCATACACAATCAGATTATTAATTAAAGTAATTCCTTTACTATATACAAATCGTCGTATGAAGTACGATCTTCCAATAGAATGGAACACAATAAAGCCATATGCTGCCCTATATTGAAAGTCTTGTATCGGAACTGTGCTATGTTCCTTCGCCCGTCTACAGCAGCAAAGTCTGCCAGCGACCTTGTAATGTCACAGCACCATCGCAAGGGGCGGTCTTACACAAGGATAAACGCTCTCTGTCTTGAATGGAATGGACATTATACAGACGTATCCATCCATGTGTCCATGTCTGCATCTATGGAATAGGCGTTCAGCGATCTGTGAAGGCGAGGCGGGGTGTTTTCACTGATGATGGCATACTCATCGAGGGGAGGGGATGGACTTCTTGGCAGATAGCTGTTCCTGCGTTGTAGCTGACAGTTCCACAGACGCTGGTACTCCGTATCTTTCTGGAGACTAGCGTTAGATCTGAAATAAAACATAGTACTGATGATGCTATCGTACAATCGTGTTATTATCATGCTTTAATTTAATCCGCATGTCATGTATGCACAATGTATCATTCATATTAGGTCTTAAGGCTGACCACGTCGTTCTTACTACCGACCAGATTCATATAGTCAACAGACATCAACAGTGTTACATCATTTACAGGTTTAGATACAGATTGTTTCATTAGCATTTGGTGTATATTTGATATTTCCTGTCAAGGCGGTGTTAGGTAATCTGTCATCGTCGTCAACAGCATGGTCATGTATATGTGAGTATGTATTTAGCTAAAATATGTAAACCTGCGATTGTCTTTTCTCTGTTGCCAGCACTCCCCACACAGGACAGCTATTGGGTTTTGGCATCGTTGCAAATCCCCTCTCATCTTCAGTGCACTCACCAGTGCCTTGTATATGAACGCATACTGCTCCTGAAGAAGATACAAAGGACGTAAGTCATGTATCACCTGACGAAAGTAATGTTGTAGTGTTATAATTCTTGTTTAAGCCAAAAATGCCTCCTTGATAACAAATAAAACAAACATCATAATGTGGGTATACAGTAACTCCTTGAATGAACGCCTGCCTTGAATAAATGCCGCACTCAACGACCCTCTGCTTCATAATAAACGTCTGCATAATAATACGTACACATCACTATATTAATTTCCACGGGACCATCCGAAATAAATACACACCGAGGGTTTATTCAAATATTTACGCTCTTCTGTGATTTGCTATATCAATGTGGATGCTGTATAAGATGCTAGGGAACAAGGAAAAACACATACTAGTTAATCGTCACAATTTAGTGTTATATTATAACTACAGACATTATATATTGTTGATAATAGCATAAAGGCACGACTAAAATTTGTATTAATTTTGTAATGGGTCAATTTATTTTGTTCTGCATTTCCCTTAATAAACAGGTGCGAATTATCATATTCATGGTCCAACTGCACCTGCACGTGTGGACCCTTCGTATTTTGTTTTTGAATAACATGCTAATGCCTAGGGTGCCCCTCGTAAATTATAAACTTGAGAAACACCAACAGTAATAACGGAAACATATTTGTCCTTGTCACCCCGATGCACTTTCACATTCACCGAAACCAGGACCAAGTACACGCATGTGAATATAGTGTGTGAATGGCTTAACTTGTTTGAAATACTGACTTTTGTAAGCAAGAAATCATGTCACAAGAATATCACTGACTAAATACAAATGATAGGATATGCATGATGGTACATGAACCCCCTGATAAACTGAACTGAAACTGAACTCACTTTTGTCTGAACCATTTTCATCCTCTGGTGGCGGAGGCTTTGTACACAGGTGTAGACACAGACTCGGCCCTCTTTCCTGGCCTGATCCAGCAGGTAATCCAAGGCTAGGAATGTCCCCGTGCGTCCAATACCAGCGCTGAAAACAATCATACAGTTGAACCTAGTTAGTCAGGGCTACGTTAAAACGGAAACCACAACTCCCGGAAAAATACCTTTTGTGATTCACACATGTACATGTATACAAGGTCAGGTTTCCGCACCGTTGATATGAAATGTGTTGATCAGGACGATTCACTGGGAACGTTACCGTCCCGATTAACGAGGGGTCACTCTGAACCAAGGCCATTAAATATGCTAGCAGGACCATACATCGCAGTACAAGCAAGAGGCCATCTAGCGTCGATGAGATGTATTCTATTAGAAGTATTTTACAAGAACTATTAAACAAGGTGTTTGATGAGTAATGTGACATAAAAAAAATATCAAGCAATAACTACAAACATACTGTATTTGCCATATCAAATGGTGATCTGTTGATTAATTACAGGGTTTTTTCAATTACACTCATCGTTATATCAATTACATTCGTTTCTGTGTTCGTTGGGTTTATTATTTTAAAGAAATTGTCTCAGTTGAAAATATATTCTGTGTGAACATTAACACCTTAAAAGAGCTTTTAAATATCAAATATGCTTTCAAATATTCAGACTGCTTAAATCAAACATCCTGTATTTGGTACGGATGACGACATTAAGACTAAAAATTCTTAAGGCACGTGTTTCGGGTATGTTTACCACGTCAAACACAACACACGATGACTGCAACGTCACAACGCGTCAATAAATGAAACATGATACTGAAACAAGTATTTACTTGAGAACTTCTCCCTTATAAAGTACTTGTACACACAGTACCTGCAGTGTACTAACAAGGGCCCGGATGAATTTATTCCTGTGTCCATGACAACCCTGTGGAAGTCTAGAACTGAAGTTGTCTCCCCTGGAACTCCATGGTCAGGCCAAGAGGTGAAATGGAACTGGCGGATTATTCTATTTTCAGAGTTTTCCTAAAAGAAACAAACAAATAAAGAATTGCTGATCAACACGTATAATACCTAATGTTCTTATATTAATCAATTTACTTTGCCTTTTTCAGAATTTAGTATTGATTCGGAATGGCTCTTCCAAAAACACCAAACAGTTTACATATACAGAAGCATAATTATACTTTAAATATATTTAAAATAATTAATTTCGTTTTTTGACCAGTTTTATTGTACCGCTGGCTGTGAGTTTGAGAATTATTATGTGAGAATATCTTCCATTGTAATCTGACGTTTGTATTGTACTCATACCTGCCATACTGCTAGTTTCCGGAGAGTATAATTTTTATACACCTTTTCCTCAACACACTGAACGTACACCTTGTCGTAGGTTGAGAAGTCAGAACTGCAGAAGGGCCAGTACATCTCACACTTTACCTGGTAAGAGAAACATGTTTCAAAAGATATTAGCTCAATACAAGCCGTGTAGAATGAAAGACTATATATAGCGTGCATTCTTTACATGGTTTATTTTGTTTTAAGAGTGTCTTTAGTGTACTATACTGATAAATGTCAGAGCTGGAAATTATTATGTGTATTCATACTGTCCTCTGACACGCTGTTAAATATGTTACACATGAAATAGTTACCTTCCCCGCTTCCACAAGGTTAGTCAGCATGACAATCTTGGTTATGTTCAGCTGCCATATCATCCTCCAGAAGTCTGCTACTACTTCTATCGATGGTCCTGCAATACGGGATTTGGATTATGTACAGCAAGTAAATTGTTTTTGCTACGAACGGTTCACTACGTAATATCTAATGTCTCTCTTTTCACATTACAAGTAAATTCTAAAGCTCAAATTTGAAACTCACTACTTAGTGAATGGAGCTCGAACTATTAAAGTTGTCGTTTAATATGACTATCAAACATCTGTTGTGTTTCTATAGCATCGTCTTATTCAATACATAATCAAACGGTAATAACCAAGGTCAGTTAGCATGATACTAAGGCTTTATGTTCTTACCCTGAGCTGCTATGTACTTGACTTGCGCTTTGTATCCCTGAAATATATTCATAACATTTTATTTACACGGAAATAACAATCATAGACAGATCTCAGTAATGCAATAAGTAAGCAATTTGTATATACATATAATACATATAATACATATGTATGGATTTGTATCCCCCTGGCAGGTACAAAACAACTGGAATAAACGTAATTATGAATTTATTAAATGTTGAACGATAAAACACTTTGTCCTGATCCAAAGACACGACGCAAAGGTTACTAAAGAATAAAGATGAGAGTACGTATGCTTACGTCAATGAATGACGCGTTGATATAATCGCTGTCATTTTTCTCGTCAATCTCGAGTGACACCCGCGTTGAGTCATCTGCATTGCGTTGGAAAACAGCAACAGAAATAGATTTGGGTTATATAATGAAAAAGTAAGTTTCGGTTGTTTTCAATTAATATGTGTCAGTACAATATTCACACCAGGCCAAACCATACATATACATGTTTAGGTTTTTTTGTAAAAAAAGAAGCAAATAACGTTAACAGTGTCATTATTCTCAGGTATGAAGTAAATACTAGGATATGAAAATATAATAAGTGATATAATGACAGATTAAGTGATACTAAAGCAGAGTGTATCCATCACCCCTTATCTATGTAGTGAACATGCGTAAACGTACATGGCAATACATCTCTGTATCTGTTCTTCAGGGCGTTGTCATCCAGAGATCCATACCTTGCTTTTTCGATGTTGGGACAGGACAGCCTCTGTTAAAAAATACGTTAAGAAAAACATGATCTAATAATAGAAGGCGAAATTAAGGCACACATGTGTCAATTCTTTAATGTAGTGAATAATGTTAATAATATGTTACATTTTATGCTCACCTGGAACTCGTGCATTATCTGCTGGGATGCCATCTCACCTTTCAGCTCTCCGCATAACATCACTCGTTGGAGGGCATCACCTGTAAACGATTGATAACATATTCGTCCTCCCATTTCACACGGTAAATTATAGTTGAAATGTATTGAGAGTACCTCTTAAGATTACACTTGGAAATTGAAGGTATCTATTTGTTTGAATTTAAAGACGTGTTGACAGGGTATTAGAAATATGCAATTAACGTTAAAATCCGTCTACTTAATGCAAGCACCACACATTTGTTGTAATACCTTGACATGAGGATGTGTGCATTCCATCTGATGATGACAGGTTTTGTTGGCTATCATGGGGCGTCAACTCATTGTTATTAAGTGAATGCATTTCACATATCAGCTCTTTCAATCTTCTTTTTCTTCTGAACAATACAGAATATATAGTCAGACATTACATAAAGGCTTTGGAATAACACGACATTTCAAACAGCTATCGAATGTTTAACATTTCAACTCAGATACATGCAAATACAATATGTAACATAAATTCGGTATTTAATGTACCCCATGATATTTTTATGATTCAAACTTTAGATAACAAAATACTTAACGCGTCATAAATATCTGTGTAACATAAGGCTCACCTCTTCCACAGAAACACCACGAGTAAGAGAACAGACGCAGCGACAACCATCGCTAACAGGACACTTCCGATCCACATCAGTAACGGTGGTTGTCCTTCAAAATTAGTGTAGATAAATTGTTACAGGTCTTGTTAAAAACAATCGACTTCATAATAAACATACGAACTCAAAATCATTACTGGGATAAAAATACAAAAAGTATATGCAATTCATATATTTATATGTTTCATAGGAATTCATAATGATATATTTAGATATATTCTACTTGGCAAATATAGTTGCTGTGCTTCTGAAGACTGCGTGATAGTTATTTATAACTTATGTCCTGACACATTTTACTTTCAATGACGACAAAAGTTCTCACCTAAAGGTACACATTCCCCAGTGTCTTTATCACATCCACCTTCACAGCTGGTGGGACAGGTTACATTACAGTACTTCCCTGTGTACACTGGCTCACAGCGGTCACAAGCCCCCGTGATCCTATTACATATATCTGTACAGCCGGAGGAACAAGGTGTTCTACAGTGTGGACCGTAATACCGGAGATCCTGACATGGTCCTGTACAACCATCACCATAACGTTCACACTGTGTACAGGCTGTAGGACAGTCCACTCCACAGTTATCTCCCTTCTTGCCGGCCACACATCCCTCTGTACACACAACACGGGAGTTTTCCATCTGACAGCGTGAGCTGAGACAGGTGCGTGGACAGTCATGTTCACACAGTTTACCATAGAACCTGGAGTCCCGACACTGGAAACACTGCCCGGTTGCCGCCACAGAAACACATCGAGGTAGACACACATCGTCAACACAGGTCACATTGTTGCCGTCACAGGCGCTGCATGGTTGTAAGAAGCATGAAGCTGTAAGTACATGAGGAAATGAAATAAAAAAGAGGATAATAAATTAGACTCAAACATGGTCATTGTCAACATTTGCATCAGCAACGTGGCCTCCTTTTACTTGTTATTTGCATTTGCCGTTATTTAATTAGGAACACTGTCGAGCAAAGCTGGCTGCTTTTCAGAGCAGGTATTTATTTCATTCCGTACCCCCACAGCGAACCTGAAAATTAGTCAAAGTACAAACCTTCGCTAATGTTACATATGTCACAGTATTTCCCTGTGTAACCTTGTTTACAGCTGCCACATTTCCCCGTGTCTTTATCACATCCATCTCCACAGTTGGGGGGACAGGTAATATCACACTTGTCCCCTGTGTAACCTGGCTCACAGCTGCCACACACCCCCGTGTCTTTATCACATTCATCTCTACAGTTGCGGGGACAGGTAACATCACACTTGTCCCCTGTGTAACCTGGCTCACAGCTGCCACACACCCCCGTGTCTTTATCACATTCATCTCTACAGTTGCGGGGACAGGTAACATCACACTTGTCCCCTGTGTAACCTGGCTCACAGCTGCCACACTCCCCCGTGATCCTATTACATCCATCTGTACAGCCGGAGGAACAAGGTGTTTCACACTGTGGACCGTAATACCGGGGATTCTGACATTGTCCTGTACAACCTTCACCATAACGTTCACACTGTGTACAGGCTGTAGGACAGTTCACACCACAGTTATCTCCCTTCTTGCCGGCCACACATCCCTCTGTACACACAACACGGGTGTTGTTCATCTGACAGCGAGATTTGAGACAGATGTCTGGACAGTCATGTTCACACTGTTTACCATAGAACCTGGACTCCCGACACTGGAGACACTCTCCAGATGACGTCAAAGAGACACATCGAGGTGGACACATACCGTCAACACAGGTCACGCTGTTACCGTCACAGTTGCTACATGGAGTACTGGCTACAAGAGCTGTCAAAAAGTAGAAAATGCAATATCACAGGACACGTCAAATATTATTTACGAAAGGAAAACATGTTAATTAAATATAATTGCATTTTTCTGGTTTAATAGTTTCTTGGACACACATTTGAAACACAGGCCACGTTGTTACCGTCACAGTTGGAACAAGATGCCCTTGTAGAGGAAACTGTCGATTAGGAACGAAATAATGTATAGCGCTGTATTCAGTTAAATAATAATCATCTTCAATGTCGTGTATTCTCTTTTTATATACACGAAACTTTCAGAGGAATTACCGAAACTGGCCGCGTCGTGTCGTTCAGGACTATGTTTCTGTTAGTAATAGATGGCATATTTTCACGGTATCATGATTTTATTTAGTACACAGGAGCATTAACATTCTGTAGAAATCACTCGTCTTTCCTCTTTCCACCTAATTGTCGGCGATAAGATATTGTTTAGATGAATAGCAATAAATTACAGTAATTGGTGATGATTCGTCTCGAATTCGTTTTGAAACCTTATAAAATTTCAGATGACATACTCTATACCTGATATTTTGTTCTGATTATCGAAAGTGCAACCTATCACATCAGACACATCGGCTTCCGAAAAAAGCTTATAACATGCTCTTTCATTTAGATAGTATCGGTAAGGTTACATGGGTATCGCATATTAGGACACTATTATTCTCACATGGATATGGGTATATATGGCTTAACCAATCTGTTGGTGATCAACATTTATTTCTAAATGATTTTCGTAAAATAGCAATAAATATGTTCTATCAAGGGTGGCAATGCAACTTGGAAAACAGTTCACGTTATGATTTGTACAGAACATTTAAGACTCTATTAGAGCCAGAAAAATATCTATCAGTTTTAACAAATAGTCACCTAAGAAATGGATATATTAAATACAGACTTGGCTTGTCAAAACTTATGATTAACTATGGACGGAATATATCACTTGAAAGAATACAAAGAATTTGTCCATTCTGTAACTCTGCAATAGAAGACGAAATACATTTTACCTTTGAATGTCCTTATTATGCAGAATTACGTACTAAATATATACCAGAATGTTTCTTATCTAAGACGAGTAGAATAGCTTTTGTTTCTATTTTGTCATCGAATGATGCCGATGTAATGTTTAAACTGTCTTTATTTGTAAAACATGGGATGGAACTACGAAATAACATGTTGAGTGGAAATTCATATTTTTAATTACCTTACCCTAGAAAGTCCTCATGATTATCACCGATTGTTAAATGAATGTTATATTTATGTAATTTTTGTTGTATCTCCCAATCTGTAAATTCTCACCCCCTGTATTTATCTGAACTTGTATATGGGCCGATGGCCTTTGATACAATAAACATCTTTGACTTGACTTGACTTGACACCATAATTAATACCAGTTTATAAGTTAACGATAAACTCTCACCTTTCAGGAAAAGCAGAGAGAGCAGGACGATGGATGTCCAATGATGACACCGTGGGATAAGTACATCCATTGTGAAGATGTTCTGCAAAACAAGGATACTCAGAATTAGTGTCATGTAGTTACCTATGTTCGTTGTGTTAGATAGGCCACGAGATAATGGGTAAAATGTGATTGTAAACAATATTGTTATTAAAAATATTTGTTTCTTTTTAGTAGTTTTGGGTTTGGGTTAATCTCAGGAACCGGTGTTTCTTGATAATTTGATTACCCCCTAGATTTGAATTCGTTAACTTAAATTTTAAAATCACACTCAAGACCTTTTTACACACACTGTGTGTGGTGCCTGACATGAATATGTTTGAGAATGTCACGTGCACGTGTGTGTAAGGTAAATTATGTTCATATGCAGTTTGAACTGCTGCACTGTACTTAACATGGACACATATAAATTATATTAAGTGAGTGAGTGAGTGAGTTGGGTTTAACGCCGCTTTTAACAGTATTCCAGTTATATCACGGCGTTTCAGCTTAATGTGGGAGGAAAGCCCGAAGTGATGCAGGTCTCAGACGTTTACCACTTCGGTGAAACCCAAGAGCACGGGCATGGTGCTGACAAACCTAGAAACATAATTGGTGCGAACCGGGATTCGAACCCACAATCATAGGTTTCTGGCGTGCCCAAGGGACGCAACTCTGCACAGCGAATCGCGGCGCCTTAGACGACTGGGCCACCCGTGCCCCCTAAATATTAAGGCTCTGTGCCTTTTTTCCTTACCTGTTCTTCCTGACCGGTTGTGATAGTCATACTGTGACCTATGTTACTGATACATTCGGAGCCGAAGGCGAGCAAATGGTTTGAGAGAGTTGAAACCTTCACACTAAACTGATGGGGTTTGTGTTTGTTTGTTTGTTTGTTTGTTTGTTTGTTTGTTTGTTTGTTTGTTTGTTTGTTAAACGCCGCACTCAGAACTATTCCAGCTATATGACAGTGGTCTGTGAATAATCGAGTCAGGACAAGACAATCCAGTGATTGACATCATGAACATTGATCCACGCAATTGTCAGCGAGCCTGACCCCCCGATCCCGTTAGTCGACTCATACGACAAGCATAGGCGCCTTTTACGGCAAGCATGGTTTTGTCATTATAGAATTAATACAAAAGACTGTTTGAGTTAACGAGCTAAGGGTCATTGCTCTATGAATGAATAACAAATATTATGGAGAAGGAGACTTGTCGCCGAGTGAAATATCCTGTACAATAAACGATGATTAAAACGACTGATGAAATGTATACGAGGAATAATAATGTGTTATGCGAGACTGAGGCGAGCATGATACATGTAAATGGTTTTTTTATTCACAATATATGATGTTTAATATACACCATATGGAAATAAACAAGGATCTTAAATTGAAAAAATAGTATAACACATATTTTCACTCACTGAACTGTAAGGATCACGAAGTAAAGCAATGAATACTATTATTTCATGCAGCTGTACTACAACAATACATATTTCTGGGTTATGTCCATGCTCTTAAGAAACGCAATCTTTCTGCTACATTCTTGGAATAAAGTTCAACTTACTTTTGTCTTGTCCCAGTGTATATGGTGTAGTGTAGACCTGTTCCCGTTACTGACGTTGAGAATACAGACACCGCTCACCAGGGTAGTTTCATTTTCCGCCTTGACTCAGCGATCATGATTTGACTTTAACCTCCTACACTCCCTATTATTTGAAACATTCATTTATGAAGTGTATGTTAAAAAGGTGCGCCTAGACGCATTTGAGTTTATTTATTGATTTAATTTGAATACCTTTTATACTTTTCTACAAAAAGAGCACAGTAAGCTCATAAACCCAATTTGTCGGTGCATAACCTGTACCCCGCAGATTCGTTAGGCACTAGACATGAGCTAATTAGATATATGTAAGTCAATGTGATATTCAGGGTATATTCAGAGCACTCTCTGTATATTACGAATGTTGACTTCATGTCCAATGCAGTGCAATTCCGTTATTCCGGACCCAATATTTCCGGAAACCGATCCTCCGAACAATTACTCTTTTGTTGAGTGTGGGGGAAAGGTGACAGCGACATATTGAGTGACAACCCTAGTCAAGTGTAATCAACAGCTGGACGACAAGGAAACAGATACTCAAACTTCCCGAGCCACGTGCAAGAGAGACAAACACAATGATATAATGTTTGATATACTTCTTAATGGCAAACCTTTACCACTGAATCTTTTTCAAACCCAGACTAAACAAAGCTCATTTATTTTTTATCAAAGCAGCCATTTCTTTGGAAAAAGATAATGATAATTTGAAACATGTACTGAAAACTTTAGAGTGAGTGAGTATGGTTTTACGCCGCTTTTAGCAATATTCCTGCAATTTCAAGGCGGGGGACACCAGAAATGGGCTTCATACATTGTACCCATGTCGGGAATCGAACCCGGGTCTTCGGCGTGACGAGCGAACTCTTTAACCACTAGGCTACCCGACCGCCCCTTGATAACTTTAGAATACCTGTATTAAAACAACATGCCCATCACCGAGGCTTAAGTGGACATATCGTAGCCGTCCTAACCAGCCGGTTTCTATATCGGTGGTCGGGGGCGGACGGGTAGTCTAGTGGTTAAAGCATTCGTTCGTCACGCCGAAGACCCGGGTTCGAATCCCGACATGGGCACAATGTGTGAAGCCCATTTCTGGTTTATTGCTGGAATATTGCTAGAAGCGGCGTAAAACCATACTCACTCACTATATCGGTGGTTGTCTGTTCTTCATTTTGACCGCTTCCGTGGTTAAGTGGGTGGTAGAGCGTCTGCCCGGAGTGCGGAAGGTCAGGGGTTTCTCATGGGCTGGCACTACAGCTGCTGAACAAAAACTGTAACAACTCCTCTTCAATATCAGTTTAAACTTCGCTGTAAGGAGCTATCTAACTCCAAAGACGAGAACATATGTCTACAGTTAAAGTTCAGAACTGTGTAATCAGTAAAACAAGCAAATGTAAAGTCAATGATGTACCCATACGAAATTAGTTACCTTACGTTAGTGACCACTGTTCCTTGTCGATATGGGTGTAACCATCATGGTTCCCTTTCACGGTTGCATTATCGATTGTAATGACACCAAATCAAATATGTTTGATTGTGATTCGGTACATTAACGTACATACTCATATCGAGACTAAGAACCTCGAATTCAAAATGTCATAAACAGGAAGTACTCGTATGATAACATGTAACTTCTTTCAAATGTGAGTCAAACAAACATTTGTTCACACATACACATACACACACATGCACACACACATGCACACACACACACACACACACAGACACACACACATACACACACAGACACACACAGAGACACATACACAGACACACATATACACACATGCACACACACAGAGACACAGAGACACACACGCATATACAGACACAGATACACACACGGACACACACAGAGGCACACACACACACATTAACACACACATATATATATATATATATACAGAGAGAGAGAGAGAGAGAGAGAGAGAGAGAGAGAGAGAGAGAGAGAGAGAGAGAGAGAGAGAGAGAAAATTTCACCCGAGTGTCTTTTGTTATCAAATATATCAACACGAGTTGATAAAAATGGAAAAATTCCGAGGCTTGCCGAGAATTTTTGCAACTTTTATCAACGAGTGTTGATATATTTTATAGCAAAAGACACGAGGGTGAGATTTTATTTATCATCCAACATCATTCGTCCAACTTTTTCAATTTGTAGACAGTAATTAGCAGTGTCTTAAGTGTAAAAAGTACTGCTAACAGCTTCAGTAGCAGAGCCATTAGTGATGTCGTTTGATTGTGACGTCATGGTAACCAGTGATGTAACAATTGTCTGCAAAGCATTGTGATGTAATTTCATTGCAGCGATATCTACAGTGTAGATATCGCTTGATCTAATCCAAGCGATATCTCCTGTGGGAGCCAGTTTTGGATGATATATGAAGCACAGTAAAGTTCTAACTCTCAGGCACAATATAGTAATAATTAAATAAGTGGAGTAAGATTGAACACAGTTTTAATTGGCTAGCGTTTTTAACTCGTACCACGTACGAGTCTCATCAGGCTATAACTGAATAACGGACATGAAGTATTATAGCTAAAATGGATAGAATTATCATTAAACCGCCCGCACGTTATCAGAAATGAGCGGGCCACTGTAACTTGATAATGCCCTCATATTGCTTGACGACGGGCCATTATCTAGCTCGTTGTTAGATGACGTCATAGGGTAGAGAATATGACGTCACATATTATAGTGACGTCATCTGGTTTGTTCTATGACGTTTCCATATTTGTAAAATGTGGTCAGTGACATTCGCGTTGATTGCAGTAAATGTTTCAAAACCGATGTTGTTGTTTCTTTATATTTGATAAAATATTCCATCCATTTTAGCTATAATAACGGTAACGCTCTTTTTCAGGTCATTATCATTTGCAGAAGCCCTCGGTCTTTTCAACTGCTCTCCTTCGTCGGGCAGTTAATGGAAGACCTCGGGCTTCTGCAAATGATAATGCCCTGAAAAATAGCGTTACCCTTATAGTAACATATAGTTACGTGACGTCATAACATTAGGAAAACTATGACGTCACAATACCAAGGTGACAATGGACAAATAACTTACGCCTTTACATTAAACTTAGGCGCGTATTTATGAATGAAATGTTGCTCTTTTTGAAACAATGTAGGTTCATGATAAAAATTTAGCTTATATAGCGGGAAAACTAAAAAGTTGCCGTTTCCACATGCTTCTAAATGTTCACTGAGTTGAATCGTACGGTTGTGTAGCTGCTTTATTTATGAACGGTGAAGATTCATTCTTCTTTTTAATTAAGTTCTGTCTTTCCGATATACTTTTCATTGCATCCACTGCAAACAATCAAGTAAATAACATTTCTAGTATCACAAGGCATATTTTGTTTTACAGTAAATTGAGTGTCCTTTGTAATTTGTACTGAACAGCCTTCAATTATATTGCTGCAAGTTAGGCAACGTTTGTCACCGCACTTAGAAACTTGCGGAGTGATGACAACAGAATCAAATTTAGAACTTGTCAAAATCTTTCTAAGATTTTTTAGTTGTCTTTGGCTGTTTATAATTTTGTATTTGCTCAATATCTTCTCCATTTTAATACTTTGATTCAAAATAGGCAGGTATCGTTGAACCATGGATAATGTTTTTTCATGATTAGGGTTGAAGGTAGATAATATAGTTAAATGCTATCATTATTGAAACGTTAACATGTTATAACTAAACGGTTGGTCTGAGATACTTCTTAGATGTAGTTAGGCTACTTCCATTCCATATATTACAGTTCTCATCGTTCTTACTTTGTAAAGTATAAACTGGAACGTGTGGGTTTTTTTATGAAAAGAGCTTTCGGCTCAGTAAGTGAATTTTTGGCTACAGCGTTACATGAAATTATGTTACGTCATGAACGTTGGATAACGTCATATCGCTCGCGAAACTGACGTCTCGTTAGGTCGTTTTATGCATATCAAACATCTAAACGTTCTAATATTTTCACCCAATCAGCCCTAAGTAACAAACAGACGTATTATTTTTAACTATCACACGGTGCGTTATTGATCATATTGGTATTTTAAAAACTGTTTGTTCACAATTCGCAATCTCCAAAATCCATTGCACTTTATAAATATCTCCAATTTGGATGGTGCATCTTTGTTATAAAACCTCAACAGTAGTACCTTTATACCTTTGTTTATATAACAGCAACATTAAACACGCAGAAAATGCAATTAACTATTTCGTTCGTTTCCTGCGTAGTCATTGTACACAATATTCGTCAGCTCTGGAGGTAAACATAAAGGGTGAATGGAGTACATATAAACAGCATCAGGGTTAACGTGTATATTTGAAACGTAAACTAACGTGTCCTAAACTAACAAGAAACATGACAAAACCTCACTTGGCCTTACATGATACTATAAGGGTGACGCTATTTTTCGGGGCATTATCATTTGCAGAAGCCCGAGGTCTTCCACTAACTGCCCCACGAGGGAGGGCAGTTGAAAAGACCGAGGGCTTCTGCAAATGATAATGACCTGAAAAATAGCCTCACCGTTATTATAGCTAAAATGGATAGAATTTTTTATCAAATAAAAAGAAACAAAATTTTTGAAACATTAACTGTAATCAACACGAATGTCACTGACCCACTTTTACAAATATTGAAACGTCATAGAACAAACCAGATGACGTCACTATTGAACGTGATGTCACCTATCCCTATCCCTATCACGTCACCTATCCCTATCCCTATGACTTCACCTAACAACGGGCGTGATAATGGCCCGTCGTCAGGCAATATGAGGGCATTATCAGGTTACAGTGGCCCGCTCATTTCTGATATCATCAGGGCGGTTTAATGATAATTCAATCCATTTTAGCTGTAATAGATGCCAGGGTTGTACCCAAATACCCAGTTGAATCACAGTTAAATTGAGTTATATATTGTGCCAGGTTCAACTAGTAAAAAACATATTTAACTGAAACACAAATGCATTACTTTTTATTTCCTTTCACATAAAAACACAAAATATATGGTCAGCTTCCCCGTATTAAATTTCAGTTCCACTTTCCTGATGTTTCCGGGGAATGTGATAACGTGGGTCTCACTGAGAGCGCAGGAAGGACACTCATCACGTGCTCTCTACGTGAACTCAATAAAATTGCCATATATGGACTTCCATGATGATGTAAACAGTGAATAGATTAAACTGATTAAAACCGGTGAAAAGGAAAATAATGAGTTGTTTGAAATCATTAAATTAGCGTGGAATGTCTACGTCATTTTTTGTATTTGTGTATAACAAATATATTGATGTGTTTGGGAGGGGAGGGGTATAGCCGAACCCGGACCTTCATTCGTAGGTGATGATCCTGTTAGACACTAAATCTCCAATTCATCCAGGAAAGAGTGAGTGAGTGAGTTGGGTTTAACGCTGCTTTGAACAGTCACATATCACGGCGTGTCAGAGAGAGACAGACAGACAGACAGACAGACAGACAGACAGAAAACGTATAAACAACAATTGAATCGAAGAATATCAGGCGAATCTTGACATTTAAAATAAATCTTCGCAATGGGTTCAAGTTTACTCGTAAAGTGAACCAAGTATGCATGATATCGACCTCAAGTTACTTTGGACGTTGCATAGCTGTGTAGTGACACAACAACTCGTCACTATGACTTACTTGAAACTACAATATATTGTTCAGAATGTGTTGGGGTTTTTTCAACAATCTGACCACGAGGATTCATAAAGGGTGTTATTGTATTGTGGATGTTGCAGGTGATTCAATTACTATCGATGTTTCAAGGTGCATGTTACATGGTACATGTCGCAAACCTAACTGTTTTGGTTTTGCACTGAAAATATTTATGTACTTATATGATTCCCACAAATGACCTTTGTCACAATACAATGATGTCCAATGTGCAAATTTTCCATGAATCATTCAACGGCAATGTTGCTCTGCAATATATGTACACTGAATGCCACTGCTGGTCTTGATGTCAAGTCTAAAAATAAATTCCATCTGACTTACTTAATTTAATAGAGGTTGTTTCAAAGATACCTGAAATCATAATTAATGCGACTTCACAGTTAATAAAGGAGTTGACCGCCTCTGTGGTCTAGTGGTAGAGCGTCCGCCCCCAAGGCGGAAGGTCCGGGGTTCGATCCACGGTCGCATCAAACCAAAAAAACGCTTAAATATGGTACTTGTTGTTACCCTGCACTATAAAATAGGCATTAGTCTGGACTGGTACAAGCAGCCACACACACACACACACACACACACACACACACACACACACACAAACACGTGCATGCACGTCACTATATCAATGCCATAATCTTGGACGCGACGGTAAACCTCATTTCACCTCACCTCACTTCAACTTATAAATGAGTCATACAAGCCGTGAAACCAATAGTACTCCTCACCAAATTTACAATCGAATCTTTTTTACGAATTTTCTTTACAAATCTATATTTCAAATCTTTGTCCCTCGATGTTTCAAAGGTATATTATTTACCTCAAAGTTTACAATAGGGTAGTTTTTCAAAAATAGGTTACCATTTGTAACTTATATTTCGAAGTACTCATGCTTAAATAGTTACTCTCTAGCTTTCCATATGACCCCTTTCACTTCAAGATATCGAGATGTCACATGTTTATTATGTATCTGTTCCAAAGGTTACATGCTCTTTCAATACAACATAATGCGGAGTGGAATGTTTATTTTTTAAAACAAAGTAGTTACAGACAGATAGTCGGAATTGTTCTTACGAAAAACATTCTTATGTTGAAATCCCCAGTGGTGATTGATCAAACGACAGAATCTCTGGAAGTTTCCACAACTGCTGTCGTGATATATTTAACATGGACATCAGTCACATCACATGTTAGTACAAATATAGTTGCCGAGTCAAAACTTAACTCATTCTCTTGGTTCGAAAGCAAAATAGTTTCACTATCAGAATGTGATCTTTGAGCAGATGTTTCATCTGGTCTGTCTGGCTTTCCCATGTCACATGAAACTGCACGGCGTACACTGAAGAAAGTATTCCTGTTAACTAGCTCGTTGATCTTGCAATGATCAGTTTCATCTTTGACAATGTCCCTATCCTTCTCGACAGCACTTCTTGCCAACATATAAGGGTTCGGAAGCTCAGGTGAGATGTTTTCTTTGTGGTTATCTGCTAGGGTACCGGTTTTGTCTTTGGCATACGTTGTTGTTTCTGCACCAGAGTCAATGTCTTCATCCTTGATCTCCCAATACCTGTACCAACTGGACCCACTGTAGCCGCCAGCATCTGGAGCACGCCCTGATGCTGATCCCGTCTCAGACAGTCGTCTCGGGCTCCATATAGGTCTGCAAAAAGACCTCTAGCACTTAAACAGAGTGAGTGAGTATGGTTTTACGCCGCTTTTAGCAATATTCCAGCAATATCACGGCGGGGGACACTAGAAATGGGCTTCACACATTGTACCCATGTCGGGAATCGAACCCGGGTCTTCGGGAACTCTTTAATCACTAGGCTACCCGACCGCCCCCACTTAAACAAAACATGTAAAAGAAGCTTTTCTGCATCATTTTATTATTATGTTTTTTCTTTTTGCCAACGGTACCTTTGATGGAGCCTGATACGCTTTGAACATCGCTTGTACAATATCAATGCAAATGTTCCGAAGAGAAGTGTTCCCAAGACAGCACACACTAGCTTTAGTGTCTCATTTGATTCTTTTTGCATACTCGGCATGGAAGTTGTGCCTGAAAGAAACGAATCAGGGACATATATGATTTCCGTATTAATACGGCTATGTAGTGAGTTGTGGGGGGGGGGGGGGGGGGGGGGAGGGGGGGGGGTTTAACGCTGTAGTTGGGTTTCACGGTGTGTCAGCTCAATGTGGGAGGAAAGCTATAAGTGATGCTTACTGCTTACTGAAGAGTATGGTGCTGGTAAACCTCGAAATATAATTGGGGCGAACCTGCTTTTGAACCCACAATCATAGGTTTCTGGCGTGCCCAAACGACGCAACTCTGTACAGCATATAATGGCGCTTTTTCGATGATACTCTTTATAAAAGTATAACTTAACCGAATTATCTTACAAGAAGTCAAACGTTACACAAATTAAATTTTCTTTACGATGATCGTTGTGCGACATCAGCCATGTCAGCTGAGACAACAACCAGCAGAAATCATATCAATATACACCGAGAGTATCAACCATAATTCCCTTAAACCAGGACAATCCATTAGAATACTATAAACAGGACAAGCAGAGAGGCACCTGTTGATAGTGTAAGTACACCCTTGCATGGCTTGCACACTTTGCACTCTTCTGTTGACGAGTTGCACCCATCACACTGGATCGGACATCGATGTTGACAGTTTACACCGTAATACTTCGCGCCTGAGCATACTTGTTTGCACCCATCTGCATTGTCACAGTCCTCACACCGTGGGCAGTTTGCACCACAGTAGTTGCCCCTCCAACCACGTCTACAGCCGTTACACACGCCGGTCTGTCTGTCACAACCATCGTTGCAGTTTACTGGGCATTTGTGACAGTCCTGACCATAAAAGTTATGTTTGCATTGTCCAAAACAGCTACTGTTGTATCTGGAACAGTTTGAACATCCCTTTGGACAGTCCACCTCACAATTGTCTCCCTTCTTGCCGGCCACACATCCATCTGTACACACAACACGGGTGTTGTTAATCCGACAGCGAGAGTTGAGACAGGTGTCTGGACAGTCATTCTGACACTGTGTTCCATAGAACCTGGAGTCCCGACACTGGTCACACTCTCCAGACGACGTCACAGAAGCACACCGTGGCAGACATACACCCTTGAAACAACCCACGTCGTTACCGCCACAGTCAGAGCAAGACGGATCCAACTGGTAAGGTGTACCTGAACAAACAATATGATGACATAATTACATATAGTTAATAAAAAATGCGTATCATGATTGTGACAATAAAAACAATAAGGTCAAATGCATAACGGTTGTGTGCAATTCACAAATAACGTACGTCAATGTCAGCCATGTTTTCTCTTGTAAATCATGATCGGCCAACAAGTGCTCGATAATGCGAACAGTGATACAAAGAAACACCCAAAAGAACCTGCCCTGCCTCACTGAAGTGGGTGCACGGGTTGTCCAAATGTATAAGATCAAGGTTTTGAGGAAACCGTAACGTGCAGGTTCGAATCCCAGCTTCATCCTAAAGAGGATCCGTGTTAGGGCTGGGACGAGTCCAAATTTACTACCCGGGTACCCAACCCCCTATTACCCGACCCTACACGGGTACCCACTGTAGGTCTCAAGAGTTGGGAACACAATGTCTAATTGGGAATAGTTTAACTGTAGCCCTGGCAAAAACTGTTTAGATACATGTATGAAACCAGAGACCATATAATAGATATATGGTCTCTTATGAAACGATCAAATCATGCGTACACTGAAGTTGAGCTGAAGCTTTATCTTTCCTCAAACATTTACAAGTCAAAAGGAATGTGTGCATCATCATAAAGAAATGGGAACATTAGCGACTTGTAGTGTAACCACTGAGTTATAGTAAGTTTTTGTCATTAAACAATATCACGTGATTAACCACGGGACCGGGTAGTACTGTGGATACCCGGGTCCTACTTAGGACCCACCCGACCCGAGTACGCGAGTTACCCGTCCCAGCCTTAATCCGTGTCTTGTCAGCCATACTGCGGTTGCCTGACTGAATAACTTTCAACGCTCTACCACTCATCCATACAGATCTGGACACCCGATATTATAACTGACATGGCTTCAAATGAATCTGACTTCCATTCAAACATGACTTCGAGTTTAGGCGAGTGAGTTTACATACCTTCATGAGTCGCAATAGTGAAGACCAATACTGTTTGTAGCATACGACGTAAATTCACAGAACGTTTACCTACGACACAGGGGGGACACTTTCGGTGGGTCATTTCTGAAATAAGCAAACAAATAATAGTTTTCTGGAAGGGGCATTAGAATATAGACAGTATCAGGGTGAGATACGGAACGCAATGTATATACGCACCATTACCCCTAGTAATTAAACTGAAACTGACTGTTCGCGTAGTCTCCGTGTATTTTTTTATCAATAGAAACAACAAGATGCAGATACAAGGAAACGAAGCATTGATAAAAATATCATGTGCCTTTGAATTTATACACGGACACCAACCTTTCATTGTATTTCATATTTTGCCATATTTCCATTCCGGGAAATAGAAACAATTCCATATAATTACAAAAACAAAAATGTTAAATCAAGATGACCTAACAGGCACCTCTATGTTATTTTCACAAATGGTATCGATTTCCTTCAAACAGCTGAACATGTATGTAAATGTGGGCAAAATGTCTACAGAATATAAACATGCCTGATTAGAATTGGATGAACCCTATTATGTTCAATAGCAGGTACTACTTATCTTAATGACCCATTATGTCAGATGTGAAATATAATCATGTGAGTTAGTTACAGCATATAAGTTGGACAAAGGATCAACCATTTGGATATGGACATAATTGTATACGTAAATACACAACCTACCGTACAACTACCTCTGCAATAAACCACACAGGCGTCCGGGGCTGCCCACGCATTAACTCACTGACACGGCGATGTTGGCATTGTTTAAACAAAACAGAGGGCAAGGGTGATCCAGTCGTCTTTGTAGCCATAATTCACTATACAGAGTTGCGTCTCTTGGGCATACAAGGATCCGACGATTGTTGGTTGGAATCTAATAATGACCTAATTGATCCTTGATTTGTCACCACAAACAAGAGTCCGTGGATTTCATCTAAGGGGTAAACGTCTAGGATCTGAGTCACTTTGAATTTGTTTCCAACATCAAGTTAACAACACGTAATATATCATTCAAAACCGGCTTCCATAGGAAATATCGCTTGAGTGAGATCAATCGATATATCCGAGGAGATACCGCTACAATGAAATTACATCGAAATCCTTTGCAGGCCAATGTGACGTCATCGGTTATCATGACGTCAGAATTAAATGACATCACTAATCTCTCTGATAATGAAACTGGTAGGCTGTACATTTTACGCTCAATACACTGGTTATTGCTATTTACAACCTAAACTGATAGAAAGTATAATTTTGGATGATAAATAGAATCTCACCTATGTGGATTTTGATATCAAATCTATCAACACTCTTCGATAGAATTTTAAAACTTATCGGCAAACTTCGGAGTTTTAAACTTTTATCGACTCGTGTTGGTCCACTTGTTGTCAAAAGACACACGGTGAGATTCTCTATATAACTCTTTCCATTTTGCATCGTATTAATAACAGAATATCATTTCTGCCTCCAATGTCCATTCTATGCAGATTAAAGAGACAGCATTTTACCAAAGTATTATTGTGCCCATCCAAACCGGCAAATACTTAAAATGCTATTCTCAAGCCGAATACGCCTTTACTTAACAGTCTAGAGAAATATATTTTCTCAGCACTTAAGAAGCGCAATAGATATTTTAAAGATGTCATTTATTATCCTTAAGAGTGATAATGTCCACTATTGTACATCATAAGGCAACCATTTGGGCATATGTGTGTGAGTCTATACTTGTATAATGGGCTGGTGGCCTCATTACGGAATAAACAACAACAACTAAAATAATTATTAATGCAGTATTAACCCGCTTAATCAAACAAGTGATGTGGGGTAATTATATATAGGATATGTTGTGATAAGTAGTAGAATAACATCAACAACAACATATAATGAAGCCATGTATATGTGGTGTGATGTCTCCCTCTTGAAACAAGCAATAGTAGTTATAAAAAATACTGATACTGATTTTTATGCAAAGTTATTGTTCACGTAACTGTGTTTATTATTATATTTTCCTGTTTGCGGTTGCATGTCATCGAAATGTTGAATTCTTGAATATTCATGTAATGTGAGACTGTTTCACTGAGTAGAAGATATATTGTGATTATTAATTTGTTAAGGGGCGGTCGGGTAGCCTAGTGGTTAAAGCGTTCGCTCGTCGCGCCGAAGACCCGGGTTCGATTCCCGACATGGGTACAATGTGTGAAGCCCATTTGTGGTGTCCCCCGCCGCGATATTGCAGGAATATTGCAAAAAGCGGCGTAACACCTCACTCACTCACTCGCTATAAATTTGTTCAACCATTTAAAACAAAACAATCGTACAACACTCAAAGTATTGTCTGTGTTGGTTGGTTTGTTGTTTAAAGCCGCTCTCAGCAATATTCCAGCTATATGACGGTGGTCTGTAAATAATCGTGTCTGGACCAGACAATCCAGTGATTGATATCATGAGCCTTGATCCACGCAATTGGGATCGATGACATGCTTCAACCAAGTCAACGAACCTGACCACCCGATCCCGTTAGTCGCCTCTTACGACAAACATAGTCGCCTTTTACGGCAAGAATGGGTTGCTGAAGACCTATTCTACCCCGGATATTTGTCTGTGTCAATACATTTAATGATTATATATGTAATACAGTACACGAACTCAAAGGGACCACTAATTTTAGTAAGTTATAACCTTGGTTCGTTGTATGAGCATATTTACATCATATATACAGCAGTTGGTTGGGGCCAAAAAATAAGTTCGTTATATCGGTCAGTTCGTTTTAAGCGTGTTCGATGAAAATGTAGTAATTGTGTTTATGTTCTTCTTGTTTTTCTAGAACCATATAGAGATGAAACGTTGACGGAGAACAACAACTGCTTGTTCGTCCTGCAATGCAATTTTGGAGATTTGTAGGAAATATACACCTAATGAATTACTTGTCGAATCTTAGAAATAACTTTAGAACTTTAGAATTAACTTATCAAAATATTAAACATTCGCCTCAGCTGACATGCCTTGGAAGTATAAAAGAAATCTTTAAAAGGCAATTAAACATTATCGGTATAAGAATAGTTTCAAGCAGTGTATATTGTAAAGTGATTTTTTTGTAAAGTGAAGAGATATTATAAAATGAATATAATTTAAACTCAAACTGTAGGCGAAATCACTGAAATACTTCCTCGTTCGCTCTTTCACAATGAAAACGCATTGTTAACTCTGAATTAATTATTAAATATGACTGCGCATTGGTAGGGTCATAGGTCCGGGACGTCCTAAAGGTGTGCCGCGTGACAAGGCCGTTACTCACCGCCCACGAGGAAGTGAAAACCTGACATTGACGGACCTGCATTACACCACGTCTCACTCCCGTTGTCTCAAACACGCTTATCTCAACATACACGTTGATCGCAGTAGAACCACCACGACACACTCGTCGTAACTGTGGGTCACAGTTGGGTGGTAACCAACATATTATTATTGTTTGCTTTTGTTTTATTCAATATTGTAGAACCCATTTGTATTTATACTCGTTCTGTAACATTGTTTATTGAGAGGGACGGTCGGGTAGCCTAGGGGTTAAAGCGTTCGCTCGTCACGCCGAAGACCCGGGTTGGATTCCCGACATGGGTACAATGTGTGAAGCCTATTTCTTCGCCGTGATATCGCTGGAATATTGCTAAAAGCGGCGTAACACCATACTCAATAACAATAATAAATGTTTATTGATAACACAATTTGTATTCATAAATCGTATTATCTGCCCCTGATTATGTCAAACATGTTATATGCTGGATGTGTATGTAAGAAGGTGCCGCATATTCGACTTGAATAAACGTTATTTTCCTTTTTTTCCACTTCTCAAATTTCACAATTTGAAATATTTAAGTGAACTTGTACGGTATTGTGCACACAAAGACATTTGAATGACGGTGGCGGAAGGGAGATAACCAGTCCAGTACAACTGCCTCCTTAACAGACCTCCAACAGCAAACTAAGGGATCATTCTGACAACAGAGACACAGTACTGGAGGGGAAACAGTTAAACGCTATGGATACAAATGATTACATTAGAAGATTGGTGTATCAGCTACCTCTCCTTTCGTGTTTTACAACCTACACAAAGCCTCAATTGCATAAGTACATGCTTTCCGAGAATCTATGACACAACAATAACACCACCACCACCCCCCATCCCCCAACCCCTACCCCCCACCCCCTCACGCCCACCCCCACACACCAGACACATCGGAAAATATAAAAGCACGTATAATACAGTAACTAATAACAATACAAATCATTTCCTTTTTTGGCATTTTGGATAAAGGGTTGTTACTTAGTGTAAAGGCATTATTGTTTTACAAAGATATGACAAATACTCGAAGTAAATTCCTACTTAAACCAGTCGTCACCAGGATGTTGTTAATTAATCGAGTCTGGAGCAGACAATCCTGAGACTGATATTGTGAGCAACGATCCAGGCTGTCGGGGTAAGGTGACATGCTATCAACCCAGCCTGACCACCCAATCCACTAGTCGCCTCTTTCGACCAGCATACGTTGTTGGGGACCTTTTCCATCCCGGAATCACAGTGATCCGTCCATAGTGAGCTTATTATCTGGATATGTAACCTGCAGATTGATAATATAGAAACTTTGTCTATCGTTCATATTTAACTCACAATTCTAGTTACTTAAAGCGCTTTGGTCGTCTATATTTGTAGAATTGATTAATGGTGTTTCTGGAAAAAATTACTTAATGTATTCCATTACCTGACATTTTCGATTAGAACGATAATTGAGACACTTACATCTGTTTGTTATTTCAGATCAGTTAAGAAATTCATGGCATTGTATAGCCATTTGAGTTTTCTGAACCTTTGCACTAGCATATAACCTGTATCATTAGATATATTGATATTCTAATCTTGATGTATTCTTCGTTTAAAAACAATTGATTAATTACCCTGGCTTGTTTTTTGTTTTTTTCGGGCGTATTTTTCACATTCTTTCGGATATTATAGTTCGATTCAATCTCAGGGTTAACTCGTTACAACTGCTTTATCTGTAAGACAGGTGGTTGATAACAACGTACGTATCAACCGTTATAACACGCAGTCGCACCTATACATATTCTCATATGTGAGGCTAAGCATTATGTACATTATGTAAGGTTATCTCCCTTTAATGGCTAGCAATACAGTTCTGGTCAAGATGGTTCTCCTTTTTTTCTTTTTTCTTTTCTCCTGTTATTCTGTATTACATGGGTGGCAATAACTCATAAAACCCAAAGCTTAGTCATGCATCAGCTGTGGTCAATCACCGCACTGGAAAACAGATCCCACAATTCCCGCTTCAAAATACGCTCGTACTGATCCAGGATTACTGAAACGTATCTCGTTGGACACTTATTGCAGAAGATGCATAGTAAAAATGAGATTTATTTACAATGTTTTTATTTATTATTATCATACACTGCTAAAGCAGACTGGACAAATAATTAATGGCAACTGTATTGACATAAACGCTTTGCTTGTCTCAGTCCTACAGTTCATTCCCACAAGCACTTGAAGTAATTCATATTTCGGTGGTTTGGTGGTCGAGTCTAGACTATGACACAACACATGTGTGGACCACGTTTCTGTTAAGCATTAAGTGACTTGACTTCGAAAAGATCCCACGTTATTTAAGAAATAAACAACGAGTAGGGGTGGTTTATCGTACAATAAAACACTACAGGGAGAATAAACCATGAGGGTTGCAGCCCCGAGTGGTTTATTCTCCCTGCAGTGTTTTATTGTATGATAAACAACAACCACTCGTCGTTTATTTCTTATATGAGATATCAACATTATGTACAGTCTTTTTAAGGTTGATAAAATGTACAAGCTTTCAAAATATTAACCCCTATTTAAAAGAAATGATGACTCCCTGGATAGAATACGCCCTCGGCAACGTTGGACAAGTCCATTTTATGCACAGGTGGGTATTTCCCGCATATTCTCACAATCCTCACGTCGATTACCTGTACCTCTTCTCCGAATACCGATTGTCATATCTCTTCATCTTTTGGGTGAGATCGTTCGTCCATGGCGTTCATTTGCGTTGTCCGGCTACATCTATGGGGAACAACTCACTAAACACTCCCCTCTCACAAACAACGTCGTCACACATACGACGTTATCAAGTTGCGAGCGCATGTTCGAATCTCCAGAAATGACGTCATGATAGAAAAACAATGTTTTATAGTGAAATAAACCACGCTTCGTTCTTCTTTGTTCTTTGCGATTTATCACGTAACTATCTTATATATAAACTAAATGGAGCAGGGTACTGATCATGAGAGTTGTTAGAGCAGTTGTTGGTCTCCAGAAGAAAGGTGATATATTGTCTTTTAAACGTCAGCTTGCGGTGTGATGTAGATAACTGGCCAAACCAGTGCATCATAACCAGATGCCCCCCTTGGAACTGGTGTTCTTGTATCAGGTGACGGTGAGAGACGCAGGTCATCTATTTGTTCGTATATGTTTTCGTATATCCCTTCAGCGTCTAACTGTCGTTCTTGTTGGAGAGGAACATGGAAAGTTGATTTGCTTTCGGATTCATGGTCATGTATTTCACAGTAGACGTGGTACTGATCCTTGCACCCCTGTTGTTCATCCCTTGACCTGCATCTGGTAAAACATGAATGGATAAATACACGATATTATTTATATAATATTACCCATATAGTCGTGGGTATCGGTGCAATTATTTGCCATAATTCTCACTTAGCATGACAATTCCACCTTCATCCTGATTGCGTAAGTCAAGCCAGGTGATTCATAGTTTTCATTCTTTGCGAAGCTGCCAAAAGTGACATCATATCAACGTTATAATGCCGCCAGAGTAGGGTTTATGTGACGTTGTTCCAAGAATAGAGTACCTAGGCCTATGCTGATGACTTGTGATCGGGAAATCCACTTTTTATTCATTTGTGCAGAAAATAAGACTATTGGTACAGGATAATCCATTCGCAACTTATTGGCCATCTGCCGCTCGTAAATGATGTTCAATTCATTCGTGGCAGATAATCCGTAGTTACTCATATCTCATGGGTTATTCTATACGTGTTAAGAATGGCCAATATTTATACATCTTTTACGGTAAAGCTACAGAATTTTCTGTAATATTATTGGAACAACTGGTGTCATTGCTGATTTTCAGTAACACATTTATATAATTTTCACCTCTGTTTCGACTTTTACGCCCACTGGAATCGGTTCCGACAGATAATTAAGTTTTATGTTAAGTGATTAATTTGAAGGAAAGTTTAACATTTTTTTTCCATTCCATTAACTAGTCGCTGATACATAACAGTTGTGTAGATTGTGTAAATAATACATACAACTATGTTCTTAAATTGAGAAACTAGGGATTCCTCCGTGCAATCAACAACCTGCGTCTTCGTTTTGAGTCTATGTAAAGAAATATTTAAACAACACGATAACTTCAGCGTATTTGTACACATTTGTATCATTTCAACTCCTGTCATTAAACCGACAACATATCTCATTTTGGACGTATTTACAGACCAGAAGCCGTTTACTTTATCAATCACTGGATTGTCTGGTCCAGACTCGATTATTTACAGACCGCCGTCATATAGCTGGAATATTGCTCAGTGCGCGTTAAACAGGCCAGAAGCCGTCTACTTTATCAATCACTGGATTGTCTGGTCCAGACTCGATTTTTTACAGACCGCCGTCAAATAGCTGGAATATTGCTCAGTGCGCGTTAAACAACAAGCAAACAAAACAAACAAACAACATACCTCCCTACATGGGCATATAATGAGCGACAATTCGTCGAGCAGAGTTACATCCCTGTATTCCATCCCTGAACCACGATTCGCTCTCATTATTTTCATTGGTTTATTGGAAGAAGACCGAAATGATCTGAGACATGCGTCAAGTTCGGCTTTCCTCCCACAATAAGGTGATAAAACTGAAATACTCCTCAAACCAGCCAACAAAATCGTCCTTTCAGCAAACCTTTATCCCACGGAAGTATCACACAATTCCTCTTTATACAGACAGTCTGCTGCACACCTCCACTATACCCCTTTCTACACGGAGGGGGCACGAGTTGCCCAGTCGTCTAAGGCGCCGTGATTCGCTGTGCAGAGTTGCGTCCCTTGGGCACGCCAGAAACCTATGATTGTGGGTTCGAATCCCGGTTCGCCCCGATTATGTTTCTAGGTTTGTCAGCTCAATACCTGTGCTCGTTGGTTTCACAGAAGTGGTAAGCGTTTGAGATCTGCATCACTTCGGGCTTTCCTCCCACATTAAGCTGACACGCCGCGATATAACTGGAATACTGTTAAAAGCGGCGTTAAACTCAACTCACTCACTCACACACTCTTTACACAGACAACTAATCTCAATCGCACCTGTATCCACGGAACCCACCCCGGCCATCTGGAGTACTAACACGGAATCCCCACAGGGTTATTTCCATAACGACAAATACATATTTATACTTTTTCCTTCAGGTGGCTGTTTACTTAATTAACCCTTATGTAGTGGTTTCCTAAATACTAATATTCTGACCATCTCACCATCATCTGTTTATCAGTAAAACTTGTGAGATCCTTCAGATATTACAAGAGGACTGACACTTTACGAAGACTTGAGCGTTGCAACTTACATGCAGTCTGGTCAAAGATGATAGAAAGGGGAATTATATTCAGGCGAGTGAGTGAGTTGGGTTTAACGCCGCTTTTAACAGTATTACAGTTATATCGCGGCGTGTCAGCTTAATGTCGGAGGAAAGCCCAAAGTAAGGCAGGTCTCAAACGTTTACCACCTCGCTGGAACCAACGTGCATGGGTATGGTGCTGACAAATCTAGAAACATAATCGGGGCGAACCGGGATGCGAACCCACAATCATAGGTTTCTGGCGTGCTCTGCACAGCGAATCACGGCGCCTTAGACGACTCGGCCATATGTGACCCCCATATTTAGGTATTGTGGTGGCATTGGTAAGAGAAGGACAGTATTCTGTCGAGAATAAAATGTTGACAGCTATGATTAACATGTGATTTACAAGTATGAATGTGCTCATGCCCTTTTTAACAAAAACAGTTTGGCTGCCTCGGATTACTTGACTGTTATTATGTAGCTTGACTGTAGCTGTCTGTAAATAAAATACTTTACATATTCATAAGAAATCTCTCCCCAAAGCAGAGTCGACTGTAATATTCCGACTATATCATGATCATGTGTTTATGAATCACTATTGTGATAAGTGATGATACCAGGTGTTCGCGAAAAGGTGAGCGTGGCAACCGTCACAATACAATAAAAATTATTATTAATTAATTACTCTCTCATTTACGTTCCCTCACTCACTCCTTATGTGCTATTCAGCGCGTGAAGATCCGGGTTAGAACCCATGCTTGCCGTAAAAGGCGACTATGCTTGTCGTAAAAGGCGACGAACAGGATTGGGTGGTCAGGCTCGCTGACTTGGCTGATGCATGTCATCGTATCCCAATTGCGTGGATCGATGCTCATGATCCATTCACTGGATTGTCTGGTCCAGACTCGTTTATTTACAGCCCGATGTCATATAGCTGGAATATTGCTGAGTGCGGCGTTTAACAGCAAACAAACATAAATAAATAAATAAATAAATAAATAAATTAATAAATTAATAAATTAATTAATTAATTAATTAAAAAGAAATCCTTTGCCTCTTAATACAACCACGATAGCAACTGAGGTAGAGTAGACTTGTACTGTGTTGTCCTGTGTAGCAGAAGTCTCAATCCCTACCTGAAGGCCACCAACACGAAGGTGATTGTGACGATGAGGACGATGACGACGACTGAACTAATCCCTATTATCTTCCCTTCCGCCGATGCCGTGATACCTGAAACATAGTTACATAAGATATTTCATCACCCATATGGTTCATAATACATGAGTAATTCAACCCACCTGGATCACCGGAACTCACGAACAAGAAGTATATGAATGATTTTACATCCTTTTAAGCATTGTTGATGTAATGCAAGTAAGAGATTACAATTACACCACTGATTACAACAGGTGAGCCGCGTATATGCTTTTTGCCAACAGGCAGATGACAGACAACAGCCATAAGATAAAGCAATGTTTGTAGATTCAAATGCTCTGTGTGTAACCTACCCGTCGTACAGTAATCTCCCATTTTCCCTGCTTGACATCCACTGAGACATGTGCCTGTCACGTGATCACACGTGGTGCCAGACTTGCAGTAGCCACAGTTCAGCTTACACCTCTTGCCATACAGTCCCGGGGGACATTCTGAAATGAAAGACGATTGTCACTGTAGATCACTTACTGAGACAACTGATTGTGTCTGTGTGAATCACTTACTGAGACAACTGATTGTGTCTGTAAGGATCACTTACAGAGACAACTGATTATGTCTGTGTGGATCACTTACTGAGACAACTGATTGTGTCTGTGTGGATCACTTACTAAGACAACTGATTGTGACTGTGTGGATCACTTACTGAGACAACTGATTGTGTCTGTGTGGATCACTTACTGAGACAACTGATTATGTCTGTGTGGATCACTTACTGAGACACACTGATTATGTCTGTGTGGATCACTTACTGAGACACACTGATTATGTCTGCGTGGATCACTTACTGAGACAACTGATTATGTCTGTGTGAATCATTTACTGAGACACAGTGATTATGCCTGTGTGGATCACCTGCTGTCTACTCTATTTGTAGGCAAAATTTACTCAGACAGATTGATCACATCGGTATGGACCACCTACTTTCATCACACTTGTATCCTTTGTATCCATTACTGCAGCCTCGAAAACAGAATCCAGTGTTCTTATTACAGGGCTCTCCATCTTGACATTTGCCACACTCTCCTTCACAGTTGCGTCCGTAGCGTGAATTGGGACATTCTGAAACAAAAGCGACAAAGCCTTTCAATATTGATTGAGAAATGTCTGCCGAAAGCAGAGTCGATTGGACGATTCCGACTATGTCATGAGCATGTGTTTATGATTCTCTATCAAATAATGATGATACCAGGTGTTTGCGAAAAGGTAAGCTTATCCTGCCCCGCCGGTTGTACCCGTCACAAACTTATTCAACGGCAAGTCCATTGTTCACCTAAAAAACACGGGAAGATATGGTACAAGTCAAAATAGGGAATTGCATCGTACATCTTGCTTGTTGCTGATGCGTCAAATTTGAAAAAGTCTTCCACATGTCTTCCATGAAACTTTTTGAAAGCTTTACTGAGGCCTTGAATGCTGTAACCTTGATCAAACAACTTCTAAGTAAGAGTAGTATGACGCTGTTTGAAATATATATCTGTTTCGGTTGGGTAAATGAGTGGAAGGGAATTAGAAACACATGATATTCGCAGTCACCAAGACTAGAAACATCTACTTCCATGACATATTTATATGGCTTAAGATTATCGCTGAATGTTAGATATGTATACAGTGCTGAAACCACATTTCCATAGCTAATTACTGACTCATCATCTGTACAGTCCCACACATTACTGATATACTCACTATATGTACAGTCCCACACATTACTGATATACTCATTATCTGTACAGTCCCACACATTACTGATATACTCACTATCTGTACAGTCCTACTCATTACTGATATACTCACTATCTGTACAGTACAGTCCACTGTACCCTTCCTCACAGTTTTTCTGACACTCCCCATACTCTGGGTCACACGACTTCTGGTAACAGTGGCCACATGTCTGAGCACAGTCCTGGCCGTACTTGCCCTCCGGACACGCTGGAAGAGTTCATAGGTGTTCATGTTCCAGTTCTTACACAAATAATATCACGTTCATCTCACTGGCAGATCGAGGGGCTGGGTGTTCACCCTTCCCCTCTATAAAGTGTTTTATGTTTTATTCACTTACAGATTCAAATATTCAACTTTATATCCTACATTTCTCCACAGAACTGACAATGACAGCGTGTGACTCACTTCTCTGACAGTTGAGACCAGTCCATCCCGCTGCGCAGCCCGAGGTGCAGCTTCCGAACAACTTGTTACACACCTCATCTACAGTCCGACAGTGACAAACAGATTGGCAGCCAGCCCCAAACAGACCATCTGGACATGCTGAAGTACAAAAAGGCAACAAATAATTTTCTATAAGGATTAATTTTCGAACAATTATGAGGATGGGGGTGCTGAACTTGTAAAGGTCAACTTTTCCATGTAGAATAAATATCAGCATGTCATCATAAAATGTAACCATAAGGTTGATCGACTCGTTTCAAGCTCAGAACAAAACAGTTTAGAACTGGTTTTGCCCACTACCCTGTACCGGATCATACCATACTAAGCACTGGCCCCAATATCTCAGGAAATGACCAAGACAAGATGTGATTTGCCTTGGACCTAGTACCACATAAATACCCAAGATATAGTACATCATAGTATGCATGGGGTTGTGTATTGCCTGGAATTTTAACAATAACAACACTTTGGACATTGGAGGCATTGTAATATAATCAAGTAATGTTGGGTGGTGCCGGCGCACGTGTGTCATAGAAGGTTGCTTGTTCCTCCTGCAACCTCATGTCTCATCATATTATTACAGCAACGACATGCATGTACTTACACCTTACTGTCCTTCATTATTTAACAGTTTTAATAGTGCAATACAGTGGCTTTTCCCTTGTTTTTTATAGAACCCAAAGAAATATGTATTTAAGTATTTGCTCAATATACATAATATACAGACTCATATAGACAGTATTGCAATGTGTATTGTCGAAGGTTTGTGGGTTTGTTTACCTCATGATATGCCCTGGATTCAAAACATCATATGCCTGCCCTGGACTCAGTATGTTATGAGTGTCCTAGACCCAGTACCCAGACATGCCCTTGACCGAGTAATGAATGACCTGCCCTTGACACAGTAATGTGTGACCTGCCCTTGCCCTAACATCTTATGACATTTTTTTGACCCAGTAATGAGTGACCTGCCCTTGACACAGTAATGTGTGACCTGCCCTTGCCCTGACATCTTATGACATTCTTTTGACCCAGTAATGAATGACCTGCCCTTATCACAGTAATGTGTGACCTGCCCTTGCCCTGACATCTTATGACATTCTTTTGACCCAGTAATGAGTGACCTGCCCTTGACACAATAATGTGTGACCTGCCCTTGTCCTGACATCTTATGACATTCTCTTGACCCAGTAATGAGTGACCTGCCCCTGACCCAGTAATGAGTGACCTGCCCTTGACCCAGTAAAGCGTGACCTGCCCTTGACCCAGTAAAGCGTGACATGCCCTTGATCTAGTATCTATGATTTTCCGAATACTTCATGAAATGCCCTGGACCCAGCACCTCTCAAACACCTTGTGACATGCACTGAATATCTTTTCTACCATAATAGAAATCAATTTTCAAATTAAATATATGCACTTACAACATGGCTTCAACTCCCCACATGTCACGAAATTCTTCTTCAGGAGAGTGGAGAAGAAACACCATGGCTTGACTCCATATTTTCCGTAGATGTTTTTAGGATTACGACAGTAGTTCTTGGGATTGTCACCAGGGGGAAATTTGTCGAGTGTATATCCTTCCCCTTGCACAAAAGGATCTGACCAGCTCATGCACTTCTTTCCTTCATTACCGACACCAAGTGTCCCAGTGTAGTTCACACCTTGGGCGTCGTACAAGCACTCATTCACTGAAAATATGTTAGGACGTTTTTAAAATTGCAATGAAATTATCAAAAAGCATCATAGTGTTGTTACTCATTAATAAAGAAAGAAGAGTGTTATCCACTATTGTAGATATTTAATATTACACATGTAATACTCTAGATGAATATCACTCATCATAACTGAAGAAAGTAGAATATTACGGTACAGTAGACAGTAGAATATGACTGATAACTGAAGACAGTAGAATACAACTGATCACAGTAGACAGAATACGGCTGTTAACTGTAGACAGTAGAATACAATTGATCACAGTAGACAGTAGAAAATGACTGATCACTGTAGACAGTAGAATACGACTGATCACTGTAGACAGTAGAATACGACTGATCACTGTAGGCAGTTTAATACGACTGATCGCAGTAGACAGTAGAATACGACTGATCACTGTAGACAGTAGAAGACAACTGATCACAGCAAACAGTAAAATACGACTGATCACTGTAAACAGTAGAATACGACTGATCACTGCAGATAGTAGAATACGAGTGTTCACTGTAGACAGTAGAATACGACTGATCGCTTTTGACAGTAGTGTGAGTGAGTGAGTGAGTTTGATTTTACGCCGCTTTCAGCAATATTCCAGCAATTTCACGGCGGGGGACACCAGAAATGGGCTTCACACATTGTACCCATGTCAGGAATCGAACCCGGGTCTTCGGCGTGACGAGCGAACGCTTTAACCACTAGGCTACACGACTGCCCCCTTTTGACAGTAGAATACAATTAAGCACAGTAGACATTAGAACACAATTGATCACAGTAGACAGCAGAATACGACTGATCACAGTAGACAGTAGAATACAACTGATCACAGTAGACAGTAGAATACGACTGATCACAGTAGACAGTAGAATACGACTGATCGCTTTTGACAGTAGAATACAATTAATCACAGTAGACATTAGAATACAATTGATCACGGTAGACAGCAGAATACGACTGATCACAGTAGACAGTAGAATACGGCTTATCACTGAAGTCAGTAGCAACAAACTCCTGCCTCTACTCACCGAGCTGACAGCCGACACCATATTTCCCCTCCTGACAGCCAGACTCGCACCACCCGGTGTTCTTGTCACATGGCCCTCGCCGACACGCACACTGGAACTTACATTTCCACCCGAAGTTACCCGGCGGACACCCTGGAACGATACTGTCAACTTTAATTGCAGGACGTTTCTTCTTATGGAAACGGCACTGAAGCTCACATGAGAATGTAGTCAAAACATTAAAATGTCCACAAAGACACACATTTGAAAAACGTTACTGTCAGCATTAATATTCAAGTATTTCTCCATAGATAAAAAGGACTAAAATCTACACTAAACACTACACTACACTGACGATTTGAAAACAAGGATGTCTACGGCTGATCTCTTGAACAAACGGGGGTGGCATGATTTGGGGAAGGAAAATGTTTTTGAAGTTTCAACTTCATTGGTCTGATGGTTTCTGAAGAGATGGTAACACTGTGAACAAAAATGTCTGTTTCATTTGCAGTATGGCGGAAATGCGTGGTCAAATGGAGGTCAAACATTAAAATATCGCAATAATCATATATCCTGAGCACTACCTCTAACTACATATGTACCAAATATAATTCCAGTATGAAAAAGATGTCTGAATAGATCCTTATTTTGAAGTTAAGGGATTTCCGGTGATGTTATTGGTGTATTTGCTGCTGACATGAGCCGTTCAGTTTTCAACAAAATTTAAGTGACGTTGACACGATTATTGACCGGAACTACTTTTCATGGGGAATCCCCTTGTGGAAAAATTCTCTATATCTCCTCTGCACACTCCGGCGCAGTGGTGACTCAGCATAACACCACTTCCACAGGCTAATTTGCATATCACGTGACCGGACTTTCTCTTGTTTGTAAACAAACGCGCTTTGTCAGAAACCAGTATAGAACGGCCTGAAGCAAGTATTTGGGGGCGCTTTACATATTGTTTTGCATAATTATATAGATATGCTACCTCAACTGCGACAGTGAGTTGCATGACAGTATAAATTTATGCATCAAAGTGGCCGTATCGCTAGCTCTCCGTTGGGCTTCGATGACAGCACGTGGAGCCGTACAACCAATGTAAACATAGGATAACTACGCAAAAACAAGTAGATTTTCACGTATTAGCATACTTTCTTCATGAACCGTAACCATTCTTTGACATTTGTTAATGAAAAAGTGTAGATTTGTCAAACATGAAACGGATGAAAAGCATATGCAATATCTTGAATGAACTGTGAAAGATGTGACGAATCGTCACATGGCGCTGGCCTGTGGCAGAGGTTCTATGATGGCTGGCTGCCGGCCGCATGGAACTCTGGGTAGGAGAGTGTCTCCTCTGCTAACCACGATCATGAGGATCGGCCATATCGGACAATAAATCAGATCTATAAGTGGAATAATGTGTCGAGGAATATTCAATAACTAAGTTCAAATTCAATCACTATCATATTGTCGATGATGATTCTTCCTTGACCAGAAAATGATATCTAAAAATGATAAATCGAGCTTTCAGTGTATGTTAACACGTCATTATAGCTAAAATGAATAGAATTATCATTAAATTATCAGAAACGAGCGGGCCACTGTAACTTGATAATTCCCTCATATTGCTTGACGACGGGCCATTATTGGTAGGTGACATCATAGGATAGGGATAGGTGACGTCACGTTCAATAGTGACGTAATCCGGTTTGTTCTATGACGTTTCCATGTTTGTAAAAGTGGGTCAGTGACATTCATGTTGATTGCAGTAAATGTTTCAAAACCTATATTGTTGTTTCTTTTAGTGGATAACAAATTCCATCCATTTTAGCTATAATAACGGTAACGCTATTTTTCAGGGCATTATCATTTGCAGAAGCCCTCGGTCTTTTCAACTGCCCTCCTTCGTCGGGCAGTTAATGGAAGACCTCGGGCTTCTGCTAATGATAATACCCTGACCAATAGCTTTACCCTTATATTAAGTAATTTGTCAACCGTTTCACGCTTTAAAGAGTCATATTCTAAAGCAGACAACCCACGTACCTCGACCTGTACATGCACGGTCCACACAGGCAACACTCAGCACGAGGAACCACGCCTGCCTCATACTTAACGCTGCCTAGCTGTAACAATAAAATGACTTTTGCTAAATTGAAGCACTGATTACAAACTTGATTTAAATGCATCGACGATTTCTGAAGGTTTACTGATGTGTGCTTGTTTCTGTGGGTTACATCATGTTGATAGGCCCCTATGGTCAGACGCAGATTAAAACATCAATACACCTGTCTCTTACATATGGAAGTCAACACCATCATTCATATGTTCTAAGATGTATATTTAATTTTGTAACTGTGCCACATCTGCATCTTTCTGAGTTGACACACCACGGCAGTATCAGAGGTGAGGTGATGTGAAATGGGGTTTAGTCCTGACTGATGCAGATTTATAGTGCTAGCTCACTGAGATACCATGCCGCAGTTTAACATGAATACCCCACTCAGACACAGTATACTGACTTCGAGCCGACCAGTCCTTGCTTTAGCCCTTTAATGCCGAGCGCCAGACAGGGTAACAACAAGTACCATCTTTTAACGTCTTTTGGTATGACGCGGCCGGGAATCGAACCCCGGACCTTCCGCTCTCCGGGCGGACGCCCTACCACTAGACCACGGAGGCGGTGGCAGTATCAAAGACGAGATGAGATACATGCACGTTAAGCTTCCTTCAAAGACACCTATGCATCTACATCACGTACGTGTAGATTATCTTTGTTTGTTTATTGTTTAACGCCGCACTCAGCAATAGTCCGGCACTTATCGAGTCTGGACCCGACAATCCAGTGATAGACATCATGAACAGGATCTACGCCATTTGGGTACGATGACATGCATCAACCAATTCAGCGAGACTGACTCGATACAGTTTTTCACTGATACCAACAACCAGCGTTTGCGACCTATGTGAATCACAAAATGAAGTCACATGTTTCATTACATGTAAGTTTCACTCAGCATATACAAGTATTCAGCAGCATCAGTTGTGGCATCGTCAGCAACCACGTGTCTACGTCATCGGGAATAAAATGTGGAATGTTTCCTTCAGGAAAAATTAAAGACGTTTGTGGTACATGCGTAGAACATTGGAGATAATATCACGACAAAGATCTTACCTGAACATGATGTGTATAATCAGTGAAAAGATATTTCCGAGTTCAAGACCACATGCATGTGTATAACTGTACATGTGTAGTTGTGTATGACGAATAACTGAGTCATTTCTAAATAATGGGTGAAAGGATGAAGGCGGAAGCGAAAGTATAATATTGTGAGAAAACCAGTTAGATGACACAGACACATGTGAGGCTGAACCTCAATGGTTGAGTGAATCGGATATGCATTTGGAACATCGTTGCGCCGGCTTTCTATACAGGTGAAGGCTTGGCTGATTCAACTACAAGGACGTATGTCATGTGTGTCATTGTCGCATGTGAAACCATGACATCAACTGAATAGAACAAGTGTTTTGTAATGAAATGAAACATGTATGGATCTAGATACTAACCTGCATTTAGACTAGTGTATCTTAATGACAGGCTTGCTGTCATATTTATTAGTTGACATTGTTACGACTTGTACATCAGTGATTTTCATTTCAGCGTATATATATTCTCACAAGATATCATCTGATGCTGGAAATCATTACAGCTGCGATCATCTTTGCTAGAAACGCTAGTGTAGTGTATATTACACACCACTTCAGGTGTTTAGATATTTCTGTTATCTATAATACATTCTGTTCCCACTCATTGTAGTAGCATTGTCACTCTATTGTCATACAGTTTGTTTTTACAAAATGATCAATCATGTTTACATAACTATAAGCATAAAGAACTATAAAGTTATTAAAAAATCATTAAAGTAAAACCTTATCGTCCACCACAGTTGACGTACTGACGTGACACACTAAAAGTTGTATTTTATAATTTTAAGTCACAACAAGACCTTTCCGTCCTTTGTGACGGTGTCCGTCATTTGTAAAAAAGGATTGGTGACTGACGCTCCAAGCGACATGCCACTCTTCTTCATAGATTGATAAGCAAAAGTTTCAATCAGGTAAAATCAATTTATTTATGTCCATACAAATACAATTGTATAATATTCATTGTTATATTGTTCAGACTGTGGTACGTACTTCTGTAAATGCATTCACAATCATGTAAAAAACTTGATACTTGTACTTATATATAGAGAGAGATACAGCCGGAATGACGGGAAACACGGGACTCGGGACCCACGGTGACATGATCTTGTTTATTTAATGAACACGTTAGATTTTGTTTGAGCAGATAAATATATTTTCCGCGTTACTTCGAGCGGGAAATACATTGGTTATCTTCTTCTGAATTATTTTTACTTTTAGCTTATACAACAACCTGAGGTCATGACATATAATTATTTAACGAAGTTATTACGCACCTGCGAATGTACTTTTACCACACCAACACAAATAATAAACATTATAGTCATACGACCGCCTTCGTGGTCTAATGGATTGAGCGTCTGACCGGTGAACGGGTCGTCACGGGTCCGGTATGACAATGATGTTGACAAACAAAATATCATTATTGGAGTCTATCTGGATGCCACCATGACAGTGTAGAATCCTGCATTCTGATAGGTGCATCAGCGTTATTTGTCCTACGTTAGAATGTGAATTTGTTGCAAAACTCAGAGTGAACATATTTATTTGAAAGTACTCAAGTCCTACCTGGAGGTAATTTTGAAAACTGATTTTTATCGTATAACCTTGTTTAAAGCATTATGTAAATAAAATTGATGTAAAACCGACAAACCACAACATTAAGGGCGTATTGTAAAACCTAGCAACACATAGAGCTGAATGTACAGGTGTGTGTTTGTGTTTTTTGTGACATGTATTGCAATTTCCTCACTGTAAACAATGTGACGTTATTATAGTGTTGTTTTTAGAACTGATATTATTACAGGGTATCTGCACAAGGCTATTGCATTGCTTCATGTTTATGTGAATCAAGTGGTGGAAGTTATGTTGTTTATGTATATGTCATTTTGACTGATTAGACACCAACAAGTAACACAATCGTTATGCTGGATGTCAATTCTAAAGTCTTTGTGTAAAGGCAATACAAGAAAAGATTTCAAATAGTGAAACATAATTTTGGCTATGTAGTTCATCATTCTCTGTTCTATATTATTGTGACACATCCTTCACTCGTTTACGCATGTTATTGAAACATCCTTGTTCTGATACAAGGAAGTATTTGTGAGCATGTGTGAGCTGGCCTATGTTGCACCTGTTTGTAATCGCAAACCAAATGTGACGTGACCACACGTATGTCAACCGTGAAGCTAGATTTCGGAGGGTAAACATGCAAACATTTTTTATGTTCGCACTATAACAATTGCAAGGCTTGTTTATACATCATCTTTCGGTACTTCAATGCTAATAGACTTGTGAAGATCCGCGGTAGAATAGGTCTTCAGCAACCCATGCTTGCCGTGAAAGGCGACTATGCTTGTCGTAAAAGGCGAATAACGGGATCGGGTGGCCAGGCTGGCTGACTTGGTTGATGCATGTCATCGATCCCAATGGCGTGGATCGATGCTCATGATATCAATCACTGGATGGTCTGGTCCAGACTTGATTATTTTACAGTCTGCCGTCATATAGCTTGAATATTGCTGAGTGCGGCGTTAAGCAACAAACAAACAAACAAATCAATGCTAATAAAGCGGGTTTAACACAAGTAGTATAGGAGTTGTGGTGCTTGGGCACCGATGCAACTGTGTATCTGGTATTCGAGCCGACATCATGATGCTCCTATGCATATCCAGTTGCAGTTTCTCAGACTTGGTTAGCCATGGTCCATGTCATTACAGACCCGTGAAGATCCGGGGTAGAATAGGTCTTCAGCAACCCAAGCTTGCCATAAAAGGCAACTATGCTTGTTGTAAAAGGCGACTAACGGGATCGGGTGGTCAGGCTCGCTGACTTGGTTAATGCATGTCATCGATCCCAATTGCGTGGATCGATGCTCAGGATGTCAATCACTGGATTGTCTGGTCCGGGCTCGATTATTTACAGACCGCCGTCATATAACTGGAATATTGCTGAGTGCGGCGTTAAACAACAAACCAACCAACCAACCAACCATGTCATTACTTAATTACATTCCCTGTCCAATAGCATCACTGGACTATATCCCTCTTAAACTATGACAGGGCTGAAAGTAGTTCACTATCATAAATAGAAATGGGATATCTAGAGTACGTTTTTTCACCGGCGTTACAATAATGATGCATTTCTCTGAATCACTCGCGATAAGATTGAACTAACAAAACTACGACAGAGAATCATCATGATTCAGTAAACAAAGCAGATGCCAGCGTGTAAATATAAAGAAGCTGTTATTGTGTTGAACATTGAATATAATATGTATTTTAAACATGGTTTTTTGGAAGAATAGCTTGTGTTTCATTCTACAAATATTAGTGAGTATGTTTTACGCCGCTTTTAGCAATATGTTTCATTCTACGAAGAGAAGCAACAGAGAATATAAATGAAGAAATTTACTTATGAAAGCCTCTACCATTGTTATAACAGTGTGATTATTAGTTGTTCCTCACAGGGTATTATATGGCAGTTTTCATATCATGCCCCACACCAGTCTGAGACTCTCATTTCAGCCCGAGGGCCAAAGCCTAAGGGCCGACATGAGGGTCGAGGGTTGAACCGGGTTTAATTTGACAACTGCCATTTAATAATCCTTCTATCATATTCCATAACATCAAATTGTAAAATGTATCTATTTGCAAGTAGATGCAATACATTTTCACTTTGTTTAGAAGCATTGCCACTGGAAAACTAGCCGTGCAGACGACGTACTAAGGGAGGTAACTCCAATTTCTTACTGCCCGGCTGATATCGATCGCCCATTCAAAATGCTTTGACAAGCCATATCAGCCCGGGAGGAGGTGTAATATGGAACTGGTTATATTTATAACACCCCTGTGGTCGGACCGTCTCCATGGTGGCTTTGTCTCACATGCAAAATGCCAATATCATTGACAGGTATATGATTATTATATTAAATAACATGATTTCATTACAACCCCATTGTGTGTTAATGTCGTCCGTGTATGTGTATCTAATATGGGGTCATCATCAAAGATTCAACCTTGACCACAAAAAACAATTTCTGTAATTATAAGAGTCCGTTGTACCAGACCACCTCTATGGTCGAGTGGAAAGAACGTTTAGCGAGAGAGGGAACGGTCGGTGTTTCGATCCCCGGCCGCTTCATATCAAAAGACGTCAAAAGATGGTACTTGTCGTTACCATGCATGTCGCTCGGGATTAAGGGGATAAAACAAGGACTGGTCGGCTCGGAGTCAGTATACTGTGTCTGAGTGGGGTATCCGTGTTGAATTCCGGCATGGTATCACAGTGGGTTGGCACTATAAAACCGGCACAAGTACGGACTAGTACCAGTAGACATGCCAGAAAACTATAGTCGCGGGTTCGAATCCCGGTTCGACCCGATAATGTTTCTTGGTTTGTCAGCACCAGACCTGTGGTCGTGGTTTTCACCAAACGTCTGAGACCTGCATCACTTAGGGCTTGCCTCCCACATTAAGCTGACAAGCCGTGGTATGACTTGGATACTGTTAAAAGCGGCGTTAAACCAAACTGCCTCATTTAAGCCCAATTTCACCTCACCTCACCTCAACTCATTGCCGTTGTGCGACAATATCCTAAAAATATGTAATTCACTTCATAAATCGTCGGTCGGTATGTCGTTTTATTCGTAACATTTAGACACATGGGGGAGGGGGAGGGGGGGGGGGGGGGGGGGGTTGTTTAAGTGAAGAATGTCTTCAGTGATGTTTATATCCCTTTTGTATGGAAAGCACCCTTCAATATTTACAAAGTCCCGGCTCGTGTATCCACAATGTCCGTGTTGACATGTGTTGATATAACCACAAGGAAACGACAACTGAAGCTGTAATCATTTTATTTACATATCGTTCGGTGCGTTGCCTTTCCGAACACTAGTTACAGTAGTCCATGTGTTCATAACAAGAACCTGGGCATTTCGTTGCTATTTTTAAAGGCAACTTACCACAATGATTACCATTAGACGTGTAATCGATATCTAACAACGCTTCTCCATGTGTACATAAACATTAAGGGTATCTGATATTTACAGGATATCGAATCGCTTTTGAAATATATTCAATGAAACAAACACATCAAATTAAATGTAAATCATTATTTTGAGTACATCTTGTTGATTTGTAAGAAATGTAATATTGATATGACTCACAATTGTAACATTTTATCGAAAAATAGTATTTACATAACTCAAACAAAAATCATGCTATCTTGATAGTACTAGTTTTGCGAAAACATATTCATTGTATGAATATAGTAGCATCACATTAACATTCTTCTTCTGCATCGGCATTGTCAGGGGAAAGATAACTGACACTCACACTAGCTAAGTCACAGTTTTGTTCAATGAATATTATAGAATCCGTCTTTTTGATCAATTGCGCGTCTGACGGTAAGCAGGCTTCGGATATGTCAGAACTTGAGGAAGAACATTCCCCAGAGGCAGATATCTGTGGAGTCATCGCGTCCTTTCCGTGTATATTTGTATAGTCCCCACCACCATCAGCCTCTTCTGGTCCAGCCAACACACATTCGTAACCTTCATAACTACAATTCGAGTCTAGGTTGTTTAGTAATGCCGAGTCCTCATGGCGGAGGTCGGAGGAACTCCCTCGATTGAGTGGTGCTGTGCGTCTACTGACTAGTTCTTGCGGTGCTCCATTAGACTGTTTTGCAGTAGACCGTTTTACAGACTGATCGGAATCCATGTCGTTGTCATATATTTCCCAGTACTTCTTGGTCCAGTAATCACCGTCACTCTGCCTTGGGCCATTAGAACCATGGGGCTGATTATCATAATGCTGGGGTGATGAGAAGATGGTTCTACAACACAAGGTCATTAAGGCATAAATATATCATTCCTAGCAGCCTTTCAGTGCAATTGTAAACCACTGCTAATGAAAAGAAAATGGTCAAGGACGTCATCGATCATTACTTGTTGTGGGCTTTATAGCAATTGTCGATGCTTGGATTATATATTTGTTTCGGACTATGATGTGAAGCCTTTATTCCCACCTTCAAAAACTGAGGTTGGAATTAATGCTTCACATCATACCAGAAAAAATATATTGTCCAAGCATCGACAATTAGTGAGTGAGTGAGTGAGTTTGGTTTTACGCCGCTTTTAGCAATATTCCAGCAATATCACGGCGGGGGACACCAGAAATGGGCTTCACACCTTGTACCCATGTCGGGATTCGAACCCGGGTCTTCGGCGTGACGAGCTAACGCTTTAACCACTAGGCTACCCGACCCGACCGCCCCTGACAATTAAACTGAGAAGACTATTTTACTTGTAATATTGGCATTAAAGATGAAATAGTTCGAGTTTTACCTTTCTCGTCTAATTTTCATGTGCCTCATCCCAGCAAATGCCCCGCACATCAGCGCCAGGACAGCAAGTAGACCACATATGATCTTGAGGGTAAGATGAGCATCTTCTGGAAAAAATAAAACCTGCATGGATTGCACACCAAGAGTTGTCTTGTTCAGTAAAACTATATACATGGAGAAACAATACCATCTATTGATCTCCTATGGACATAAATATTGAAGAGTGAATAAATAGTCATATACTATTTTCAAGCAATTGCGTTGATCGATGCTCATGATATCAAATACTGGATTGTCTTGTCCAGACTCGATTATTTACAGACCACCGTCTTGTAGCTGGAAAATTGTTTAGCGTTAAACAATAAACAAATTATTTTTCAGATAAACGTCAACACGGCGTAACGCATAGTACCAATAGAGGGGCGGTGGGATAGCCTAGTAGTTAAAGCGTCCGCTCGTCACGCTGAAGACCTAGGTTCGATTCCCAACATGGATACAATGTGTGAAGCCCATTTCTGGTGTCCCCCGACGTGATATTGGAATATTGCTAAAAGTGTCGTAAAACCATGCTCACTCACTCACTGAATCACACACCAATAGATGTATAAACAAGACTACTTGAATACACTGTAGTATAAACCGAATTAAACATACATACAGTCTCACTTCCTATACGTACCTGTGTTACGGCTGACACATGGCGTTGTATGGCAATCTGCGCCATTGCACTTTGTGCAGAGCTCGTTACAGTAGGTTCTCTTGAAGAGGGATGCACAGCTGAGACAAATCCCTGTGACCTTATTGCATCCAGCACATCCTACAGGACATGGAGTCGAGCAGTCCTCCCCATAATGTTCATTGTGTGGACAAGGTCCGAGACACACGTCACCAAACCGTTGACATTGGGAACAGTTTGAGGGACAGGTTACATTGCAGAACTCTCCTCTGTAACCTGCTAAACAGTTGGTACACTTCCCCGTGTCGCTGTCACACCCTCCAGTACAGTGGGCTGGGCATGGAAACTGACATGAGAGGCCGTAGTATTGAGATTCTGAGCACTGTCCTGTACATTCAACTCCGTAACGTTCACAATGTGTACATGTAGAGGGACAGAAGGCATTGCAGTACTTCCCCCTCACTCCTCGCCGGCATTTACTGCATTCAACCATGTCTTCAACGCACCCACCTGTGGATGGTCACAGTAAGATATCATTTTACTCAAAATAATAATAATAATAATAATAATGATGATGATGATGATGATGATGATGATAATAATTATAATAAAAATATTATTAATAATAATTATAATAATAATGGCGCTACATTATTATTATCCTGGCTATTGATCAGTGTGCTCTCAATTTGCATTTTCAACGCCCTAGGGAGTATACAATCCATTCTCCCTGCTCTTTTTTGGTTGACAGTCACAATTACCATCTCACCCTATCGGGTACCCATTCATGGCTGGGGGTGGCGGGCGGGGGGCTGGGTGGGTACTGGAATAGGACCAAACATGTTCGATAAAAAATTGATATTCGTGGGTGTAATGATATGATACAATCATTTCGGCACTGTGATTTCATAGTCAGTATAAGTGTAATCAGAAACGATCAGTTACCTACAATAACAAAATTGGTTCTGTTATTCCTGGTCGTAGAAATTTTTGAAATAATTACTCATCTTTTTTACCTGATTTACATAGTCCAGACTTGCAGGTACCGTTACAGAACTTCCCTCTGTTACCTCGCTCACAGCTGTCGCAATGCCCGGTGTCTTTCTCACATCCACCGACACAGCTGATGGGGCAGTCTTCCTTACAGTACTTCCCTCTGTACCCCTCTTCACAACTGTCACACTCCCCAGTTTCTTTATCACACCCCTCTCTGCAGTTGGAGGGGCATGACTTCCGACAGTTTAGTCCATAGTAGCGGCTGTTGGAACACTGTCCTGTACAACCATCACCATAACGTTCACACTGTGTACAGGCTGAAGAACAGTTCACACCACAGTTATCTCCCTTTTTGCCAGCCACGCATCCCTCTGTGCACACAACACGAGAGTTATTTATCTGACAGCGAGAGTTGATACATGTGTCTGGACACATGTTTTTACACTGTTCTCCATGAAACCTGGAATCTCGACACTGCAGACACTCTCCAGATGATGTCAGGTTGATGCAGCGAGGTAGACACTCACCGTCGACGCAGGTGGAGTTGTTTCCGTCGCAAATGGTGCAACCTGCACCTGAAGATGTGACTGTATTAAAAAAAGATGTAAGAATGTAATACAGGTGTGGATGTTCCTATTAATATTATGTAACATTAAGACTTGTGCATAAGGTACACCCTACCCCTAAAAGGCAGTGTTATTTGAAGTTGAATGACATCTCATTTATGGCTGATATTATCTAGAGCTACCCAGTAACAAGGGTGATGACGTAAATCCTGCTGGGCATCACATAGGAAACAGGTACTGCAAGTTCCAATGATCTTCTGAAAGGTGATCTAAATTTTTTTGATAGATGGTCTATATCTTGTTATTTAATAATATCATGTATCATATTGATATATGTGATTGCTTGCATGTTTAATAGTTGAACTGATTTGTACTATTTAATACTAATACTATTTCACTTCTTTTGTGAGGTATTAACACTAGATTTAAAAATATTTACAAACCCTGTGAGATGTGATGTAAAATGATTACTTGCATTCTCACACCTACCCTTAACAACAGATGCAGCAAAAGGTAAGCCTCCTTACACGGCTTACCCTATAACAATAGAAATACCAGAAGTCACAAACATCACAAACCTGATTTTAGAAGAAGAAGCAAACTGAACGCCATCAGATAAGCCATTGTGTGACGGCCCTGGTATTATTCATAGGCTGATGCGGGTACATAGTAAAGCTTCATGTCTTAAATTGCACTTTTAAGCTGAAACATGGAAGAGAGAAGACACATATATATGTGTAAAACTAACTCAAATTGGATACCGTATGGTAGTGTTCTACATTCACTCTCGGTTTAACATGTGTCGTTAACATTCTAAACAGTACTTTCGTACAGAGTCTGTCATGGGACTATGAACAGTGCAAACCTACAATTTTTGAAGAGTAGAGATAGTCACTTGTGGATACAAACGGTTCTTACATAATGGACTGCATTGTTCGCCGTGCAACCGTTGGATTTATCATTGTCAGGACAAAGTACTCATGGATACACGGAGTAATGTCCCTTTGTACGTATGAAAGCGTTCCTGGACGGTCTTACCTGATGTTCGGGCGATATTACAATGTACACATTAAATAGCCATAATTAAACATATATTACTTCTATAAATAAATATAAAGAAGCTATGTGAAGATTCAAGATTCTCAACACTTTCGTCCCCACTCCCCTTTGACAACCTCTTGATAGGAGTATCTGTAGGTTAACTTTTGATATTTGCATGCAGTGCAAAATATGTTCATCTCAATGGATAATGTCAGACAAATACGACTAAATATTAACAATAATTTTCCATCCAAAACGAATCAATAGGCTTTACTGGCAAAATAAAATATGAATATTGACTGACCTTCATGAAGCTCTGTGCACATCAGATTCACCTTGTGGTCAGCGGGTCCCCGTCATACGGAAACTGAAAGGTCAAATCGTATGAACCAAGCGTTTCAACACAGGCTCCACACAAGCCCACCTGATACCTTTCTCTTTAGTTGTAGCAGTGTGTATTCTTATATTAGAAATGCATATCTTAACCAGTTGAGGGGAAGTCAGTTATTATTTGTTTCATAGTGCGTATGTGCTCTTTTTGCATTTTCATTGAGTACAGGACCGCCTCCGTGGTCTAGTGGTAGAGCGTCCGCCCGGAGAGCGGAAGGTCCGGGGTTCGATCCCCGACCGCGTCATACCAAAAGACGTTAAAAGATGGTACTTGTTGTTACCCTGTTACCTTTAGGGGCTAAAACAAGGACTGGTCGGCTCGTAGTCAGTATACTGTGTCTGAGTGGGGTATTCATGTTAAACTGCGGCATGGTATCTCAGTGAGCTAGCACTATAAATCGGCAACGGTCCGGACTAGTTCAGCCACACACACATACACACACGTGCATGCACGTCGCTATATATTGTGCAATAATCTTGGACGCGACGTTAAACCCCATTTCACCTCACCTTACCTCATTGAGTACAGAATAGCATTATTATATGCCAGATTCCATAGTCCATAGTCTACAGTGAAAATAGGAAGTCATTGTATTGTCTACTACCAACTTGTTATGGGGTCTGTGGTTGATTACAAATTGGGCAATTTACATGAGCATGACACATTTCCGGACCGATGTGATTAACAGAACGAGTGGGTAAATAGGTCATTACTGCATCACTTCATCAACATGTTGACGGTTATGATACTCATCTCAAATGGCATTAATTGATGAGTATACATATGAACTAATAACAGTAGCATTCAATCCTTGATATACCTTGGTAGTATAACCCTTATGTGAAACAGAGACCGCCTCCGTGGTCTAGTGGTATAGCGTCCGCCCGGAGAGCGGAAGGTCAGGGGTCCGATCCCCGGCCGCGTCATACCAAGAGACGTTAAAAGATGGTACTTGTTGTTACCCTGTCTGGCGCTCGGCATTAAAGGTATACAACAAGGACTGGTCGGCTCGGAGTCAGTATACTGTGTCTGAGTGGGGTATTCATGTTAAACTGCGGCATGGTATCTCAGTGAGCTAGCACTATAAATCGGCATCAGTCCGGACTAGTACAAGCAGCCACACAAACACACACGCGTACATGCTCGTCGCTATATAAGTGCAATAATCTTGGACGCGACGTTAAACCTCATTTCCTCTCACCTCACCTAATGTTAAACAGCGATGTTCGACCTACACTTCATATTTTCGGCCGAATAGCAAATGAAAATGATTATGTAAATGCAAATAAAAAATAGTTAAACTGTAATGTCACTTCATCAAACTGTAATGAGACAACCTCATACGACATTCACGTGCAATCTTCGCAGTTATGTCTGTCAATCAGTTATATATCGCCCACTTAGGGTGACGAAAAGCTTTCGTACGACAGGAAGACCTGAGTTCGCCTCAAATTAAATTCAAGTGACACCATTCCCACTCACTCACTAACTCATGCGTAGGTCTAGAGGACAATCCCAACGTATATGTGAATGCAAGTATGAAAAGGACTGACCTACCTCTTGGGACAAACACGATCCTGTAAAATGCACAAATGAACCTGTAATACTCCTGTCCTTGACACACCATAGCATGTGTTTCATAGAGGTTTAAGGAAGAAGATAATAATGTCGACCCTCAGGTTAACACTTATGCAGAATAACATTAACTATTGTAGTCAACATAAAACCTTCCTTCGTATTTGTTTTGCAGTACAGTAAACTACGTTTATAACGAACACGCTTATAACGATCTGGCGGATATAACGAACTGTGTTTTTGGTCCTGTCCTTTTGCTGTGTATATTCCGTACATTTGCTTATAACGAACTACGGATATAACGAATTAAAATTAGTGGTCCCTTGAGTTCGTTATAACCGTATTTTACTGTATTCTAAAAGCACAAGCTGCATATTATTTCCTTCTGTGGTCGTCACAAACGCTGGCTCATAGTATCCATGATGTATGGTACTATTAATTATTTTCTTGGTTTCTTTAATCATCTGTGCAATAATCCAACTCTTGCGAATTGTTTTCTGAGAGGTGTAAAATACATAATGGACAAGGTTATTGAATTAGGGTTAAAGGCATATAGATGAATGTTAGTTAAATGCTTTACTGTGGATAGGTTAAACATGAGTGTGTCTACAGAAAACACAATTGTACCCCATGAATACAAAAGATATCATAGGCGCGGCATCGCGTGACAACAAAGATGTCTTAGAACCCAGAAGGTACACTGAACGGATGGCGGGTTATTTTTTTCAGGGTCTTTTTTCAGAGAACGGGGATATAATTTTAATGTGAAGCATTACTTCGTTATTGTATACACTGTCAATTGGCGGTTGCATAATATATAATGTCATTGCAAGAGATTAACCAGACCCGTGAAGATCCGGGAGAGAATATGTCTTCAGCAACCCCTGCAACCCGTAAAAGGCGACTATGCTTGTCGTAAGAGGCGACTAACGGGATTGGGCTGTCAGGTTCGCTGACTTGGTTGATGCATGTCATCGTATTCTTATTGCATAGATGGAATCTTATGATGTCAATCACGGGATTGCCTGGTCCAGATTCGATTATTTACAGACATCCGTCATTTGGCTGGAATATTGCTGACTACGGCGTTAAACATCAAACAAACAAATAATGACCATTTTTATGGCATAAAGCATTTTCTAACAGTGATACAGTTAACTCCAGCCTACATGTGACCCGTGAAGATTCCGGGATAGAATAGGTCTTCAGCAACCCATGCTTGCCGTAAAAGGTGACTATGCTTGTCGTAAAAGGCGACGAACGGGATCGGGTGGTCAGGCTCGCCGCCTTGGTTGATACATGTCATCGATCTCAATTGCGTGGATCGATGCTCATGATATTAATCACTGGATTGTCTGGTCCAGACTCGATTATTTACATACCGCCGTCATATAGCTGGAATATTGTTGAGTGCGGCGTTAAACAACAAACCAAACCAAAAGCAAAACAAAGCCAGTGAGTGTTAAAAATGTAAACAGTTTATTGTTTTCCTTGGATTGAATACAATAATTTCCTTAGCTTACGATAACAAGTAAATATGAATACTAGGAAATATTTCAGTTTCCCTTACCTCACGAAACCTCTTGCATAGCAAATATTTATGCCTTCAATGTATGCTTTGACATGACATTTATCATGCATACAAGTGGGTTAGGTTTCAGGTTCTTGTGTGTTATATAATTGCCCCCAATAATAAAACAAACGATTTAGAGAAGAAATAGTAATCATGCAGTTGTCGACATATCACTGAATGTATATTTAATCAATTAGTATGTGTACTTAAAACATGATCCGTAAAGATCCGGATTAGAATAGCTCTTCAACAAACCATGTTTAGAGGCGACTAACGGGAACGGGTGGTCAGGCTCGTATCCCTATTGCTTTAGATCGATGATGTCAATCACTGTATTGTCTGGTCCCGACTCGATTATTTACAGACCGCTGCATAAATCTGAAATATTGCCGAGTGCGGCGTTAAACAACTAAACAACAACTTGAATAATGTTCCCAGCAAATATACACCTGCAAAGGCGACCAAAATAAGTGAACTTGATATGTACCATGTTATTTGTGTTTACCTAAATCATTTTGTCATTAGATGCAATATTGCTGCCAATGTATAAAGTGAAAAATTCATGGAAGAAGCAAGATTGTCCATGATGTTTGCAACTGCATCCTTCTTGGGGTTGTCAGGAATCACTGAGGACATTTTGCAAAGGTGATTACAGCATGGTGATTGTATCAGAAGTGCTTCTATATATGTCGAATCCCGTTGAGCAAACTTCAAACATGAACGAAAGTGGTCGGTCATTTTGTTATACTTCTTAGGCTAAACAGTATGTTCATAACACAAGACCCGTGAAGAGCCGGGGTAGAATAGATCTTCAGCAACCCATGCTTGCCGTAAAAGGCGACTATGCGGTATCGGGTGGTCAGGCTCGCTGACTTGGTTGATGCATGTCATCGATCCCAATTGCGTGGATCGATGCTCATGATATTAATCACTGGATTGTCTGGTCCAGACTCGATTATTTACAGACCGCCGTCATATAGCTGGAATATTGCTGAGTGCGGCGTTAAACAACAAACCAACCAACCAACCAATCATAACACAAATGTTTCAGTGACGGTAGTCCATGTTTTATTCAGACATATAATCATGTGTCATAACATCCTGAATGTAGTTGTAAAGGCACAGGCAAGTGTACAAGTCATTGCGGAAGACAATAATAGAAGAACTCTTCCAGTCATCAAAACAAATCAGGAGGCGAGATCTTAGAATGGAATGATTCAACAGTTCAGATATGTCCGTATTTTGTTTGTGACCCAGGATGATCCATCAACTCTCCAAACAGGAATACCAATATATCTACCATTATTTTTTGTACAAACATCAATAACGTATTCAACAAGGTTTATACATCATTATTAAGGTCTGTTTTCAGGCTGGATGTCAACCTTCCCAGGTGTGAGATATCTCACATACACTTGAGACAAGTCACAGTTTCGCTCTATTAAAATAATTGAATTGGTCTTCCTGATCAATTGTTGTGTGTTTGATGATAGGCAGTTAAGACTAACATTACATCTATTTTGGACCAATGTCTTCCTTGATTCAACCAAGTCGGAAAGTGACGATGACTTCCACAAATACGGTTTTTGGATTGCTCGACCTCCAGACGTAGTATCAAGTGGACCTTCTGCAGTCAGGTTCGACTCTGGATTCATATTCAGTCCACCATGCTTGAAACAGCCGTCCATAGTTTCCTTTTCCCAGTGATGTCTTGTTTTGTCCGAATCAGACTGCACGGCGGCTGGGTCAGTTGACACAGATGGGGACTCTTGACCAGTGGACTTTTGCTTCCTCGTGACGTCGCTTTCATTAACACTGGTCACTGTACATGTTAGTCCATTTAAAGACAAAATGCTTACATACGAATCGGTATCTGTGGCTTTATCGTGTATTTCCCAGTACTTGTGAGCCCAATGACCACTGCCATCGCTCTTCGAGACATCTCTCCCGTCTGTGGCCTCTTCCCCGGACTGGGTGGTCTTTCTGTAAAACAAAAGGTTCACACTCTTAATTGTACAGTTAGATTGGTTATATAACAAAGAGGTATTACCAAGGTTTAGACACAAGTGTGTCGGCTAGCCACAGTGTCAGCCAACTTCTGTCCCCAGTACGTCCCCTACTCTCCTCTTCGTTTGATATTGTGATGGTCATCAGGACGGAGTATGAGTCTCAACGAATGGAGACAAGTCTTTGGACAAGCCTTTTCAACTGTAAGACTGTAAGATGCTTTTAAAACTTAGTTATTATTCGAGGTAGGGAAAGGGTTAGATAACTCTCGATTAACACAAATTTGTATTTGTTAACATTTATCATTAGACATAAATTATTACCTCTTTCGACATCTGGTCTTTCGTCTGGCTAGATTTACCACAACACAGGCTGACCCAATAAGTACAATCACTGCGAGGATTCCCGATACAACTTGTAGGATGTGATATGTGTGTCCTGCATAAAGAACAATATACATGACAGAAACATTATATACATTTTAGTGTAACTTTTCTTGAGCCAGCGAAGACAAAGAGGGTGGAGAGAGAGATTCATACATGGAATTCACAATGCATTATTGACAAAATATTTAAATTTGTACAAAATGTTGGAAATTGTTTCGTCGTCTTTGTAACTAGTTGTTCAGTAATTGATCAACTTTGACAACGACATTCTTAAATATGATTGTAAAATCAGGTATATAATTTATAAGAACATAAACATGAAGCTTATGATGAGTTTCAATAAACATTACTTTGTTATTCCGTATAAACGATCTAATAATAAAGTTTACCATGATATTTGCAATAAAATAAACTAGTTACGTGTCCCACAGGGAGAGTTGTGGCAGTTGTCGCCAATGCACTGGAAGCACTGTCCGTCACAGTAGAGGAACTGGGGTCCGCATCTCAGACACATCTCTTCACTACTGACAGATGAATTTGACAGTTTAGTAACTTCCAACAAATTTAATTTTGTAAACGATAACGTTAAATATAGAACTAAATAAGTTATCATATGACGTATTCCATATGCGTTTCCTTTGCTTTGTTTGTTGGTTAACGCCGCACTCAGCAATATTCCAGCTATATGGCGGCGGTCTGGAAATACTCGAGACCAGACAATACAATGATAGACATCATGAGAATCGATCCACGCAATTGGGATACGATGACATGCATCAATCAAGTCAGCGAGCCTGACCACCCGATCCCGTTAGCGCCTTTTACGTCAAGCATTTTCCATATATATTTTTTTATATTTTATCTTTTGTAGAATGAATGCCGCATATTTGATCAACGATAATATATATATATATATATATATATATACACACATATATATATATATTTATATGTGTGTGTGTGTGTGTGTGTGTGTGTGTGTGTGTGTGTGTGTGTGTGTGTGTGTGTGTGTGTATGAAATACTATTCAAAAGAAGATACAGTTTTATGTACTTATATTGTACCTTCCGTTGTAGCCTGAATCACATTTGTCACACTCCCCTGTGTCTTTATCACATCTACCTCGACAGCTGGAAGGACAAGCTGTCCTACACAGGGGACCGTAGTATCGAGGGTCCTGACAACGTCCCGTACAGTCCTTGCCATAACGTTCACACTGCGAACACGCGGCATCACAGTTCACTCCACAGTTATCTCCCTTCTTGCCGGCCACACATCCCTCTGTACACACAACACGGGTGTCGTCCATCTGACAGCGAGAGTTGACACAGGTGTCTGGACAGTCCTGTTCACAGTGTTTACCATAGAACCTGGAGTCCCGACAGTGTAGACACTCTCCACTGACACAGCGAGGTAGACACACGCCGTCGACACAGGTCACGTTGTTACCGTCACAGTTGGTACAAGGTTTACTCGACGAAACAGCTATTGCTGCAGTGAGAAACATAACTTCATTAGAACTCCAACTCAAAGAATAAGAAACATGTATTCCTTGATATACTCAGTTTATACAACTCCTTCACTCTGATAACAGGGGCGGTGGGGTAGCCTAGTGGTAAAAGCGTCTGTCGTCACGTCGAAATCCCGGGCTCGATTTCCACACGGGTATAATGTGTGAAGCCCATTTCTCACGATCATTCAGTAGTACTAATTTTAAGTTGGTGTTATCCCAAACTCTCTTGTTTCGTTCACGTTGCAGTTACAAATATCCTTCTGGGTTTTGTTGTTTAACGCCGCTCTCAGCAATATTTCAGCTTACATGACAGCGGTCTGTAAATAATCGAGTCTGGACCAGACAATCCAGTGAGTAATATCATGAGCATCGATCCACGCAATTGGGATCAATGACATGCATCAACCAAGTCAGCGAGCCTGACCACCCGATCCCGTTAGTCACCTTTTACGGCAAGCATGGGTTGCTGAAGACCTATTCTACCCCGGATCTTCACGGTTCGAAGGAAATTACAAGACAGGTGTAATGATGAATGTTACGATTTATGTCACAAAACATATTCACGGGTAAGGGAAGGGAAGATGTTATGAAACACTTACCCTTTCTACCAGCAAGGTAGAAATTATCATCTGAGGAATTAAGGGGTATTTTAGATAGGCGACGAGGAGACTCCGGAGAAGTCATCAACTTGCTGTGGCCTTCTTATACCAGCAAACACGGAAGAATAACAGTTTCAGTATTGTAAGGGGTTTGCCGTAAATGCAAAGCAATAAACGAGTCAATCATATCTGGTTTACTTTTTTGCATCAAAGTACTTACCTGTTACGAAAAGCAGCAGCTTCATTATAACCAGCATGGCTGACATGAAGCTTATCTTGTGCACCAGGTCCTGTAAGTGCTACATACGGGCTTATGAAACGGTCGTGAAACTAATGACGAGGAAGATGAAATGAAATTATTTATAAGCCGAGTAGTCTAGATCCATGACGTTGTAATCCGCCAACATCTGTTCACATTCTTGAATTACTGGGGCGTTCGGGTAGCCTAGTGGTTAAAGCGTTCGCTCGTCATGTTCGCCGTGGTATTGCTGGAATATCGCTAAAAGCGGCGTAAAACCATACTCACTCACTCACTCACTCACTTGAATTACTTGTTGCCATATATGTACTTCAGCTTCCAATTATATTCATGGTAGATACAGCTAGCTGTCGTTAATGCTTTGTTCAAGTATTAATTGGTATCTCTATGGTATGTATCGAAAAAATCAATAAAACTATTTTTTTTAAGTTAACATAAAATATAAGGAATGAATACGATAGGCCTACACACAAAACACTTCTTCAAGAAACATATACATACATGTTAAATGAAGGGGTGAAGAAATAATATGGACATCTTGAAACGAGCAATGCCAAGTGCCACGCTCATTTACAAAATCAAGCTGACTTCGTGTACTTTTAAATATGCATACAAGCAACTTTCAACTGTGTGGTAACTAACATTAGACACAAGAATCTTTTTCAATTGATTTCCTGATTTAAAAATAATTTAAGTAAGAGGGTGGACTAACCTCGTCATTACGAAAATAGCCACCGCATGTTTCTGTTTCAATGTTTTCATTCATGTTTCATATTCATACATACATGGTGATTAATCATATACCAGAAAATAAATTCTGTAATCGATGTACATAACACGTGTTAGTGCTGGCCTCAACATCATGTTGTGTGAATAATATTAAGCTAATTATGCAAATCAAAGCCATAAATATATGCATGGTAAGTTTTAAAAGACTGTTCTAAAAAACATCGTGTCCGGTTATTGGGTTAATTTCTTCCCTGTTTCTTGTGTTATTTCACTATGCACTGTTTAAGATACTGAAGTACTTTCGTGAGTTTACTTTGAAATATATAATGGCTACTGAAAAAATTGCAATAAGGTCTTTATCTATATGTGTCACTGATATTCGGGTACATCCCTCGCCATCAGTCATGCAGATAATATACCCGTCTTTCATAGTATTACCCTGTCGCATGGTTTAATTCAGTCTTTGAAAGGCATTCAGAAGTGATTTAATAAGGAAGAGAATTTATGGATGTCAAGTTCTTTATTATGATAATAATTATTTATTATGATCATAATAAAGAAGTTGACATCCATAAGTTCTCTTCATTATGGTTTAATTAAAAAGAACAGTAACTTATAGTAACATGATTAATTCCACGTCAAGGTTCTTTGTAAATTATTCAAAAAATGTTAAAGGACAATTTATTTTTGTCGTGTTTTACTTTTTACATTTATCAGTTACATGTGACATCGGTTAAAACCAGTATGATACCGCTTCTTGGACACTCATGTGTTGTAGTGCATAATAATCGAGAGCAATGTTTCTTCTTTTACAGAAAGTATATATGCAGTGAATATGAAATTCAGTGTGCATATAGAGGTGTATATTATTATATCAAACTTTGCTATAATAATATTCCATTTGTATTACGGATTTTTCTTGCTCAAAGCTTAAGGGCACACTTTCACCGCGGCCATTGGATTACGGTGCATTCGATTTTCATTCTCAGCTCCCTGGCGAGAGTCCAACCCAAGCTGGGCCCGTAAAGATCCAGGGTAGAATAGGTTTTCAGCAACCCATGCTTGGCGAAAGGCGACTAACGGGATCGGGATCGGGAACGGGTGGTCAGGCTCGCTGACTTGGTTAATGCATGTCATCGATCCCGATTGCGTGGATCGATGCTCATGTTATCAATCGCTGGATTGTCTGGTCCAGACTCGATTATTTACAGACCGCCGTCATATAGCTGGAATATTGCTGAGTGCGGCGTTAAACAACAAACAAACAAACAAAACAAAACAAACCCAAGCCGCCGGTTGTCATCCTACCGGGTACCCATTCGCTGCTGGGAAAACATGGGCGTATTTCGAACAAAGCCACCTGTATGCTACATGTGCTTCAATGTGAGGCAGGATAGACACCCATGCAGGCGTCACAGGCGCCGAACACGGTCACCCATCCAACTACTCTCCGCAACCAACGTTGCCTAACTCCGCCTGGTGTGTGACCTGACCACTTTGCACAGAGACTATTAGTGGCAAAATGTTTCTTGTTCTCTTTGCGTGAACTAGCATAGCATGTCGTAGCTATGCAAAGCATTCTGTCACAAGGGAAATATAACGTGATATTTCCACTCCTCTACTCAACCTTTGTGAACGAAGTGTTTCTTGATTGTTTCGCAAATGTAACACCAAAGTTCGTGGTAAAACTGGCAGCATCATTTTTTCTCTTTTTGAGAAAATGTTTTAAACCTTGTTGCCAAGATTCTAGGCAAATATATTGTGTTCTTTCATAAGCCGATATACTAAAGGTGAATGTCACATAGAACGCAATGTTTTGAGATAGGACACAATTCTCTCATACTTATTATCCATGGTATCCATGGTATCCAACGTGGTAAAATTATTAACAAAATGACAAAAAAATTAAATAGTATGTGACGTGATTATATTTTATTTTATAATTATAAGTATACATTTTCAATTGTCTCTCTGTACAATGTAAACGGACACGACCATGGTTTAAGTTTTAAGTTTGGACTTTGGGGTCAGATATTTGACGTTGACTTTGGACATGTCACAGTTTTGCTCTATGAATAGGACCGAATCAGTCTTTTTAATCAACCTTTGGGTGTCAAGTGACATATGACAATAATCAATACCATTTTCACTTTTGGCTGAGGCAAGTATTGGATCGCCTTCAGTGTTCAGAAAAGATACTTTCTCATCAATTGGATACAAGCCATCATCATCATCATCATCATGAATTACAGTAGGACGTGCTTCGCAGTAGGAAGCAGTCATTGTCAATCCTGCCCCAGTGTTAGACCCCTGAAATGTCTCAATATTGAGAGTCCCTGGAACAGATATAGAGTTGGCGTTTTGTTCCTCTATTTTGTTGGACCCCCGTCGTTCATGTTCCGGTTTCTCTGGTCTGCTTTCAGCGCGGGTTGTTCTTGCCAGTGTATGGGGATAACGCGAAGTGGGCCGAGCTACTTCCTCTAAACATTGATCCGAGTTCACGTCCTGTTCATTTATTTCCCAGTATTTGTGTGTCCAGTAATCGCCACAGTTGCATCGACGTGTTGTTTCAGCTCGGCAAGCGGCGGCAGGAACCCGACTGTCAAATACAAACATAGAATGTGTTCAGTACTTGTTTCACAACTGCTTTTCAGTTAGTCACCAGACAAACATATCTAACCAACTGAATACTAGTCAAGGAACGGAATAATATAACGTTGGTTGGTTGGTTGGTTGGTTGTTTAACGCCGCACTCAGCAATATTTCAGCTATATGACGGCGGTCTGTAAATAATCGAGTCTGGACCAGACAATCCAGTGATTAATGTCATGAGCATCGATCCACGCAATTGGGATCGATTACATGCATCAACCAAGTCAGCGAGCCTGACCACCCGATCCCGTTAGTCGCCTTTTACGACAAGCATAGTCACCTTTTAAGGCAAGCATGGGTTGCTGAAGACCTATTCTTCCCCGGAATCTTCACGGGTGGAATAATATAACGATTAAATGGAACATGTATCATTGTAAAACTATACAATGTGATAAATATGTGTATTGAAAGTATGTTCTAAATTTTCCTGACATAATATCTAAAGTGAGATCTCAGAAAAGCGGGTTAGTGATATAAGCAGGGCACTGATATGAACATGTTTAAAGTATAGATTATTTGATGCAGTTGAATCGTTTTAAGTGACACACCGTTTTAATGAGGTAATGATGTTTAAACGATATGACTACAGACCCTATACCTACCTATGGTGGCTTCTATAACGCTTCATTAGCACCGACCCAGCTATAGACAAGCCCAGCAGCACCACCACAGCTACTGCGCCACCAACGACTTTCGTAGTCAGCCTCGGGTCACCTAAAATGATATATATGAATGCATAATCATCGCTAGTTGAAAGTTCAATATAGATTATATATTCAGAAATATTTCGCATCAATTAGAATGACAAACGGAACCATTGCAATTACATTAAAAGCGACAACAACCCCTCCATATTCAATAGAAATCTCTTGTTGGTTGTACGATTCCTACTATATCATTACCATGTGTTTATGAATCTCTATCAAATAGTGGTGATACTAGGTGTTCGCGAAAAGGTGATTGCATCTTGCCCCATCGGTGACACCAGTGACAAACACATGCAAAGGCAAGTCATTTTTTACACCTAAAAAAAACACGGTAACAAACGGCACAAGCCAAAAGCATTTTCGTCACCGATGCGTCCTCCACACGTCCCCAAAAGCCCCACCGAGGCCTCGAATGCCGTAACCCTGATCAAGCATCAAACAACCTCGACAAGAACTAGATGGGCTAGAACTTGTCATGCTTTTCGCAATGTTCTTATTTACCACTATATTACCCCTTATTCTACATAATTTCACTCCTGATCTCACATCAATACGCCGTTGCAGCCATTGCTATAAAAAGATTATATTTCCAATTTGTTTATACCGTTTAATCTTTACTGCCTGTAATACATTCATTTTAACCAAGCATGAATATCATATACCATATACCATTTCTAAAGAGGGGGCACGGGTGGACCAGTCGTCTTAGGCGCCGCGATTCGCTGTGCAGAGTTGCGTCCCTTGGGCACGCCAGAAACCTATGATTGTGGGTTCGAATCCCGGTTCGTCCCAATTATGTTTCTAGGTTTGTCAGCACCATATCCGTGCTCGTGGGTTTCACCGAAGTGGTAAACGTCTTAGACCTGCATCACTTTCGGACTTTCCTCCCACATTAAGCTGACATGCCGTGATATAACTGGAATAATGTTAACAGCGGCGTTAAACCCAACTCACTCACTCACTCACTCATTTCTAAAGAAAATCCAAAGGGGTGTAAACAGTCTCCTGTAATAACTTCACCTGGATTACATGCTCCATTGCTGCACGGAAGCTTACAGTATCTCCCTCTGTAACCAGGGTTACAGTTGATGCAGTCGCCCGTCAGTCTGTAACAGCCGTCCTTGCAGTTGACTGGGCAGTGGTGTTGGCAGGATGCTCCATAGGACTTGCTGTCAGTACACGGTTCCACACACTCATCAGCAAGACGCGTACACTCTGTGCAGTTTACTGGACAGGTAACGTTACAATATGTGCCTCTAAACCCCGGTACACAACCATCACACTCCCCCGTCAACTTCTGGCACCTCTCTCTACAGTTGGATGGGCATGAGAGATTACAATATTGACCGTAATTCCAAATATTCAGGCAAGCTCCGATACACTTATTCCCATGGCGCTCACACGCTGTACATAAGGCTGGGCAATTAATGTTACAGTACTTCCCGCGGTACCCTGTCTGACAAACGTCACAATAGTCCCCACCGTACCAAGGCATGCAGCTGTTACATGCCCCTGTCTCCTGGTGACACCCATCTTTACATCCCGAGGGGCAAACAGTGGTACAGTGCTCCCCCATGTAACCTACAGAACATGGTTTGCATTTCCCTGTGTTTTTATCGCAGCCACTATTACAGTCCTCGGGACATGGTGTTTTACATTTAGGACCAAAATACCGGGGGTTCAAACATGGACCTATACATTCATCCCCTACACAGTGTGTACAAGATGGCGGACAGTCAACACCACAGTTATCTCCCTTCTTGCCAGCCACGCATCCCTCTTTGCAAACAACATGGGAGTTGTTCATCTGACAACGCGCGTTGAGACAGGTGTGTGGACAGAGGGTTTCACACTGTACCCCGTGAAACATGAAATCACGGCACATGAGACACTCTCCAGAGGACGTCACATTGACACAGCGAGGCAGACATATACCGTCAGCACAGGTCACGTTGTTACCGGTGCAGGAGGAGCACACTGAAGAACCTTTCACAAAAAGTGATAAACAATAAACAAAAAATTACTCTTAATAGGTCCATATGCGAAAACAAGGACCCGAGGACCCGACCCCTGAGATCGTCTGACCGGATCGAGACCGACGGCCGGGGTCTCGTCAGACCGACGAATCAGTCGGGTCCGAGGCTCCTTTTTTTCGCATAATGACCTTGTCAAAAGTAATCAGTTGTTTTGTTATACCGAAATTCACTTTCAAATTTATGAAGCCATTAAGCCGTTATCTGTTTCTTTACAGTAACTTAGCTGCAAAGCGGAAAATGGTAGTATACAAGACGCCATCTTGTTTCTAGCAGACGAGTCAATATTCATCACGTGAAGGGTCAATACTGATCATGTGACAAGTCAGACGAGACATGATTTGGAGGTCTACATTGAAATGTATTGTTTCGGCACCTGGTACTTTTTTAATCAATGGAATTGCAACATTCTTAATAGAATCATAACAATGACACTTAGTACATTAGATTATAAACGGTCTCCGTTGAAAATACAACTTTTGAGCTCGGAAACCAGAAATGACTACAAATTGTTTAAGTATATATCGCAATCTGCAATATTTCGAATAGGCAATATGAACAGTATATTTGTATTTGTTTCAGCTTTAAACATTGTTTACTAAAAAGTATTCATGATCGTTACTCTCCATTTATCATAAATTATTGGTGTTAAAAACAAACCTGCTGTGACGGGTACCATGCAGATGGCCGCTACCACACAGAACACCGGGTGTCGCAATATCGAACCGAAAGGCGCCATATTTCTATACAGAAACACAGTAAGACACGTCAAGTAACAGAACTATGACCGTTTTATCAAACAGTTTCATAATAACACTATGATCATGGGATCGAATACCTGTTTGTCCTGTTTAGTTTCCTACCTTTGCCTGTGGGTTTCATAAAAGAGAGGGGCGGTCGGGTAGCCTAGTGGTTAAAGCGTTCGCTCGTCACGCCGAAGACCCGGGTTCGAGTCCCGACATGGGTACAATGTGTGAAGCCCATTTCTGGTGTCCCCCGCCGTGATATCGCTGGAATATTGCTAAAAGCGGCGTAAAACCAAACTCACTCACTCACTCACTCATAAAAGAGGTTACCGTACGTATGCATTCCTTCGTGTTTCCTCTCACGTTAATCTGACTAGCCGTGATATAACTGAAATACTCCCCAAAGCGGCATTAATCCAAACTCACTCACGAGTTCAAAATTTAAAACTTTTCGAAATATATTTTATCATCCCAAATCAAACGCACAAAAGGTTCTGTCACCAAGCAATCAGAAGCTTATTTTCACCATCTTATTCACTGTATTTGTACCTTGAATAAACCCGCAACAAACCTCATGATATTATACATAAGGGGGCACGGGTGGCCCAGTCGTCTAAGGCACCGCGATTCGCTGTACAGAGTTGCGTCCCTTGGGCACGCCAGAAACCTATGATTGTGGGTTCGAATCCCGGTTCGCCCCGATTATGTTTCTAGGTTTGTCAGCTCCATACCCGTGCTCGTGGGTTTCACCGAAGTGGTAAACGTCTGAGACCTGCATCACTTCGGGCTTTCCTCCCACATTAAGCTGACACGCCGTGATATAACTGTAATAATGTTAAAAGCGGCGTGAAACCCAACTCACTCACTCACTCACTATTTTACATAATCCAAAGTTATAATTACCTTCATCAATCTGATGTATCCAAATGGTTACTGGTGATTTCAACTAGTTACGACTGGAAGTGAGCAGCTGTCTTCTTAAGAAACTAGTTGCACGTTATACTGTCCTCCTCCTAACCAACAAAACAAACATTATGAGGAAAGGATAACTGCAACCCTGTCATGCGCTGTCAGGAGAGGCATATGTTCGTTCAAATACACAAATCTTGAAAAAATATTGAAACCGCATGCTTACGCATGTTTTCGACGTGCCTACATGCACATATATGACTCATCTGAACTTTTGTAAAACTATTCTGTCCGTGTGACCTTCGTTGCAAGGAAATCCAAACTGAAACTAATGATGTTATATTTAATGTTCTATTAATGTAATATTATCACGTGAATACACATCAACAATCAATTGCAGGAAGCTTAAATAGCTGTTGTTGTTTTTTTATTATCTTTCAAGATTGATCAAATTAAGTGTCGAAATCATTACATCATTATGTAAACAGTTAATGTGGGATTATTATTAAATGCATTTATATGCTACTTTCCAAAGAGTGAGATGTGATTTTACTCTAAAATAGTGTTCGTGTCAGATGATTGTATTCGGAGGTCTTCCTCGTGTAGTCTGATAAGCAGGGGAAAACATATGCAGTCAATGTGTAAAATGACAGAAATATTAAGGCATTTTATATATTGAGATCACATTTTACACATCAACTGTAACATAAACACTATGGCATGTACATATACCTGTGAGATATACACATATTTTGGTTAAGTATTACATACATGTGTGTGTGTGAGTGTGTGTGTGTGTGTGCACGTCTTATAAAACATGGCGTTCGATGATGCATAAAAATGTATGTCTCACAAGTTTCATTCACTTGTTAAATGTTCAGGTAAATGTGGGCCTCTTGCAAAAATATATCACATGTCATTGTCAAAATTATGGTAGAGCCTCGAATGTAGTTTAAAATATGTACTGTTTAATATTTCAGAATGAAATTAGCGTAGTCGTTTTCAATGCCTTGTCAAAGAAGAACTTGCAACAGTGACTGTTTCGTAAATTACACACTACAATGGAATACTTCCGGTAGTAATGGAGATTATAGGGGAGATGTTTGACATACACAAAAACTGTAGTTTTAATTGATAAGTTGTTTAACGTCTTATCATGTTCGTGTTTGCTTATCCTACATCCAACATACATCAACCTTATCTAAATTTCAAGGGATAAGAAGCATTGGTATTTCCAAATTTGACACATCAGTGACAAAAGTGATGTCCATTGCAATTCCCTATTTTGAATTGTACCATATGTTCCAGTGTATTTTCGGGTGAATAATTTACTTGTCTTTGCATGTATTTATGACACGTTTCACACGTTTGTGATATAGTCGGAATCGTACAATGGACTCTGCTTTTACATATATCACAAACTTAGTACAAAGTATATAAGTAAGAGGAGACTAACGGGATCGAATGGTCAGGCTCAATGATTTGGTTGATGCATGTCATCGTATCCCAATTGCGTAGATCGATGCTCATGATGTCAATCATTGGATTGTCTGGTTCAGACTCGATTATTTACAGACCACCGTCATATAGCTTGAATATTGCTGAATACGAGGTTAAACTACGAACAAAAAAGAAACAGTAAAATTTTGACAAAGATTTATTGCAACGTATGAATATACTCAAAACAAGCATATTATGAAAGAACATCTAAAATGATTCCACGATCCTTTTGACGCAATTATAATGTATTTGAACTGGTGTTAACTTTATCAGGTGTAAGATATTTGACATTGATATTTGCTAAATCAAGATGTTGTTCAATAGCTATTATAGATTCCGTCTTTCTGATAAGGTGCTGAATATGAGGTTGGATGGGATTCTTCATGACTCCGCCCCCTTCCTGATTTGTCCGAGGACCAGAGTTACTGAGTGTCGTACCCATGATGTCCTCCTCTGCTGCACCAGCCACGACACTGTCCACCACGTCCGACTGTGGCGATTCCACAACAAATGGTTCATAAGTCGAATCATGTCCATCCTGGTGTACCACAGCCGCCGGTGACACGTCAGTATTATACGGCATTGGTTTCCTTACTGTGACATTTCCTAGGGGGATATCCTTGGCTTGTTCAGATCGTCTATAGGGTAACGGGAGCACAGGTGAGATGTTTGACCCAGATTCAGAGCCAGATTCCTTGTCATGTATTTCCCAGTATTTGTGGGCCCAGTATTCATTGCTGTCACTCTGACCAAGGTCCTGTGGAATGTCTTGACGGGGAGACATCTCACTATTGAGAAAAAAAGTGCAGTTTAGTAAATAGTCCCCTTAGTGTTGATGAATCATTATTCAAGCACATTATTCTGAAAGTGACATATAATTTAAACACTTTCAATTCTAAAATTTCAGATTCACATTCACAACTGTGTTTGCATATGAGAAAACAAGAAGCTAATATTATGGACGTATTCTAAACATGTATTTGCTATGTGATTATGATAGTACATTAACATTCTTACCCGTGTTGGCATTTGCTCCTGCGTCTGACCAGAATGACCACCGCCAAGATCGTTCCAAGCAACACAGCCATCGCCAGCACTCCAGCTGTCACTTTCAGAGTCAAAATCGTGTTACCTGTAGTAATACAAATATGAGTACACTGTTTATTATGTTCGAAGCGAGGTGTAGCCTAGATATAAATAAAGCTACAAAACCCCTTCCATATCCAATAGAAATATCTGCACAAAGCAGAGTCGACTGTTCCGATCCCTACTATGTCATGAGCAAGTGTTTATGAATCACTATCAAATAATAAAGAAACCAGGTGTTCGAGAAAATGCGAGCGTATCCCGCCCCACCGGTACACGTCACAAACACATGCAAAGACAAGTCAATTGCGAGTCATTAAAGCCTTTCGCCAGTCACGCAGAAAGCCCAGGTTCGATTCCCAACACGGATATAATGTATGCACTTCATTGTAATATTGCCCTCCCTTTTTAATGAAAGGACAAGATGAAATATTTAATTCATCGCACATCTAACGTTTGAAACGTGTTAATAGAAAAAAACGGTTACATGTACATTGTAAATCATATCACACACATGTATACCAATGTAAATAATATTATATCGGAGACAGTGACAGGAGGTACTTTCGTTATATTCTAGTCATTTTGTTTCTTTTTAAAGACATCATTTTATCTTAACTTGTTTGTCAAATCCTCACTAAAACGAAAATTACATTTTAGATAAAATAAAAGTGACAAAACCCCTCTCTTAGTCAATAGAAGGCGATTGTTCGATTCCGACTATATGATGAGCATGTGTTTATGGATCAATATCAAATAGACTTATGTCGATATACTTTTAATAGCTATTAAATAGCATATGAACATGTTTGATGTTTAGGCAAAAGTTCATGTGTACCACCCACCTGAGTCACAGTCACCCTTCTGACAGAGACCGTCCGTACACTGTGTGTAGCCATCGGCACAGAGAATGCATCTCCCTGTCGTCTTGTCGCATCCCGCACAACTTGTAGGGCATTGTATAGAACAGAAAGGGCCGTAGTACAGGCTGTCGGGGCATGGTCCAATGCACTGCCCATTACGTTGCTCACACGGAGTACAGTTGGAGGGACAGGTTTCATTACAGAACGTCCCTGTGTAACCTGTCACACAGCTGCCACACTCACCCTTGTCTTTATCACATACGTCCAGGCAGTGTGGGGGACAAGCAATGTTACAGTACCCCCCACTGTAGCCCACCACACATCCATTACAGTACTCTCCTGTGTAACCGTCCACGCAGCTTTTGCAGCTCCCCGTGTCATTCCTACAGCCATCCAAACAGTTATCAGGACAGGGAGTTTCACATTGTGAACCGTAATACTGGTCGTTTTGACATGGTCCAATACAGGCATCTCCTGTCTGTTCACATTGTGAGCAGGACGAAGGACAAGAAGAGGCACAGTTATCTCCCTTCTTGCCGGCCACACATCCCTCTGTACACACAACACGGGTGTTGTTCATCAGACAGCGAGAGTTGAGACAGGTGTCTGGACAGTCATGTTCACACTGTTTACCATAGAACCTGGAGTCAAGACACTGGAGACACTCTCCAGATGACGTCAAACGGACGCAACGTAGTAGACACACGCCATTTTCACAGGTAACGTTGTTACCGTCACACTCGTTACACAGTGTCGTTGATGTAGGAGCTGTCGTTGCAGTGAGAAAAAGGCAGAGATAACACAGGAAAGAGATGTCAGCACAAAAGAAAACACCTTGCAAAATGGAAAAATAAAATAAATGTAATCAAACTATCTAGCATCCATTTACTCCTTCAAATGAAACACTATTTCACTCCTCGAAACGTTTGAATTAATGAGTCCATGATCTACCAGGCTTCTGACTACATGTGAAACATTATTCCTTTACTAACCTTCAATGGGAAATAACAGCAGAATACATGTCAGCACCACTGAGTTCAGGACCACCGAGAATGTTGTCCTTGATGGCATCACTGAATTTCCCTTCAATGAAAGGAATAATCATGATGTAAGATTGAAACATTACTTTTTAAATAATGCCAAGCACTTAAAATATGCTGTCATCAGCAATCGATGCCACTACATACGCCTAATAGTATTCATTTTAACATAATATATCCAGAAAGCAGAGATCAGATTATCACAGACAAGGCGGTTTTAAAGGGCTAGATTGTTCTAGCAGTTTTTGATAAAGCCTTGATGCACATGAAAAAATCCTTTTTTAAGGATTAGGCATAAATGGGTTGGTAAAGGCCAACTGCAAAAAGCAAACAAAATGCAAAAGAATTCATGTGGGTACTACATTTAATGTTCACAAACAAACATGGCATCGCCTTTGTCAATCTTTGATCGATTGAATTGACCATCGGAGATCTGAACATATTATGAGAATTCTGATTTGCCCTATATTACAACAACAAATTTAAGTTGAAACTGATGTATCACTTACCTTGTAAGCTACTATATCAATGTGCACATTCAAGAAACATCTGTACTGCTTAGGTACCGTGTGTGAAAGATGCGAATACTTTTGTCGACGATATAAAAACAAAACGACAAAGAAGAAGTGTGTTTTGTGATGGTAAATATCCTGTATTAGAAAACAAACTATGTATTTCGCTTTAAGGTTCACCAGATAAAATTACTTGTTTGTGCACTGAGTATTTAAAATTCATTGAGTTAACGTTAAGAACAATAAACAGTAAACAGTATGTTTATAACTCTCCAGACTGTGACGTATTGTCCACAAAACAGTGCTGCATCTTCCTTGTGATTTATTTCAAGATATAACTCCCCGCTTTTCTCAATTGAAATAATAGCACTTCCTGATATGTTAGTGGTAAATATTGTTTCACTCAATTGATGCATGTTTAAGACAAGATTAGAAAGTGCTTTCTGATACATATATACTCTTTATACAATTCAAAACGTTCAAAACGAATAGGAATAGGAATTATCTGCCGAAGCATATTCCATTTGCCATTTATGAAAATTATATGTAAGATCACTGAAAAAAGCGATGACACCAGGTGTATTTGCAATTACTTCTAATATAGAAATATAGACTTTCACTCTCTGACATTCGAGGGCCAGGGTCCCGTTCCACGAAGCTATCTTAACAATACGACTATCATAAGCCTATCTTAAAGTATAGGACTTCGTTTTAGTGATATGGTCGCTTTGTGGAACGGGTCCCTTGTATATCAAGAAATATACCGTATTCGACGTTATCAGCGCCCCTCTCTGATAAGCCCCCACGGCGATATTTGCTAATATATTGACTAGAGAACAATCCCAATTAGCACCCCTTCCGATTGATCAAGGTACAAAAGACTTATTTATTACGCACTCGTGTGTTATATGCACCCTTAATTAAGGGCAATTACATTCTGGAAAAAATATATCTGTCGTATTTAAACATTTCAGGCTGTCAGCATAAACCACAAAATTTATATTTCAACTCTCTTTTTTTCACCAAAATAATACTTAATAAGAGCCCCCTATTTCTAATTTTCAGAGCGCCCTGGGCGCTTATTACGTCGAATACGGTACATCATTTTAACAAATGCCAAACGCCCTTATTACGCATTCTAAGACATTGATGATTGCACTAACATCACGAGAAAGGCAAGCTTGATTAGAAAATGGTTTTAAAGGGGTTTACTTACCATAATTTAATACCAGTTTTTCCTTGTAATAGAGTGAGTCCTTTGCAACTGTCATTCATACAACAGGTCGCTTATGACACTATCTGAATGAATCGCTGGACATTGTCAGTGAAGGCAAGTGTGTCAGCCGGGACAGGTCGAGGTGTAAAGCTGGTTTCCTTTATATAGGGAAGTTAAACGTTTACACCTCAACTGAAACACACATGTTCTATTTAGTACGTCTTATAACGAAGGTATTATTCTCGCTTCGGTTTTCGCTGCATGTGTATCATAAAAGAATTTTATTAAAATATGCATTTTATCAATGTGAAATAGTCTTAGTGTAGGTATTACATGCTGAGATTTTGTTAAACTTATAATGTATAATGTATAATGTTGTGATTGTTGTGATTGAACACATCAAATTTATCCTGGTTTTAAAAGCATGTTATAATATCAGTTTGATTCTGATGAGGACGGAAACATGGCATTGCAGCCAAACCATGAGTTATATATGCATCACCTCTATGGCATTGACATCGGCCTACATTTTATGAAGAATGCATGTTTATTGCCAAGAATGCACATAAATGTGAACACGTTAATGTTCAGTAAGGTTTGTTTCCTTGATTAACTTATACATAATGATTGCGGTAAATCATCTTGAAAACTTGATTCACGAACATGTTTATAATAAAAGAAACTAAAGCAAGAAAAACTACATTATATACATATACATAGTTATTCATACAAATAAGCGGGTTTTATTCTGAAACATCAGCATGAACTTAATGTTAGGGTTACTTAGCTATTTGGTGTATATGCGTGTTTAGTTTTATGGGACATACCTGTGCCAGATGTACGATTTCAATTATAGATGGCATTTACTTTTCTATCCATTTATGACTTAACGGATAACTTAACATTAACGGATACAGTCAGAAGAGGTAAATATACCGTATACATTTAGGTAAAAGGCTGTTATTAGAAGTCGCATTGTTTCGGCATCATGTGGAAATCTCTAAGCCAAAAGTGGCAATATTGTTCTGAATAAGTATTAAAAGAATGTTTAGAGGACACGCGTTGGTTGGTTGGTTTGTTGTTTAACGCCGCACTCAGCAATATTCCAGCTATATGACCGCGGTCTGTAAAATAATCGAGTCTGGACCAGACAATCCAGTGATTGACATCATGAGCATCGATCCACGCAATTGGGATCGATGACATGTTTCAACCAAGTCCGCGAGCCTGACCACCCGATCCCCTTCGTAGCCTCTTACAACAAGCATAGTCGCCTTTTACGGCAAACATGGGTTGCTGAAGACCTATTCTACCCCGGAATCTTCACGGGTCTTAGAGGACACGCGTATGAGGATTTGATTTACACACATTCAAGAACAAACATGGCAATTGGGGTTTAGTGGCACATGTTATATGTTGTGTTTGGTATTCCGGGTTTACGACGGAATATGATACAGAAGTTTCGAGGTCCCCAGTCATGTAAACACAACTTCAGACATGTGACAGAGCACCCAGATATTGAGATCACATAGACACATAGCTGGGTGAATATGACATCACACTGCGACAGTAAAGTTAAGCACTTGTTTGACTTTTCATACCTTAGTGACAGTTTCATAAACCCCGTTGACTAGTTATATAGCCTCGATTCACATAAGAAAATTATCACATTTATAAACGTTTCTGAATAGAGACGTAATCAGAATCCATGTCATCGTATGCATGCTGAATAACTGTCAATATACATATTGACTATAGTAGTAGTCAATAAAGACTGTATCTATCAAATGATGTGTAAGTTCCATATTCGTTGAAGTGTGTCCCGTTATAACATTTATATGTATTGATAAAGTTAAAGTTATTTATCGTCATACATTGCTCGCTAATGCACTGCGGTAATATATACTTCCTTTGGCTGTTTACGACGGGAAACAACTCGACAGCACTATGAAACTTTGACCTGATGCATATATCATATTTATTTTACACAACAGTTTAATAATCATATACCTTTAGACCACATTGTTAATATAGACGCTACGATTTTGATGCATGGCATTGTAGACGGCCCATAAACACTGCACAACAATTCGTCTCTGGTTGGATTATATCATAATAATCCTATCTCAGTTCAGCACACAAGGTACATTAACTCTATACACATTCCTCGTAAATTAAACTATGGAAGGAAAACAAACTTTAGAAGAGCGTGTGCCAATAACATGTCTGTGTTTGACAAGTCATTCATTGAAACAGAACTGCACTTTGAATTTTCAGATACTGCATTTTAGCATTATTATTTCAACCGTAAACCAAAAGCTAGCTATATATCAGGAAAAAAGTTGAGTGAATGAGTGAGTGAGTGAGTGAGTTGGGTTTAACGCCGCTTTTAACAGTATTCCAGTTATATCACGGCGTGTCAGCTTAATGTGGGAGGAAAGCCCGAAGTGATGCAGGTCTCAGACATTTACCACTTCGGTGAAACCAACGAGCACGGGTATGGTGCTGACAAACCTAGAAACATAATCGGGGCGAACCGGGATTCGAACCCACAATCATAGGTTTCTGGCGTGCCCAAGGGACGCAACTCTGCACAGCGAATCGCGGCGCCTTAGACGACTGGGCCATCCGTGCCCCGAGGAAATAAGTTGACTTTCAAGACTTTGAATGACACTTAGAAGTGATACACATAATAAGAGAATATATGGATGTCAACTTCTTTATTATGAGGAACACAACGTTTCGGAGTATATGCTTACTCCTTCATCAGGTGAATGAAGGCTATGAGGCAGAGAGCATATTGTCCAGTTGTCCAGTTTTCCATAACCATGTATCCAGTGTCTTTTGCTCATCACCCATCAGCGGAAATTATCTGTTGGCCTCCCCTGTTAGTTTCCACCTTTGTTATCTTATTACTTTTGTTTTCCTTACATGTACATTTATATCCTCTCTGCCTCATGGCATTCATTCACCTGATGAAGGAGTAAGCATATTCTTCGACACGTTGTGTTCCTCATAATAAAGGGGGCACGGGAGGCCCAGTCGTCTAAGGCGCCGCGATTCGCTGTGCAGAGTTGCGTCCCTTTGGCACGCCAGAAACCTATGATTGTGGGTTCGAATCCTGGTTCGCCCCGATTATGTTTCTAGGTTTGTCAGCACCATACCCGTGCTCGTGGGTTTCACCGAAGTGGTAAACGTCTGATGTGACGTGCATCACTTCGGGCTTTCCTCCCACATTTAGCTGACACGCCGTGATATAACTGTAATACTTTTAAAAGCGGCGTTAAACCCAACTCACTCACTTCTCATAATAAAGAAGTTGACATCCATAAACTCTCTTCCGTAAGTTGACTTTGACCTCTCGAGAACAACAATACTACATGTACATCGCACATTGTTCGAATGATGTGGACGATGGCGCTCTGGAATACTGTTTCACTTTAAATTATCTGTAAGAATATTCGAAACTTCTTACACAGGCTCATTTATCTAGCTCAATGAAAATGTACCACATGATCCATAGGTTTCAATCAACTACTTTGATCTGGAAACTGTTCAAACAAACCTATTGTTTAGTTGCTTCATGATGCGGTCAAATGTGATACGACGTATACGTCCTACATACATTTGGATCGTGGTAGTTCTGTTTTCCAGTATATTACCCATAAGGTTAGAAATAACCGAGTTCATAAAAGTCGTATGTGCACTAGTGCAAATATAACTTCACGCCCACCAGTGCATTGTTTACATCATCTGGCCGGCATTGTTGACGTCATTCGAATCGTATTGTTACGTAAGGTCGGAATGGCGTCACACGAGAAACGACGTCATAGCTGAAGATAATTGACGTCATTCGACAATTTTAGCTTTCTAAGACGACGATCGTGATCAGTAGATTATTCTTTGAGGGGAACTCAAAAGGATTACGAAATAATGGGTAATAAAGAAATTATCACACTCGCATGTGTATCGTACTTATTTTACGAACTTCGTGTAAGAATTCATGTATTACCCTGACTCTCCCTCTCGCTCGGGTAATACACTCGTTTCGTAATATTAGTATGACACTCGTACCATAATATCACTATGACACATATGCTTGTATAATAACCAGGGGCACGGGTGGCCTAGTCGTCTAAGGCGCCGCTATTCGCAGTGCAGAGTTGCGTCCCTTGGGCACGCCAGAAACCTATGATTGTGGGTTCGAATCCCGGTTCGCCCCGATTATGTTTCTAGGTTTGTCAGCACCATACCTGTGCTCGTGGGTTTCACCGAAGTCGTAAACGTCTGAGACCTGCATCACTTCGGGCTTTCCTCCCACAATTAAGCTGACACGCCGTGATATGAATGGAATACTGTTAAAAGCGGCGTTAAACCCAACTCACTCACTCACTCACTCGTATAATAACCTCTATGTAACACCATCTAGAAGACGCTTTTTGTTCTTGCTAATACTTTTAACGGGATTTATATATGTGTGCATAATCCCACACAATGATGATATGTATTTCCTTGATGGATCAAGGCACTCAAAACGGAAATCCTCACACTGTGGCCAATCCTTAATACTAACATTTCGATGTCAAAGGCCGTGATAATGGCTTCAGCAGTGTCATGTGAATTACGAACTATGTACATTCTGATTTTAATAAATTCAAAGGGTTTTTTTTCAAAAAGTTAATATCTGGATTTGTGTGTTTAGGTGTAAATATGCCCTGAGAAAATTACCTTCAGTGTTGGAAGAAACGTGAATGAGCCAGTTTTAGTGATTGACTTAATTTAATGCCTGTAGCCCTCAACTCAAATATAAATATACTATAATGTAATAGCCGTATGTTCACTGAATCTGTGAGCTTGTGCTATGTTTTCTCTATTACCTCGGGATTGGACCAAGGTAATTTGAATTTCGATCGAAAGCGCATATAATAAGTTATTAATCAATTGCAAAATTGATAGTAAACGTTTTTCACAAAGAATAGATAGATGTTTATTCTGATTAGTCACTACACTGGTAGAAAGAAATAATACAAAGGGAATTTTATACATTTGTACATAGCAAACTCATGAGATGCAAAAACAAATAAGAAGACGAAAATAATATACATGGCTCAGTACACTGCATTAGTGTAATTGTTTATCCCATGATCACTTCAGACAATCAAGTAAAACAGATATACGTAAATACATGATGAGTAGTTGCTTCCAAAAACTTTAACCCCGAAATAAATTTTGGTAACACCCAAATATATTGCAATGGATGCAAGTGATTATTAATATAAACGGGGTCGTGAACCATAGCGTTATCAAGATATTTCAGAATATTTCATGTATTTTTTTATATCTCTGTTTTACCTGAAGGTATAAACTGGGAACGACTAAATGATTGATAAAGCAATATAAGAGATACATTTATATAAAGAGAAGTTGAAAGCGTGTGTGCATTTTTTATGGTATGCACCACTTTGGGATTTCGGGAAGGAATATATCCCCAGCACCCAATGCTTGTCATAAGAGGTGACATAATAGGTGTCGTGAGACTCTTTTAAATTCGGTTGATTGCGAGTGATCGTACCCGGTGGCGTTGATAGTTGCTTATGCTTTAAGTCTCTGGTTTTCCTAGTCCATATTCGTTAATTTCAAAGCCATCAAGATACAGATGACATATTACCGGCTGCCTTTTGTCACTGGTTTGCGTAGTCGATGCTCGTTTATTTCAAGACCGCTTCCGTGGTCTTGTGGTAAACGTCCGCCCGGAGAGCAGAAGGTCCGGGGTTCGATCTCCGGCCGCGTCATACCAAAAGACGTTAAAAGATGGTACTTGTTGTTACCCTGTCTGGCGCTCGGCATTATACTGTGTCTGAGTTGGGTATTCATTTATCTCAGTGAGCTAGCATTATAAATCGGCATCAGTCCGGACTAGTACAAGCAGCCACACACACACACACACACACACACACACACAAACACACACACACACGTGCATGGACGTCGCTATATAAATGCAATAATCTTGGACGAGACGTTTAACCCAATTTCACCTCACCTCGTTTATTTCAAAGACATCGTGATATAGATGATCATGACTTATTGCTAACTGTGGCATCAGTCAGTATTCCCTAACTCATTTGTATGATGCAGTTCATAACACGTGTCAGCTTTTGGACTTAAATAAGTGGCACTCACTTTTGATAAGTCGCAGTTTTGCTCAATGAATATGATCGAATCAGTTTTCCTTATCAATTCCTGGACTTCTGGCGATATAGTGATATCACATTCATCATGGACTGACTTTGACCTCAAACCGTCACCTTTGACATGTGATGTTGCACCCAACAACGACAACGATGACGTTGTGCTAGCTGTTGGCTCTGAAAGGGGTCTCTTGGTTGTCCTTGAGCGTCCAAGAACGTTCGGCTGTTCATCAATTGTTAATGGTTTCCTAATTTCATAATTCTTTCTTCGTAGTTGTATTACTTCGTTGTGAGTCGTCTTTGAGCAGGAGGATGTGGAATTTACATCTCTGTCATGTATTTCCCAGTACTTAGTTGTCCAGTCATTACTGTCGTGTTTATTCCCAGAGTTGCCAGCAGATCCTGGCTGTGTACTAGTTTCTGGAGGAGGCGACGTTGAGGAACCATGTCTGCAAACAGCAATTTCACAATGTAGGCAGATGTTGACGACAAGATGAGGAAGCATATGAGCCATTTTGGACCACCAGATATGACTTTGATAATAAACTTATCATACCTGTAATAAAGTGTCTTAAAATGTTGACAGATCCGTTCATATGAATGAAGATTATCCTTTTAAAGACAACAGTGATACATTGATACAATACGTTTATGTTTTGAAATCCATGGTACAAAAAGTTATATATAGCCTGAATTTGGCATTGTGGGTGAAATGATCTTCTCACCTTTCCACACATATCGGAAACCTTCGCAGGATGAATATCACAATTCCTAGAAAGATAACCATCGCCAGGATTCCAGTGGTAATTTCGAAAGTTGGTTCTCCTGTAGATAACATATAGATAGAAAAGGGCAGTTTTTATCATAATACAGGTGACCAATGCTCTAAAAACAAGTTAAACCGGAGCGGTATTCATACTCTGATTAATGTCAATCTCTCCGTCTATAGCAACTACTACTACTTCCAGACAATGGCAAATGTTGTATTGCCAAACGTGTTATGACTTATACTGAATCAATCTACTTCAATGATCCTGGATACAATATCAAATCATTTTCACATTCTGTACAGCAAGATCCTTAACCAAGTTCTCTGTTATATTGAAATGGACCCTTAAGTTGACTCATGGTCAAAACTGTAAATTCTTCCTGGTCCATTACAAAAACACAACCACAAGCGCACCATAGCTCCTGCATATTGCTTTTGAACAACACGAGACGTAACATATTGTGACGGAGATAGCACGACAGGAAGCAGAGGACCGAGTCTACAATAGTGCCTACTACCTGCAGTGCATACGGCTGGTTTGAGAAAACAAGAACTAAAATCTTAAGACTGTCTCTACAATATCTAATGCCTCCCAAATAGTTGCTTTTGATTCCACTATGGAATACCCCTTGACTTTGACTTATATATATTGTGTATTTCACCTTTCGTTCTAAAATACAACCTGCTGAACAACATTAAAATCAGAACGATCTCCCTTGGCTGCCTCACACAATGACCGATGCAGATCCGGGTTAGAATTGGTCTTGAGCAACATATGTTTGTCGTTGGAGGCGATTAGCGAAAACGGGTGGTCGAGCTCACTAACATAGCTCACACACACACACACACACACACACACGTGCATGCACATCGCATTATATACTGAGTCAAATTAAAAACTTCACATTTTTAAAAGTAATCCCATATATGATATACAACGGACAAATGTATCAGAGAAGGTAACTTTTAATCATTAATGTCCAAAGATGTATTTTTATTAACGGTGGTAACCATAATTTGTTCCAAGCACCTACGGTATTCGGTAATAACATCAACAGTTTAAATCATAAGTCCCAAGCACGAGAATCTGATGGCACACAAGTTCAGTAGCGTGTATGGCCACCATGTGCGTTGACAACTGCCACACAACGCCTCCGCATGGACCTTGTGATGCTTGTGAACACATGATTGGGAAGACGACGCCATTGTTGCTGCAAAATGGTGCCAAGATCTTGCAAATTCTGTGGTTGGTTCTGGAGAGTGCGCAGACTTCTGTCAAGAGCATCCCAGACGTGTTCGATGGGATTGAGGTCGGGAGACCTTGACGGCCGCATTCTGAAGGAAATTCCTTGTCAAAATTGGTGTGTGGGGTCTGGCATTGTCGTGTTGGAAAATCAAACCGGGTCCATGTGTTGCCATAAAAGGCAGAAGTTATGGTGCCAGTACCTGGTCGCAGTAAGCAGCAGCGTTGAGGTTGCCACGGATGACAAGAAGCCTGGAACGTGCATTGTCACAGAAAGCACCCAACACCATGACACTTCCGCCTCGAAATCTGTCAACTTCCTGTACACAACACTGGGCGTAACGTTCATGACGGCGCCTCCACACCCTCGCCCTACCATCAGCAAATCGAAGATTCAATCGGGATTCATCACTGAAGACGACTTGATTCCAATTCTTCTGAGTCCATCGTAAGTGTCGCTGTGCCCACAATTGACGTTGACGTCTGTGGAATTGAGTCAGAATCGGCCCGCAGTATGGCCGTCGTGCTTGAGGGTGAGCAGATCTCAGACGGTTTCGAACAGTTTGCGCACTCAGTCTACCCCTAAACAGTTTATTTCTGGTTGATGTAGCCGTCAAAAATCGGTTCTGGAGGTGAAGTAAGACAATCTGACGATCCTCTGCATGTGACGTCACACGTGGTCGACCTGGCCGAGGGCGATCAGCGGTTGTACCCGTTTGCTGTAGACGCGTCTGTAAATCATAAACAGTCCGTCGACTACAACCCATCGTCCTTGCGACTTCAGCTACGGACGTTCCCGTCTGAAACATGCCGATGGCACGTTCACGTTGCACATTTGAAAGGCGTGGCATGATAAATGGCCGTAAAGTCTTTTGTTTTCTTGTGTTTTTCTTTTTTTGTTAATGACTGCTAACAAGTATGGCTGAAAACACGTGCGGTATTATGGCCACGTGACCAGTTGCACGTGAAAAACCACTTTCGCCACTATAGTGCTGTGCACATGATTTTGATCGATTCACCTGCACCTGCACCTGATCGATTTATCTGAAGACAATACGTGGCCATTACTGTTTAAATACACAATAAGGGCCCACAATGATAACTGGTCAAAATGTTAAAATTTTAGGATTGTGAAGTTTTTAATTTGGTTCAGTATACATATAAGTGCAACGCTAAATGCTAAACCCCATTTCACCTCACCTCACCTCACCTCACCAGGCATTGCTGAGTGTGGCGGTAAACAACAAAAGAACCAACCTTTTAAGTCAAATATCAACCCGACATGTCTGAGACATCTACACCAATCAGCTCCATTGGGCGATCAATCATCTTTTATTCGTCAAAGCAGTGCACCATACATTACTGATAAACACCGGCCGTTTCTAGAAATATTCCGGGTATATCACGGCGGTTGACATTAAGAATATGTTTCACACATTGTACACACATGGAACATCTATAGGCCAACTACATTGTAACTACCCCACGGAGCAGCGTCCGATATATTTGGAGAATGATGTTATCGAAGTGACGTTTTCGTCTGTTGTTTGTCACACTGTGTACCATCATGATTTAACATACTGTTTCTATAAATTCTCCATTTTTCTTTTAATGATGATAACAATGCTCACCTAACTTTATACACTCCCCCGTGTCTTTATCACATCCATCTCCACAGTTGGGGGGACAGGTAACATCGCACTTGTCCCCTGTGTAACCTGGCTCACAGCTGCCACACTCCCCCGTGTCTTTATCACATCCATCTCCACAGTTGGGGGGACAGGTAACATCGCACTTGTCCCCCATGTAACCTGGCTCACAGCTGTCACACTCCCCCGTGTCTTTATCACATCCATCTCCACAGTTGGGGGGGCAGGTAACATCGCACTTGTCCCCTGTGTAACCTGGCTCACAGCTGACACACTCCCCCGTGATCCTATTACATCCATCTGCACAGCTGGAGGAACAAGGTGTTCTACAGTGTGGACCGTAATACCGGGGTTTCTGACATGGCCCTGTACAACCATCACCATAACGTTCACACTGTGTACAGGCTGTAGGACAGTTCACACCACAGTTATCTCCCTTCTTGCCGGCCACACATCCCTCTGCACACACAACCAGGCTGTTGTTCATCTGACAGCGAGAGTTGAGACAGGTGTCTGGACAGTCATGTTCACACTGTTTACCATAGAACCTGGAGTCCCGACACTGGAGACACTTTCCAGATGACGTCACATTGACACAGCGAGGTAGACACACACCGTCAACACAGATCACGTTGTAACTATCACAGGTGGAACATAGTGTGCTGGTAGAGGAAGCTGTCGATTGAGAACGAAATAATGTAAAGTACTGTTTTCAATTAACACACTAAATATTATGATGGTTCAGTTTTCACATTTTCTGAAAAAGTTACAGAGACTGTCTATGGTGTCAAGCCAAAGATAATGTATGGTTTAGTTCACATTAGACGAAATGAACATGTCTTATTTGTAAGTATCGTGAGTAGTATTTTATTTTATTTTGTATAGAGTAGCATTACCCCTTGGTGGAAAACAATCGTCATTCCTCTTTCTTCTCAGTTGTCCACTATGTAATACATGATGCTATCTATCGAGGCTATCCACACAATACACATGTACATGTACTGAACACCTTGAGAAAGCTTAAGATATATTGATGTGCTTATGTGTCATATACAAGAAACTACGTGGCCACTGATATTTTTTCTATATAACCGTAGTTCGTTATAAGCATATATACAGCATATTGGAGCAAATGGACGGGACAATAAAAATGTTGGTTACATCCGTCAGTTCGTTATAAGCGTTATAGTTTACTGACAGGTACATTTGGACGTAATGAAGCGTAACCATATTTTGGAGAGTGGCATTTAGGAAAATGTATTATGATATTGTAAATTTGCCAGTATATTGAAATGTTCCTTGGATAAATACTACTATTTACTTTTATGATCGCTACACGTCAATGGAAGTTGTTAACAAACCGGCTTCATATCTACGTGAGCAATCTAACCTTCATAAGCTTTCAGATAGTTTCTAATCTGTCCATGAGAGAGTATATGAGGATTATTGAGATGCATTAAGATGGTAGGACAGGTATTATGTAAAGGGATTTTTTGTAACAAGGCACATCCTCAGCATACAGTTGATACATTGGGATTTCTCTAAAAATAAGTCAGAAAACAAACCTGTTACTATGGATACCAGAACGATCAGCGTTACAGGCGTAACAATTCCACGTACGAAGTCTGTCAGGAGCATCATACTCATTTTCTAAATGAACAAAGAAAAACGGTTAATCAAGTTTAGGCCTCAAACAGCTGTCCTGTTTTGTCATCATCGACTACTGTGCTGTTTCATGTGCCAGTCTCATCTGTAGATCAGTAAATAAATATATGCTTGATGATGGACTGACAGTATATATTTTTCCAATTACAAAAACAAAGCAATATTCTTACCAGTATTTGACGGATTTCTCTGTAACCTGGACAAACTATAGCGTCCTTTATAAGCTATATGCAACATTGGGATATACCGAATCATTGACATACAAGAATGCAATTCCAACCTTTATCCAGTGACGAATTACGCTCCAAGGTTCGATTCAACACTTCATATGAATCACGCAACTAGCACATGTTTGACCTCAACATGCATGTGATAACACTAAGGTATTGTATCCCAAATAAAACAATCTGAATGAAGTACTGGGTTAAGAAACAATACGCTCGTTTCCGTACTCACGAAACAACAATTACATTGGGGATTTCTTATTCATCAAGACAAGAATCCCAAGAACATTTATTGATTGATGGATTGTTGTATAACGCCGCACATAGCACTATTCAGCGAGTCTGATGATCCGATCCCGTCAGTCGGCTCTAACGACAAGCATGGATTGCTGAAGACCAAATTAAAACCGGATCTATCCCAAGAAGACGTTGTTGCTGTACTGGATATTCTGTTTCACCTACCAGCTGCAACTGCGCAGATCTCGCTGGTTTACATATTTTTAACTCTCGAGCATTTCTGACGATCTTCCTAAAACGTGATACGAATAGACCACATAGCACCGCGTCAACAATGTCCGTGCCACTGGTGCAGTGATTATCAGGATGATCTTACCCTAACCTAAGAGTGTGAGTGAGTGAGTTTGGTTTAACGCCGCGTTTAACAGTATTACAGTTATATCGCGGCATGTCAGCTTAATTAACGTGGGAGGAACGCCCGAAGTGATGCAGGTCTCAGACGATTACCACTTCGGTGAAACCCACACGGGTATGGTGCTGACAAACCTAGAAACATAATTGGGGCGTACCGGTTTTCAAACCCACAATAGGTTTCCGGCGTGCGCAAGGGATGCAACTCTGCACAGCGAATCGCGGCGCCTTAGACAACTGGGCCACCCGTGCCCCAGATTTGATCACATGTTCAAGGTGTGGACATGCTGTATCGCCATGAAAGATCGAGGCACCTCTATAGCGATGAAAGGTCCTTATGAATAGTATCCTTATTGGGGGCCAATGTATGTGTATCGTTGTGCGTGTAACTGACCCTCGCAGTCGTTGTAGTGCTGCCGCAGACCATTATAAAGCGCATCTGCCCGAGGCAAGAGAGTTAATTGACTATAAAAGTCCAGTGTCCATCCTTGCCGAACTAGGCTGGTATTATGGAGTTACATTTTGGCTGGACTAACGAGTCTACGCATAGTCCAATCAAAATCTCGCAACGAAATCAAAATCCGGTTCGTAAACTGTCGTGCAAATTTCGGTCGATTGCAAGATTTGCAAAGCATGTACACCGCCAACTCGTTGTCAACAGATATTTTCCAAACCTTTTCATGTAGATGGAATCGGATTGGTCCATAGGAGAGGCTCATAAGGGACATAACTCATAATAACCACTGGTTGTGCTACGGTCGAGCCCAGGAATTCCAGGGTGGAAACTAAACTTTTAAAGTCAGTTAACACCCTTGCCTCGGGAAGATGTACAAAGCATTACCAAATCTATTATTATTTAATTATACACTACAGCAGCTTACTCAATACATTCCTGGCGCCGCCTGTAAACACGCCTACATCACTGAGAAAGGCACTGAAGCTGCTCTCATAGGATTTCAGAACTGACGACTACTGACGTTGATGAATTGGCTTTACGTGATGTCAGTGGTGATGAAATTGCTGGACCAGCAGAATGTGACCTACTTTTTATGGCGGTCATGACACACTGGCGTATATGGCATCATCATGTTCGTCTTCATCCTGCATCTGTGTTGTGACGAATAGTATTTTTTTCCGTGACGAATAGTGTTTGAGCATATACAAATATAAGCGACAAATCAAGACTATCAGAAAAAGTGTTTAGTCCAACAACCACCTGAGCTTCCTACTCCGTTGCCGAGATAGCAACCTTGTTCCCAGAGGTTTTCAATTTTCTTCACCCGTCCACAAGATCCTCCATCATGCCAGTTGCAGAATAATCAAACATCAGATCCAGCACCTAGGCAAACAAAAGGCCCACTTCCATCAGTGCTAATTACCTCCGGCCTCCAGTTTGCCCAGTGCCCGTTACCTATTACTTATCTATGATAACTTCCATACCATCAGCGCTAGTTACTGTAAAATGTTGGCTTCCATTGTCTATTGCTAAATCACCTATCAGCGCCAATCATCTGTTGGCTTCCCTTGTTAGTTTCTACCCTTTGTTATTTTCCACCTTTTGTTATCTTATTAATGTTGTTGTCCTTACATGTACATATATATGCTCTCTGCCTCATAACATTCATTCACTTGACTCAATACAATATCAGGCTCTCAAACTAATTACACGCACCCAACATGGCACCTCCTACACCTCACTTCAGGCCTTAACAGGAGAAATGCCACTAAGTCTACGCAGGGAACAGCTAAGCTTAAATTTCTGGGCCGCGTCCCAATCAAACCCTCTCATCCAAAACTTAATAAACCAAAACATCAGCCCCAAAAACCAAGCTCTAGCTCGTCAACACCCCTTACTTACCCCAATATCCCAAAGAATAACAAACTACCTCAATGAACACCAAATTAAAAATCTTAAACAAAACTGCAAACAATCGAATATCTTCACCCCTAAATTTAAAATACCCAAAATAGACACAACACTAGCTAGCTAAATAAATAAACAAACCGACCCAAACATAGCTAAAACTACCACACTAGCGTACATACACGAAAATTGGCCAAATTGGTGTCACATTTACACGGACGGATCCTCACATCCGACCTCAAAACATACAGGTTTCGGAGTCCATACCACACAACCAACTAAAACCACACAATCCTTCCGACTCCCAAACAACCAATCAATATTCACGGCAGAACTAATGGGCATGGCCTCAGCCCTCCATAATCAAGAATCCAAAAAACACAAAAGAATCCTAATACTTACCGACTCCCTGAGTGGACTGCAAGCCCTCCAAAACAAAAATACCAAAAACCGACCTAAATTAATAAATCAAATACTTAAAAGCTCCAACGACCTAACTAAGGCAGGCAAACAAATAACCTTCTTGTGGATACCCGCCCACGTAGGAATATACGGTAATGAAAACGCCGATAAAGCAGCTAAACTATCCCTCAAAATCCCAGAAATAAGCTTAAACTTACCCATCTCAAAATCAGAAATTAAAAGTGTAAACAAGCAAAAAATCACAAAAAAATGGCATAACCTATATCTAAACTCAAATAGCCAAATCAAAAAAGTGCTCAGCAAACCACTAACCAAACCAAAAATTCTCCATCCATCCAAAAAAATCGACAAAGTAATCACTAAACTCCAAACAGGACACACCTGCAACCTAAATAACCACCTAAAAAATTTTTAAAAACACACTACAGGTAACTGCCCACACTGCAAACAACCAGAAACCCCAGAACACGCACTCATCCACTGCACACACTACCTAACACATCGAACCGCATTACAAACCACCCTCAATCTAAACAAGGCTCTAACTCTAGAAGCAATACTAAACCCACAAAATAAACTAGAAAACTTCAAGGCCTTAGGCGTATTCTTAATAAAAACGGAACTAATAAAACGCATCTAAAAACACAATAACCTACCAAATCAAAATCACATAAACAAACAAACATCCACCATACCCAGCTCCTTTAGTTCTCCTCCCCAATCCCATCGGCATCTATTCCAAATCTCAAAATTCCCAAATTCTATATAAGCAACCCCTAAACCCCCCCTCTTGGGTTGCACAGACCACTTTCGCCCCTTTCGGAAACACATTAAATGGCCTGGCCGGGCCCAAGTGCGAAATACGCATCAGTCGGAAAGCGCACGTTAAATCTCCAAAGTAAGTAAGTAAGTAAGTAACATTCATTCACCTGTTGAAGGAGTAAGCATATACTCCGACACGTTGTGTTCCTCATAATAAAGAAGTTGACATCCATATATTCTCCTTGTGTGTATCCAATTTAAATGCCTTTCAAAGACCTTTCCATGTTCGTAAGTAATCTCTGCCAAAAAGAATTCGATTTACCATTCCGTCATCAAGAGCAAGTGCTTGTGAATCCCTATCAAATAATGATGATATCAGGTGTTCCAGAAAAGGTTAGCGTATCCTGCCCCACCGGTGGTACCCGGCAGAGTTGTTTTGTACCGCTGCCACAGCCTCCCAATAACGAGCTTATAACGGCACGACGTGCTGCCCCGTTAATACGCTGTTGTGTGACTGGATGTTTTTCTATAACGTGATATGTCTGGTTTGTTTCCTTGACGCCGTCGCATAAAGCGACAAACAACATTTCCACCATGATAAAAAAAAGTAGAATTCATTGTACGATTCCGACTATCAACTAGTGTTTATGAATCACTATCAAATTGTGATGATACCAAGCGTTCGCGAAAAGGTGGGTGTATCCTCCCCCTCCAGTGACACAATGTTATATATGTCCTTCACGTGTCTACCATGAAGCTTTACTGAGGCCTTGAATGTTGTAATACTTTCAGACAACTACAGTAAACTACGGTTATAACGAACACGCTTATAACGAACTGACGGATATAACGAACTCACTTTTTAGTCCCGACTATTTGCTGTGTTATGCTGTATATATGCTTATAACGAATTACTGTTATAACAAACTAAAATTAGTAGTCCCTTTGAGTTCGTTATAACCGTAGTTTACTGTATTGAGCAACAGTCATAAAATCCAGCTTGAAATAACTGTAACCTTATATGCTAGACCCAATTCATTTTGCCAATAACGTCAAACGCCCCCTGCATATGGTAACAAGCAGAAGGATATGTATTTTTGCTAAACCTAAATAATCTAATAAACGCGCACATGTATAATAGTTACAGAAGGGACATCTTCCCAGCTCTCCTAAAACTAGAACTGTATATGTTCTTATTAGAAAATAACTATAACTAATGCCGTGAATCACGACGTTGTTTCTGTGTATGTTGGTTTAAATGCAATGTGATACCGAGGGCTTGGATTGTCTAAGAAAACATCGAAAAACAGGCTCTATACATTATAAGCCAATTTAACATATCATACAGAATGAAAATACCCCAAATTTTAATTCAACCTCATTCGTAACCTCATGGTTATATCATTACTACCTTTAATTGCTATGTAAATAATACTTTTAACATGAGCTCTGAGAGTGTTCATATACATGGAAAAAAACATGGACAGGGGATTTAATGTGCACAGTTATTTTATTTATCTCTGTCTACTCACAGTTCCTGCTCAAAACGTAATTTGAAACAAACGAAGCGTTTTCAGGTAAGGCTTTTATTTACGTAGGTTACATTAATTAAAATAACACAGAACATAAATCCAGCGCATATTTTTTTAGGAAAGGGTATGGGCACTCTCATTTTTAAAATGCGCATTTATGTCTAAAATCAAGAGCTCGCATTGTTTTCATGTCGCATTAAATTCCTGTTTTACAGTATCCAATAAACGGAGCACTTGTCGCTTTACTGTTACTCTTAACGAGATATAAATATGTGCGTGTTTTTCAAAGACAAATGTATTCCTACACAGTAACGGTATTTATTTCCTCAATGAATAAGTGAACTCAAACCGGAAATATCCACACTGCGGCCTGTCTGTCCTTCATAAATAATAACGCGATATGTATGTAATAATTCAATGTGGAATGTGCTTCGATATCAACGGTCCGTGGTAACGACTTCACATATAGCAGTCTAGTCCTGCACCATGACCGTGGAATATATTTTTTTTATTTTTTTTAAATAATCTAGAAATGCATACAAAAGCAAGTCTAGCCAACTCAAGCTAGCTCTATTCCACATTCTGAAATCAGCATAGGGAATTTTTTTATATTTTTAGAGTCAAGAAGGACACTGTGTAATATAAGATTTCAGAGACTAAATGTTAGTCTAATAGCAGTCATGTGAAATATAAACCATGTACATCATGGATGAATTCAATGTTTTACTATGCTATGTTTAAACGATGCTGAACGTGACGGTTCAAGTCAGGATTTGGCAGTTCAGGTGTAGATGTATCCTGGGACAAACATCTTAAGTGTTTGTATAAAATTGAATGGTGGCACGTGGTCCTGTGCACGGCGCACAGGTCACAAATCAGGTGTTAAGAAACGTCGGTCGCGGAGAGTCCTTTCATGGGTGACCGCGTTTCGGCAGCTTGGCTTGCTCACCCAGCAGTGAATGGGTACCCGGTAGGATGAGATGGCAATGTGGTTGTTAACCTTCTGGCGCCTAACAGACAGCTTGGGTTGAATACTGTGCACAGTGATCCAACTTTGAGCATACCCATGGGTGCGCAATATAAATAGCCGCCTATTATTATTATTATTATCATTATTATTATTATTATTATTATTATTATCATCATCATCATCATCATCATCATTATTATTATTATTAATGCTCCAGTTTGAGTAATTCTCAAGTTGCATTCCTTTACCCCCCTACTCAAATCCAAAGATTGTTCAGATCAATAACCACGACATGTCCTGCATGTGCAAGCAGGTGTGTTTAGACGTGATGCACATATGCCCATGGACGTTTTGAATCAATGTCACCCGGGATCGGAAATACATTGAACACAGGTTCAGACACGAAGTAATACAAAGGGTTTTTATAAGACATTTGTACATTGGGGAGAATATTAAACGCAGAAACAGGTCATATATTAAAGTGCATGGCTTAAGACAATGCATTCAATTCAATTAGTTCAGTTGCTAATCCCATATTCATTTTAGGCATTTTTTGTAAAATACAGAATGAGTAGTTGATTGTCAAAATAAATCATTTAGCAACCCAAAAACATAACTATGATAAAACACAAATATATTGCGATGGAGGTCACAGTGACTTATATATACAAGGTCGTGAAATATAGCGTTATCGTGACTATTTCAGACTATTTCAATTAATTTCATATCGATTTTTTATATGAAGATCTTGACTGGGAAAGACTCGTATGATTGATATAACAAAATGGTATTTACATTTATACTTAGAGTGAGTGAGTGAGTATGGTTTTACGCCGCTTTTAGCAATATTCCAGCAATATCACGGCGGGGGACACCAGAAATGGGCTTCACACATTGTACCCATGTCGGGAATCGAACCCGGGTCTTCGGCGTGACGAGCGAACGCTTTAACCACTAGGCTACCCGACCGCCCCTTATACTTAGAGATCCTGGAATCATGTTTGGATTCCGTGAAGGAATAGATCCTAAGCACCCCATACGAGGCGACAAAATAGGGATCAGGTGGTCAGGCTCTTTTAAATTTGATTGATTGCGAGGCATCGTTACCGATGGCGGCGATTGTTGCTCATGCCTTCAGTCACTGGTGTGCGTAGTCAATGCTCGTTTATTTACAGACATCGTGATATAGATGACATATTGCTGACTGTGGCTTTAATTGTTGTTCCCTCACTCACTTGTGTGATGATGACATGTGTCAGCTGTTGGACTAAGATAAGTGGCACTCACTCTTGACAAGTCGCAGTTTTGCTCAATGAATATGATCGAATCAGTTTTCTTTATCAATTCCTTGACTTCTGGCGATATAGTGATGCCACGTATATCATGGGCTGACTTTGATCTTAAACCGTCACCTTTGACATGTGACGTTGCACCCAACAAGGACAACGATGATGTTGTGTCAACTGGTGATTCGGACAGGTGTCTCTTGGTTGTCCTTGCGCGTCCATGAACGTTCGGTTGTTTATCAACTGATAATGGTTTACTAATTTCATAATTCTTTCTTCGTAGTTGTATTACTTCGTTGTGAGTCTGTGAGCAGGATGATGTGGAATTAACATCTCTGTCATGGATTACCCAGTATTTTGTTGTCCAATCATCCCTGTCGAGGAGATCCCCCGAGCTGCTTGTAGGCCCTGGCTGTGTCCCTCCATTATTGTCGTGGAGATCCCCTGAATCACCAGCTGGGCCCGGCTGTGTCCGACCTTCCGGAGGAGGCGACGTTGAGGAGGCACGTCTGCAAAACAGTTATATCACTGTGTAAGTAGATGCTGAAAAAAGGATTAGGCATCATAAGAGCAATTTTGGCCCACCAGATATATGCCTTATCTAATAAACATAATTAGCATAACTATTATAATTAAAGTCTTGAAATGTTGTCAGATGTGTTGAAAAGAATGAGGACATGCCTTTTAAAGACAATTATCACATCACCAAGTCATACAATGATGAAATGCGTTTGCGATTTGGTACCAGTGACATGACACAGTAGTTTTCTGTAGCCCCTATTTGTCATTGCTTGTGAAGTAATCTTCTCACCTTTCCACACGTTTTGATAATCGTTGCAGGATCAATATCCCCATCACCAAAATGACAATCATCGCCAGGATTCCAGTGGTTATTTGGAAAGGGGAAATTTGTCCTCCTGTAAATAACAAAATATAGATCAGAACTCAATTTATCATAATACAGACAAGCAATGCGCTTCTAACAAGCTCATACAAAATCCAAAGGGGTATCCATACTCCGTTCTCTATCACATGAAGGCAATGTCAGATGTCGTACTGTCCAACTCGTTATGGTATATACTAAACAGGACTTACACTATGATATCGTGTTGACATTTTATACAGTCAGTATATACCCTGTTATTTTGAATTGGACCTTTAAAATTACTCATGGTCAAAACTGTTAATTCTTCCTTGTCCATTAAAAGTCTCAACAACAATCTCAACAGAGCTCAATCAAATTGCTTCAGTATAACACGAACAGCAGGATATCAAAACTAAAATAGAACGATGGGCACCGGAATAATGTACGGCAATAAATGACAAAACGCATAAGAGAACATGGTTTGAGAACACAAGAGTAAACACTGCCTCCCTCATAAGGGACGAAGCGATAAAAATATCGATTCTGTTCAATCATAAATGACCTATTCAGGGGTAATATTGATCCCGTTATGGAATAGCCCTTAACCGCGTCAAAAATATATTACATACTTTATCTTTCTTTCTTGTCCAAAATACAACCTGCTGAATTAACGTTATGTCAGATTAAAATCAGAAGGCCCTCCCTAGCCTACCTTACAAAGAATTCAAGTTAGCCTGCTATTAGAATAGTTCAATGTCAACAATAGTCATCCGGATTTATATTTGACATATAGACATATCCATCCCACTGGTCGACGAATCACTGTCTGTTATTCGTCATTTCAGGGCAATCAATATACCGATAAACACCAGACGAGGCATTATTTCGTTGCTTGGTGTTTGAAATGAGTGATTGCGTTTGGTTCTTCGATGCCATTTAGAAATTTGAAACACGAAATTGTAGGCAACTCTACTGAGTACATAGTGTATTGGAAAATGATACTGAATTGTCAAAGCGACGTCATGATTAAACATTGTTATCATTACCACAGAAGATTAACAGAAGGAAAATGCTTGGTCATGCATCACTTTATATACTCCCCCATGACTTTATCACATCCATCTCTACATTTTTGGGTGTGGGTGGCAGGTAACATAACATTTGTTCCTAGTGTAACCTGGCATACAGGGGTGACGCTCTCCGATGACACTATGACATACATCCGCGCAACTGGAGTTCACAGAGTGGACCATAAGTTCGGGTGTTCTGATATGGTCCTGTACAACCATCACCACAACGTTCACACTGTGTACAGGCTGTAGGACAGTGCGCACCACAGTTATCTCCCTTCTTGTCGGCCACACATCCCTCTGTACACACAACACGGGTGTTGTCCACCTGTCATGCCCCCCTGTGTCGTCATCACATGCATCTGTACAGTCAATCGTACAATAAGCATATGTTGCTGGAGACCTATTCTATCCCGGAATCCCAACGGATTAGTCCATGTAGACTTTATGTTGACATGGCCCTCTTCAATCAGTTTCCGTATTCCAAGGTAAAGACAGAGTAACACAAATAATCCCTATCGTATTTCTAGTATCACAACTGTCACAATCCCCTCTGTTTGTGGCACTAGCAAGTGCATAATATAACTACTTTCAATGTGGTTATTCCAATGTGGGATTGCAATGAATAAAATAATTATGGAACTTACCGGTCACGATGCACCCACCGTCTTGATGACATCTTTCCCTACAGGTGATAGGACAGGAGATATTACAATACTCCCCACTGTTTCCGGGATTACAACCCTCACACTTTCCGGTCTCCTTATCACATCCACCTCTACAGCTGAAGGGACAGGCACCATTACAGTTCTTCCCTCTGTAACCCGACACGCAGCTGTCACACTCCCCCGAGTCTTTATCACATCCATCTGTACAGTTGGGGGAACAGGTAACATCACACCTGTCCCCTGAGTAACCTGGCTCACAGCTGCCACACTCCCCCGTGTCTTTATCACATCCATCTCTACAGTTGGGGGGACAGGTAACATTACACTTGTCCCCTGTGTAACCTGGCTCACAGCTGCCACAGTACTTCCCTATATAACCTGGCTCACAGCTGTCACACTCCCCCGTGTCTTTATCACATCCATCTCTACAGGTTGGAGGACAGGAAACATTACACTTGTCCCCCATGTAACCTGGCTCACAGCTGTCACACTCCCCCGTGTCTTTATCACATCCATCTCTACAGGTTGGAGGACAGGAAACATTACACTTGTCCCCCATGTAACCTGGCTCACAGCTGCCACACTCCCCCGTGTCTTTATCACATCCATCTCTACAGGTTGGAGGACAGGAAACATTACACTTGTCCCCCATGTAACCTGGCTCACAGATGTCACACTCCCCCGTGATCCTATTACATCCATCTGTACAGCTGGAGGAACAAGGTGTTCTACAGTGTTGACCGTAATACCGAGGATTCTGACACGGTGCTGTACAACCATCACCATAACGTTCACACTGTGTACAGGCTGTAGGACAGTTCACACCGCAGTTATCTCCCTTCTTGCCGGCAACACATCCCTCTGTACACACAACACGGCTGTTGTCCATCTGACAGCGAGAGTTGAGACAGGTGTCTGGACAGTCATGTTCACACTGTTTACCATAGAACCTGGAGTCTAGACACTGGAGACACTCTCCAGATGACGTCACATTGACACAGCGAGGTAGACACACACTGTCAACACAGGCCACGTTGTTACCGTCACAGTTGCTACAAGGTGTGCCTGAATGGGAAACTGTCGATTAGGAACGAAACAGCGTATTGTACTGAATATAATTAACAAGTTAAACATCTTCAATACTATGATAGTTCAGTATTCACCTTTTCTGTATGTGAAACATTCATAGAGGAATGGAAGAGTGAAACTTGTCATTATGTACCCTTATATGTGCTTGTGTCTCAGTCAGTCGTAATGGTTTTGTTTGGATAACATGAGCAGTTTTACACATTATGTTAAAACATATGCATATTGACTTTCTACAAGCTTTCGTTTTTCTTTCATAGTCTTTCAAACTCTTGGTATACTTTCTTTTGGACAATAGTATACTTCAGCTAACCTTAAAATCTTTCAGATAGTTTCTAATCTGTTCATAAGAGCTGCGTGCAGGATATTGAGGTGCACTAAGATGGTAGGACAAGTATTATGTATAGTTAATATATGTAATGTGCTGCATCACAGCTGATACTTTAGGATTTATCTCCCAATAAATAAGAACACAAACCTGCTATTGTTGATACCAGAAGTACCAGTGTCACAGGCGTAACAACTCCACGTACAGAGTCTGTTAGGAGCATCATACTCTTTTCTAAAAGAACAAAGAGAAACAAATCTGGTACATCAAGTTAAGGCCTCACAAAACTGTCCCGTGCCTATTCAATATATACAAAACGTCAACGCCAGAGAATAACCAGTCTCGATTATCTGCTGAAACAGACTTCATTTGGCGTAAAAGGCAAATAGTGGGGGGAAAATCAGTGATGACGCCAGGTGTTCGCGAAAAGTGTAATATGTTACAATGTGTGTTTAATGTGTTCAGTGTGCTAGAATCAGTTGATCAGTAAATAGATAAATCTATGCTACATAATGGACTTATAGTATGTTATGTACTCGCAAATTATCATCACATCATATAAAGTAATACTCTTACCAGTAAATCTGACGGGTCTCTCTGTTGCGAGCGTCCTCAAGCGTTGAATGTACTGAATTATGAAAGACAAGGATGCAGTCACTCCCTTTTTTCAGTAGCACATTATTATACAATACTAGTTTCGATTGACGTATGGATCACACTACTATCACATGTATGCATAATTTGAATAGGCATGTTATTTATAGCTATCTGCTTTAGGCAGAGACTTCTTATGAATATGTCGCTTATATTATATTGTATATTACCCTCTATTATATAAGTCAGTATATATCACACGTCAGTGAGTGGTGTATGTATGCATTTTCGTGCACACATATATGTGTAACTGCACCACATTGCGTCACTAAATTCAAGAATAATCAAAAGCCTATGATACTGAAATGATACATGAACTCACCTCTATTGAACGAGTATGTTTACGTCGTTCATGAAAAGGGGGTGAGTGAGTGAGTGAGAGAGTGAGTGAGTGAGTGAGTGAGTGAGTGAGTGAGTGAGTGAGTATGGTCTTACGCCGTTTTTAGCAATGTTCCAGCAATATCACGGCGGGGGACACCAGAAATGGGCTTCATGTCGGGAATCGAACATAGTTTCAAGTGCCTATTGCCATCTGCAACTGTTAATAAAGCAATACAGATTATGTTTGGGCGTGACGTTTTGTGACCATGCATACAAATCTTAAAGTTGTCACAATTTGGGTCAGTTTTTACATGATGTTGTATCATCTGTCCTTGGATACCTATTGTTTCCGTTAATCTAAATGAATGTTCATCATCGTGATTATGGAAGGGTTTGTCGCTTATATTTACATAATAGGCGTTACTTAGACAGGGTCTAATCGCTTATTTCTATTATTGAAACATGTAGTACAATTGAATGGACATGTCTGGTGACAGTAATCCTTTCATTTATTCCCATCTATGCAGTCAGGGAAAGTTGCCAGTGTTCATCACAAAGTTCATCCAAAGGTGGCATGCGTGGTGTTAATATCAAGAGCAATTGCAGTACCTCCCTATCTAACCTTTCATGCATCTGTCAAACTCATTAAGTGTCTTTGTCGCAGCCATCTCTACACCTTCCTGGACACCGTTTCGAATACAGTGTTGCGCAGTAACGAGGATTGAAACACTTGTCTAAACACGCATTACCACGACGCTCACATTGTCGTATAAAATGCGCCCCACTGTGTTGCAAAATGAATATATTTCTCAACGTTTTCAACATAATCAGTAATAGAACTCTCATGTCACTGGGTTTTCTGGTTCATCGATCACGTGATCGTCTTTTTGTTTACAGGCTGACGTCGCATGGAAGGAGTACTGCTGCACTGCGTCAGGCAATAGATACTTACTTTTTTATGCAAATTGTATGAATGGCGGGTGCTACCGGTAGGGCAGGGCATGCTACTCTTTTCGCTGCTTCACCTGGTGTCATCACTTATTTTCAGTCATCGTATCGACATTGAGTGGATCGATGCTCATGATGTCAATCACTGGCTTGTCTGGTCTAGATTCGATTATTTACAGACCACCGTCATATAGCTGGCGACAAAAACAAATGCTGGCCACACATCTCTCTGAACAACATTGGTGTCGCCAATCTCACAGCTAGATTTGAGATATGTGTCTGAACACACATGCACATAGACTGTACCTGTGCCCGCTCCCTTACGTTGCGAGACTAAATAATATATCAAAACAGTAAGTAGGATTTATATTTCGTTCAGTTTAATCACGTGTTTCAAGACATTCCACAAGTGTATTGTAAGACTGAGTTAACACGTGTAAACACAGATGAAATCTGCGCTGATTATTGTGAGGTGTGGTGTTTCTGTCGTAGAAGTCGCAAATTATGCCTCCATCACTAATGTGAGCAGACTGCAGCAACTGCGCATGCAAGCCATGAAATGTTGAAAGCCGATTGCGTTGCTCTACAGGATACTGTAACCAGCAGTTGCACCTGACGTGAATCTACGGTCAGGGGCGTGATATGGCGTCGCCGTAGGACGAACATGGTGGAGGTGAGGTGAAATGGGGTTTAACATCGCGTCCAAGATTATTGCACGTATATAGCGACGTGCATGTACGTGTGTGTGTTTGTGTGGCTGCTTGTACTAGTCCGGACTGATGCCGATTTATAGTGCTAGCTCACTGAGATACCATGCCGCAGTTTAACATGAACACCCCACTCAGACACAGTAAAATGACTCCGAGCCGACCAGTCCTTCCTTTAGCCCCTTAATGCCGAGCGCCAGACAGGGTAACGACAAGTACCATCTTTTAACGTCTTTTGGTATGACGCGGTCGGGGATCGAACCCCGGATCTTCTGCTCTCCGGGCGGACACTCTACCACTAGACCACGGAGGCGGTCCTGAACATGGTGGAGGAAGAGCAACTTGTTTGAGAGTAGTGTACTGCTAAATGCCCTATGCTGAGCAACAGGATTGCTTATTCCTATGCCCAAAGACAGATATAATTAATAGGGCACCAACGCCCGCTTGTGGCTGATGTGGTAGTGAGCACAGCACAGTTGTGTGTACAGCACAGTAGTGTGTACAGCACAGTAGTGTGTACAGAACAGTAGTGTGTACAGCGCAGTTGTGTGTACAGAACAGTAGTGTGTACAGAACAGTAGTGTGTACAGAACAGTAGTGTGTACAGCGCAGTTGTGTGTACAGCGCAGTTGTGTGTACAGCGCAGTAGTGTGTACAGCGCAGTTGTGTGTACAGCGCAGTAGTGTGTACAGCACAGTTGTGTGTACAGAACAGTAGTGTAACAGAACAGTAGTGTGTACAGCGCAGTTGTGTGTACAGCACAGTTGTGTGTACAGCACAGTAGTGTGTACAGCGCAGTTGTGTGTACAGCGCAGTTGTGTGTACAGCGCAGTAGTGTGTACAGCACAGTTGTGTGTACAGAACAGTAGTGTGTACAGAACAGTAGTGTGTACAGAACAGTAGTGTGTACAGAACAGTAGTGTGTACAGCGCAGTTGTGTGTACAGCGCAGTTGTGTGTACAGCGCAGTAGTGTGTACAGCGCAGTTGTGTGTACAGCGCAGTAGTGTGTACAGCACAGTAGTGTGTACAGCGCAGTTGTGTGTACAGCGCAGTAGTGTGTACAGAACAGTAGTGTGTACAGAACAGTAGTGTGTACAGCGCAGTTGTGTGTACAGCACAGTTGTGTGTACAGCACAGTAGTGTGTACAGCACAGTTGTGTGTACAGCGCGGTTGTGTGTACAGCGCAGTTGTGTGTACAGCGCAGTAGTGTGTACAGCACAGTTGTGTGTACAGAACAGTAGTGTGTACAGAACAGTAGTGTGTACAGAACAGTAGTGTGTACAGCAGAGTAGTGTGTACAGCGCAGTTGTGTGTACAGCGCAGTAGTGTGTACAGCACAGTTGTGTGTACAGAACAGTAGTGTGTACAGAACAGTAGTGTGTACAGAACAGTAGTGTGTACAGCGCAGTTGTGTGTACAGAACAGTAGTGTGTACAGAACAGTAGTGTGTACAGCGCAGTAGTGTGTGCAGAACAGTAGTGTGTACAGCATGCACTATATGTGTCTTCCCATGGAATAATATTCAATTCAATATTTTTCGTCAAAGAAAATATTTCACCGATCGATAATTGATGTGAATGCGCCATCTTGATTGACATGAGTGACAGAGCTATATCACCAAAAGGATACTAAATTACAATTGGAAGTAAATTAACAGCTTGATGACGTCATCCTATTTTCACGTAATAAAAAACGTACTTTGTCAAAGGATAGAGCACGGTCGTCGCCTTTGCTCTTTAGCGAAGCGTTTTAGAACTGAAGTTTACATTTAGACTCGATCGGGCAGACAAGAGTCACTATCATGATTGTTATTTTCAAAACGTATCCACAATCAAGTACATAAGACTGCACTGAGGGTAGATGTGCGAGGTAAAATTTTAATACTGTTCAACATTATGTTAAACCCAACTCAATCAATATGTTAAGTGAAACCGGTGTTGTGTTAGGTGCACGGGAAAAACGGAAATATTTTTGCTAATGGCCTACAGTGATATGCACTGAATGCCATCAAACATTAAATAACTAACACATTATTTGCGGGAATATTTATTATTTTCTCATGAAATATGATTCAGTTTCATGAGGACATGTCCGTGAATAATAAGGTGGCTGTGATACTGGTTGTGCTGTTTAAATACATTTGCAAGCTAAAACGATTAACTGCACTGATGTACCTCTGATGAAAAAACCCAACTACCATTAACAACATGCATGCGGAAGACAATATTCAAGACACATTCAACATGATAGAAATAGATGTACATTTGTAGGTATACGAAATTTGATAGAATTATCATTAACAATATATTAGACTCAAAAATACAATTTACCTTCATGATTCACACAATTTCCAACTTCCCTGAAACGAAACAGTGTGAGGATGTCCTGTGCCCCTTTAACAGAGTGAAATAATCCTACAACTTTACTCTAACATAGGTTTGGGATATCCGTTGCACTAAGATTACCAGGGCATTATGTATCCCACGGGGCTGCAATGTTAAACAAATTGATAACTACAAACATGTTTATGAATTTACAAAATTCAATAAAAAAGCTAAATAAGGCACGTTCCTATCTCGAGGTCCTAATCCAGTTTGAACTGATCTATTTCAAATGGTTTGGCAAATGAACATGTAACTGAATATGATAAATCTATGTGTATATTTTACATTTCATCATCCAAAACAGGCTTCCACAGGAGATATCACTTCGATGAAATTTCTTCACAATGCTTGGTAGACTATTGTGACATTCATCTGTTACCATGACGTCGAAATCAAATGACATCACTAATCTACTTTCGACTGATATAAACCCGAGACACTTGTTATTACTGTTTAGTAAGTGTATAAGGTGGAAGAATATGTTTAGATGATAAATAGAATGTCTCTTTTGATATCATATATATCAATACTCGTCCATAAAAGATAAAACGCCTCGTCAAGCTTTAAACTTGTATCGACATATTTAACACCAAAAGACACACGGGTGAGATTCTGTATTTATCACTCACCAGGGAGCATTGATATAATATTCACCATAAAATCAAGCGAACCAAGGTAGAACCATCTCCTGCATTTAGTCTTGAAAAGAGAAAAAATAATGTAACTTATGTCGTCGAAGAAACGTATGAGTAAAATATTCTGAATTCAAATATTTTAAACACAAAAAGTTATGGGTCATCAATATTTTAGGGGAAACCTCCTCCGCACGCCTATCGGGGACGGTACCATCAACAGATTTTATAAAAGTGAATAATGCAGACATTGTGGTGAAAACAGCCAACCTCAGTGACTCACACAACTGTTTCAAACACACAGTACCACCTGGTCACTGTTTGGCATCAAATAAACAACCCTGATCAGAACGTCTCAGGTCCATATCACCACAAAATGGCCAGTGAACGGTTTATCAGGGGCATGTAGCGTCGAATCAATTAGGCTACTTGAAACACGGTGCGTTTATCAATTATTAATGTACTCACAGGTGACGTGTATTATTTCAGAAAGTACCCAGGTGTTTTTATACGCTCCGTTTCCGGACTCGTGATAACAATGAAATTTGTAAAAAATAATGGTATGTTCAACTAATTAAATATAAAACGTCAACGCCAGAACCATTTTGACCATCCAACGAAACGGACTTCGTTGGTTGGTTGGGTTGTTGTTTAACTCCTCACGCAGCAATATTCCAGCTATATGACGGCGGTCTATAAATAATCGAGTCTGAACCAGAACATCCAGTGATTAATATCATGAGCATCGATCCACGCATTTGGGATCGATGACATGCAACAACCAAGCCAGCGAGCCTGACCACCCGATTCCGTTAGCCGCCTTTTACGACAAGCATAGTTACCTTTTACGGCAAGCATGGGTTACTGAAGACCTATTCTACCCCGGAATCTTCACGGGTCGAAACGGACTTCATTGGGCGCAAAACGGTGAAAATTATATGAATGGACCAGTGAGTATCAGCGATGACACCTGGCGCCCGCGGAAAGGGAACCATGCTCTGCCCTACCGGTAGCTCTCCTTCTGTGGAAGCAATAACTAATACTATCTCTACTACCACTTTGTACATACTTGTGGGAAGATTTATGAACGAGTTTTGCTTGTCGATTTCTTTCCATTATCATTTAGATAATCGTTGGATCTTCCTCCAGTAATTCCGCTTTGATTTTCATGTCCTCACATAATTAACATTTTGTGAACTCTGAACAAGAAAGCGAAGAAAACATATTTTGCTATATTAATAACTATCCTACGCCAGTGGCATATTCTACATACACAGACTAGTGAAAAGGCACAAACATTAGCTTGGCAATGTTAAGTGACTCTCAATTATAGACAATGATAATCTGAATAGGTATACGTTATGTTTCGAAACATGTTGTTTCGTGAACATCTCCCGCGTTAGTATAACACTTTGTACCAGGTGCAGTGTAACAGGAAGTTTCACTCATGTCATGTCTCTACCTCCCTTACAGAGGAGTGATCAACTACACAACTGTGCTATATTTTCATATGGCAAAACTACTTGATCGTGTAAATAGCTGCGTTGGTTAGGCTTTTTCTATCTGTATAACGGTATCGTGATGTCACCACGATGAATTCGTTATTGTGTATTGTTAAGTGGTAAAGCAATATACTTAAGGCCTGCTCGAAGTCATGCTTTCTGTGCATCAAAACATAATACTACTTTGTGGTATGCCCACCATGTGTATAATTGTTTTGTCAACATTGCCTGAAATATGATGAATTACCGCCTTGCCTTACAATAGACTTTCAGGATCCTGAGCTAAATTTATATGTTTAATATTCACTTTCTCCTCCGTTTAGATATTGATTTTTGAATACAGAACGCACCGAATGTCACGTTTCCCTTATAACAGACAGAAAAATATGTTTATAAAGAACAAAGTTCACACTCAGCAGTTAATTTCCGGGATTAATATCCGGTTGAACCTTGAATGCTGACTAGATTACGACACGCTGACCCATTCGTTTGACAATATCTTATACATTAAAGAAAAACGTAATGTTCTTTGAATTAAACATTTTATTTGTTGAACTCCTTGTTCAATGATATCAAGACAGCGATATACACATGTAGAAACAATGATTCGACAAAGGGTGCTCTGCATTAACAGGACGATACTGAGATAATAATCGTCTCTATATTACTTTGCTTGACATATAAATATGCTGATACTTGCAATATGGCTCACATATTACTAACTACCGCTGTGTTTGGAGCATGTACTCATTATTGTTAAATTTTAAATGCCTTGCAACATGATATGTACATACAAAAAATAACGGATGTAGTTTACATATTTACAACCATCTGTATAGAGCTATAACACAACATTTGACACTGGATATCCCACAACAAGATGAAGCAATTCTAATAGAGAGTACGTAGTGCTTTCGTATCCACACCACACGCACATATGTTTCTCATAGCTGTAACAGGTATGACACTGGTATCTCATCCACCTATGCATAATCACAACACTGGATAGTATGGACACATCACATATTATAGCGTTGTTTCCTCACTCATCACTAATGTCATCATGTGAGTCCTCAGAGCTCCGTGTTGTTAGATATCTCACATCTGCATTAGCAGATGCAGCGATTAATTCCAACAACTGCAGAGACTCACTGCTCATCTGCCTATCCTCGTGTGTGACTGTGTGTGATTGTCCTTCAGCACCTTCCAACTTGGAGCCTGACACAGGTTCATAGATATGCTCGGGATGCCATTCTGATTTGTTACAGTCTACCGCATCTACCGGAGCAACATCAACCTTCGCGATTACAGTATCATCAACTTTGGGTTTAACATCCGGCACAACATCGATCTCTTCCTTCACCCTGTTCTCTTTGCTCGTCTGTTCATATACAGATTCTTTGACGAATGCCACGCTCTGTTTGCGTCTGTTGGTCAACAAAGCCTGTTCCATACCAGGGCCCACGTCCTGGTCGTTGATCTCCCAGTATTTATGCGCCAAATACGTACTTGATCCACTGCCTTCAGCTTGGGTAGAAGAGTCTGTAATAGCATCCTGGTGGGACCTGCATATCAATGAAACAACCACTGAAGCTTATAGAGTTCACCATTTACCAGCATAGTAACATTGTAAAATCCTCCGCATTTTTCCGGTAAATGTGTAATCTGTATTCTTGTAGAAACCTCAAATCACTCTTTTACCTTCTTCGTTTTTTACATTTCTTCTTAACAGCCTGCAGAGCCCCGACCAACAGAAGTGTTGACAGGACGGAGCAAACAATCATTAAGATGTGGACAGTGGTCAAACCATCGGGTTTCTCTGGTAAGGCTGTGGTGGCATCTGAAACGTTCGATAAACTACAGTTCGTTTTTATTCATAAGTGTGTCTAACTGCACATAATAGTTTCAATGAAACGGATATCTGCAGAAGTGTTACTTTACGTCCATTTAAGTCGAAACAGATCTTAAAATGTTTTCAAACTGATTTGGATGATAATGTGAAGTCAATCGAGCTAATCATAGGGCAGCTTAAACTGCAGTGTTTATGTCAGAGACCTTATCATAAAGCAACTATCTTGATATTGTGATTATTTCAAACATGTATGATGAGTGAAATAAACAGCGGTAGAACGCCTACATTTAGACCCGATTAAATAATTGCCGCCAGGTGAACAACTTTATATCTCATGTACGGGTGTCTGGTTGTTGTTGTTTTTTTGTTGTTTTACGCCGAACTCAGCAATATTCCAGCTATATGACGGCGGTCTGTAAATAGTCGAGTCTGGACCAGACAATCCAGTGATTGATATCATGAACATCGATCCACGCAATTGGGATTGATGACATTCATCAACCAAGTCAGCGAGCCTGACCACCCGATCCCGTTCGTCGCCTTTTACGACAAGCATAGTCACCTGAAGACCTATTCTACCCCGGAATCTTCCCGGGTCGGGGTGTCTGGTCAACAAGAAGGAAGATAATGCTGAGATAAGTATAAACCAAAGGCTTTCATTTGAATTATATTTTACAAACATCCTCTGCCCTTACCTGAGTGGCAGGCTTCTCCCTGACATACTCCATCGTTACACTCAATGTGGCTCTCATCACATTGTGTACACTTTTCTGTATCTTTGTCGCATGTTATACAAGATTGGGAAGAGCAGGTAACATTACAGTACGTTCCCAGGTAACCTGTTATACAGGTACCACATTTCCCCCTATCTTTATCACATCCATCGCTACAGCTTGGGGGACAAGGTGTTCTACAGAGTGGACCGTAATACCGTGGATTCTGACACGGTCCTGTACAACCATCACCATAACGTTCACACTGTGTGCATGCTGCATCACAGTCCGCCCCACAGTTGTCTCCCTTCTTCCCGACCACACATCCCTCTGTACACATAACCAGGCTGTTGTCAAGCTGACAGCGAGAGTTGAGACAGGTGTCTGGACAGTCATGTTCACACTGTCTACCATAGAACCTGGAGTCCCGACACTGGAGACACTGTCCAGATGACGTCAGATTGACGCACCGTAGCGCACACACTCCTCCAACACATATTCTTTTATTGTCCTCACAGTCGGTACAGAGACCACTGGAAGGTGCAAGTGTTGGCACTGTGACGAAAAAAGTGCTAATTAAGAAAATAAAAAAATTTCACATCTTTCGAGAAATTTTATTCCAGCTGCTTATCACTGTCACATCAATGGGTACAGTCAGTCCGACATTGTGTAATTTATTAAGAACGCTTTCAGCTGAAATGTTGGTTGGTTGGTTGTTTAACGCCACACTCAGCAATATTACAGCTATATGACGGCGGTCTGTAAATAATCGAGTCTGGACCAGACAATCCAGTGATTAATATCATGAGCATCGATCAACGCAATTGGGATCAACGCAATTGGGACCGATGACATGCATCAACCAAGTCAGCGAGCCTGACCACCCGATCCCGTTAGTCGCTTTTTACGACAAGCATAGTCGCTTTTTACGGCAAGCATGGGTTATTGAAGACCTATTCTACCCCGGAATCTTCACGGGTTCAGCTGAAATGTCTGCTGGTGAAATGATAAGAGTGACTTGCGGGTAACCAACATCAAATCAGCCACCGATGACTTTTCAAAAACATATTCCCCTTTGCAGTTAATGTTACCTGTTTCTAACTGATACAGGGAAATACATTCTCCTTTACCTATGTTTACATACATTTTAGTGAGCGAAAATGACAAAAATCCAAGACCAAAGCTTATTTCACTGATATATACTATTTCTATAAATTGCAAATAGGTACCTGATATCAAGATGACCAGTGTGATCGTCACAGCTAGGGTCGCCATGGTCACCCACGAGTTGGGTCACTGTTGAAATACAGAGTTTCATAACAGAAAAAAGTGACTGTCAAACATATATGCATGTAGAGACGGTCGACGTTAATTATTGTAGTATATAAAATGAAAAAAAAGGTAAATCAGATTATCGAATTATCAATAAAGAAATGACGGATATTAATATGCTTTGAACAACTATTTCACTGCTATCTTACCTTGCAGCTTGGTCTAATATCGTTGCATCGCTCTCCTGAGCGAACTGTGAGGAGGGAATATTTCCCCTCAGTGCCCTTGACCCAGGTCTGTATCGGCAGTGTGCAAGGTCACAGATCAGTTTTGTACACAATGCAAACTTACCAGGAAGTATATCAAGTAAAGTGCGTGTTTTACCCGATATTTCTCTGTTATGCCAATTCAACGTTTACACCAAATTGAATTTTATTACATGTTGGGGTAGGACAAAAAGGTATAAGAACCATGTGTAGGTATATTATATTACATGTTAGAAAGATAACACGGCCTTCTGTATCTTTATCTCGTTCTTTATATATTATGAGTTGGTGCCACCGCAGGGAGGGGACATTCTCCCCCTTTTCGCGAACACCTGGTATCATCACTATTTGATAGTGATTCGTTGACAATTGCTTATATGGGGACACGGGTGGCCAAGTCGTCTAAGGCGCCACGATTAGCTGTGCAGAGTTGCGTCCCTTGGGCACGCCAGAAACCTATGATTGTGGGTTCGATGGTTTGTCAGCACCATACCCGTGCTCGTGGGTTTCACCGAAGTAGTAGACGTCTGAGACCTGCATCACTTCGGGCTTTCCTCCCATATTAAGCTGACACGCCGTGATATAACTGTAATACTGTTTGAAGCGGCATTAAACCCAACTCACTCACTCACTTGCTTATATAATGAATTGATGGAGAAAAATACTGTTCACAGAATAGCATCATAGTTATCATTGTCATGAAACCATTAGATCGTCGAAATACTCAAACACATGTACAATGATTCTGTTTTAGAATGATTGGCTAGATGATGGATGCGTTCTGTAATGATGACCAAGTATATTCGTATTGTTATTACGCGCGCACAGAAAGTCCATAAGTAAATACGGAAGAAGAGCATAGCATCAATACACACGGGGAATATACATACAACATGCCGTATTTCCTTTTTTGAGAATACACATTTCAGATGTGTTTATATGTTTTTGAACTAGTCCCATGAACTACCGCCACAAAAAGCATAAGCGAAACTACCTGCCGGGAGGTTGTTGCTGGTGCAGTTTTCTAAAGTTTCCATATAATCTCCGTCTAATCACAGTTTTCCAGTCAGTTTATGTGTACTCTTACACATTTCGGGAAGTTGGCCATGCAGACTGGGTATAACAAGCAAGTGCACACAGAAGACTTTCGGACTTAACCTAATCCTGTATTCCGGATCAATTCTACTGGAAGCTTCCAGTTATATTAGCGGGCATTGGAAAGAATCTATGATCATCTTGTGCATTAATAATTTGTAAATCACACTGCTTCGACGACGCCATGCATACCATGACATATTTAATCACTTTCATGTAATAATAATAACAATAATATGAAATGTGGATAATTCAATGAATTTAATGAGACTGTCCAACACATTGTCAGTGGATGCCAGCTTTGGCACAGACACAGTATCTAAGGCGACATGATGGTGTTGCTCGTTAATTGTATTACCGTCGTGGTTGTGGTTGTGGTTTTGACACAGAGGTCCATCCATGGTCTTGTCCTTTTGGATAAATCCAATAAAATCATTTATATCATTGAGTTTACTGTCCCTTTTGACACTAATGTGATTGACAAAATTCAGGAAAAACATGGCAAATAGGAGGTCCTTTCGGAATGTCACGCTTGCATCCCAAGTACCAAGTTGTCCGACTCCCCATTGTTCTCGGTGCCTTAGGTTTGGTGACTGACATTGGGAAAGTACCCTGATTTGCTGCCAGGAATACAGCCCTTCTGACAATCTGGGTAATGCAGAAGGCTGCAGTGTTGGGGAGTCTTCACATTCTCCGAAAAGTTCTGGGTGGGTTTGACTAGGCAGCGCTTCCTGGGAGAAGTAGAGGGGGTGCATGTAGAGGGGGCAAGGGCCCTGAGCTGATGATAAGCCTAACCAACCTGACTGTGCCAGGATCAACCAAACCCTTTTTGCTGCTCTTTTTTTATTTTAATCTGTAAATAATAATTATAAGGACACTTGTGTAGCGCTTGGCTCCACACAAGACTGATATGCTCAGAGCGTGTACAAACAGAAAGACGACCCGTGAAGATCCGGGGTAGAATAGGTCTTCAGCAACCCATGCTTGCCGTAAAAGGCGACTATGCTTGTCGTAGAAGGCGACTAATGGGATCGGGTTGTCAGGCTCGCTGACTTGGTTGATACATGTCATCGTATCCCAATTCCGTGGATCGATGCTCATGATGTCAATCACTGGATTGTCTGGTCCAGACTCGATTATTTACAGACCGCCGTCATATAGCTGTAATATTGCTGAGTACGGCGTTAAACAATAAATAAACAAACAAGCAAACAGAAAGACAATGATATTGGTTTTAGGCATAACGCTTATACAGATGAGTTTTCAGACGTTGTTTGATCGTCGCGAGATTTAGAGACGTTCGAAGTTCCATCGGAAGTGGGTTCAATTTTAATGCAGCTTGCACATCCAATGACAAGAAACCAAACGTTTTCAATTTCCATGTTGGAACATCCAGGTGCTTTTAAATACCAAAGGACCGCCTCCGTGGTCTAGTGGTAGAGCGTCCGCCCGGAAAGCGGAAGGTCCGGGGTTCGATCCCCGACCGCGTCACACCAAAAGACGTTAAAAGATGGTACTTGTTGTTACCCTGTCTGGCGCTCGGCATTAAAGGGCTAAAACAAGGACTGGTCGGCTCGGAGTCAGTATACTGTGTCTGAGTGGGGTATTCATGTTAAACTGCGGCATGATATATCTAGCACTATAAATCGGCATCAGTCCTGACTAGTACAAGCAGCCACACACACACGTGCATGCACGTCGCTATATAAGCGCAATAATCTTGGACGCGGCGTTAAACCAAATATCACCTCAACTCACCTTTAAATACCAAAGCGGTGTGTCCTGACTGTGGAGTTCAATCATATCTGAGAGATATTTTGGAGCTATATTGTTAACACACTGAAACGTAAGGGACATGATTTTATTATCCACTCTTTCATTCCCTAGAAGCCAGTTTGGTAAGTTCAGCACAGGGGATTATATGAGCAGATATAGTTGATTGAGTAGCAAGCTGTAGCTTCGCCTGTAGCTCTGATCAAGCAACAGTCTAATCCTTCCAGGAAAAGGGATCTGATCAAGGCTGATACTGCTTCATTGGTTAAAAGATGGTGGATTTCAACACTATCAAAGATAACCGCAAATGACTAAATCCTGATAAATACAAAGTGTTTGCAAATCGTCAGGTTAAATCTGTGAATGTGGCGTTGAACGGTCAACAGACGACCGAACTTAAGTGTTCAATTATGAATTTCAAAGGCATAATCAGAAGGGAATTACAAAGATTATTTTAAACATTTATTTCAGATGATGTACATTCGTGAGAGGCAGCAGTATTTACCCATCTTAGGAACGAACTACATTTAAGGATTTTAATAACATGTTATTACGTAAACTATTTACAACTACATTGACATTATGGTTACAAGGTATATTGGTTCTTCAAGACGGGAATTCCAGGGTCACCTTTGTGTTGCATAAGCGTCAGATTAAATGCGAATCTGGAGGTCACAAATTGTCCGTAGTCTGACTGCTTGACATCGTACCTCAAAGTTATCCGCCCTACAATCCACTGATTTCCCATTGAAATGGGCAATTTAAAAGTAACATAGAACACAGATGTAAGTCGCTATTACATCCACACTTGGCTAAACTAATTGTAATCGTGCAAAATGTCTTCTGGTCTGGGCGTTGTATTGATATAGTGCACATGAACACTTGGCTTTGGCAGGAAGACAACTATAGTTTCATTGGAGAGGCGCTCTGCACCTCCTTTCATCACAGGTGCAGTGATGAATTCCTTGTGGTTGGCTCTCTGCGGCTCTTCAGCGGATGCTCCTATGGGATGCGAGCTGCGTAGGGAACGTGTGTTGTTGGGATCGTCAACAGGTACAGCATCAGCTACTTTGTCTTCCATATCAAAGAATGTGTTATCAATGTTGTCATAGGAATGTTCGGATATGTCCTGTTCTATGTCTGGAGCAACAACCCTTGCCGTGGATCTGAAAATGTTGTCAGTAATTTGAAAACTGAAGCAAGTTTACAAATCACTATTGCCGTAAAAAAACAATTTCAATTACTGCAAATCACTTTGACCGATTTATTTAAGACACACCATACATTTGAATAATGGTGATAATTTAGATCAGATATTAATGAAATTACTTTAATATTTATACAAACTCTGTTGAACTTATATAATAAACATAAAGAGCTAGACGTTTGATTTTACAGGTAAACAAAACAAAGATCTTGGTCAGTGTATCTTCTATACTTATCATATGATTGCCTTGACTTTTGCACTCGATGAACCAAGACATAGAACAACGCCCACATCATTAAATCGAGATGATACCTCAAGCATTTGCTCCAAAAACCATACCATACCCATGGCAATGGAACGGACACCGTGCATTAACTAATATAATTTTTAGTTAAATACCTCTTAGCAATGACAGAATTTAATTTTCCCCAATAATTTCCCCTGATCATAAAACAAATTCACGCAAAGTGTCACCAGTGGGATTCGAATCCACCATGTTCGCGCCTAAGGCAAACGATTGTTGTCTTCTGTGATGATGACATGGAAAATATGTACGTAAATAAACTAAATATTTACGTATATCAGGACTGATAGTTCTTCCACTTATGAACGGTGAAACATGGGTTTAGTAGTACATTTTATGTTATTCTTTGCATTGTACGTACGTGTGATTTGTTGGCTTTCCGTGCAAAAGTGGTAGGTAAAAAACGCATCCCCAAGACATTAGAAAATTGTTACAGGGAAATTATTACTACCGCCGTGATAGCTTCATCACGGTGTTGGGTAAAGAGCCATTATGATAGAAAGCTAGAGTTAAGGCAAGCAGAAAAGGGAATCGATAGAGAGAGGACACTTACCAATTACAATCGTGATTGTTTTGATATTGTGGTTGTCATTTAATTAAACACAGGGACCGACCACATTAGTGTGGGCCTGCTTCGTTGCTGTAGTTGCTTGTTGATAAATAATAATATGGAGGACTTTGGAGATACAGAAGTAATAAGATATATAATTCATAAAGTCATTAAGGGAATCAGTAAATGGTGAATCACCAGAAAGCAAGTCTCAGTAATTTGCCATTACCATACAATCGCGTGTTGATACTGGTATGTTGCCTAACGAATGAGGTCGACTTAGGACATGTGACAAAGACAGGCCAGGCTCGATCACCTTAAAAAGATACCTTTAGCACTAGCAGAGTAGTGCGGGTTTTTGGGTTGACTGAGGCACACCGCCATCAGTACGTTTTCCCACTCTGTAACAATCCTATCCCGTCTTGTTTAGAAGTTGTATTTTGAGCGATGGACTGAAGCAGTAGTAAAAGTATGTGAACTTAAACCTTGTGTTGTGTCAATTATTGTGTGCGAGGGCCGGTAAATGAATGCATACGGAGACAGTTTGGATTCATGGATTCAAATTGCTCCTTGACTTATGTGAGCCTTGGCTGATCGGGAGAGTTGTAGAGTCTTGGCTTACATTGACCATGACGGCGCGGAATGGCAACACATTCAGGTAACTGCAGCAGGGTCGCCTTAAGCTTAAAACGCAGTTACGACGCAAACAGAAAGAAATTAAATTGCTCTTATCTTGATGAGTGATATGTTTGCTCCAACTAGGCACATGAAGGTGGGCAAGTAATATTTAGGTGATCGATAAATAAGCTACAGGTGGTCCTAAAAGTATTACATACTTGCCGCAGAATATGCATTTTCATAACTCGAGTCACCAAAGAGTGCGATTTATGTGTAAAAGGCTCAGGGTATAAATTTGAGCATAAAGTTCTTGAATTGTTTTTAAATACGGCAATGAAAACAATGCTGTATAAACATTATAGGTACAAGGGATCTTGTGAATGTTTACCATGGTGTAGATTGGTTAGGTCCCTCGGACACTGGTGTCTGATCCATGCCATGGACTCTAAAAAACAATTTCAACAAATAGTTTCCAGGTCCTAGTGCTCTAACCTTTATATTTTTTAGAATATGTGGTCTGTCGACATGACATTATTTTCAAAACATTATGTTAACTTCCTGGCAAATGTTACTGGGAATACGTCAAATCCGGGAATATTTGTAATGTCTGACTCTCGCAAGGAATATTCATAATCCCTAAAAAATAGCAGGTATTATACACATTCCCTGATTTAACTACACGTTCCTTAGACAATTTCCCTGAAACTATTTCATTCATGGTGTTAACATTGCTTTTAACAGTATTCTAGTCAGCTTAATGTGGGAGGAATCCCCGAAGTGATGCAGGTCTCAGGCGGTTACCACTTCGGTAAAACCCACGAGCATGGGTATGGTGCCGACAAACCTAGAAACATAATCGGGGCGAACCGGGATTCGAACCAACGATCATAGGTTTCTGCCCCAAGGGACGCAACTCTGCACAGCGAATCGCGGCGCCTAAGATGACAAGACCACCCGTGCCCCCCATTGTGTTTAGAAGAATTCTTTTCTCTGGTATCAATGTAACATTGTTAACGTGTTCAGGAAGTTCAGGAAGTGTCATTCACATTATGTTATCGATCTCAGAATCATTCACACAAGAGCGGACCTCAACTTTTTCATATCATGGATAGTTGTATCATAATGTTGCTTTGAAGTAATAACACCAAATGCTGCATAAACAGATTTGATATGGTATGTACACAAACCTCTTCTGTACTTGATTACACACAAGCGGAATGGTCACACTCAGAACCACAAGGCCCAGGATCCCTGCTATTATCACAACAGCAATAACTACGTTGTTTCCTAAAAATAGACATTTAAAATATAGCACATACATAGATGCATAATGCTGACTACAAATACTTTACATCGTTATCAAATGAGAAGTAATGTCTCAAATTATTATAACAAAAAAACCTCTAAAGGTTGTTGAGTGAATACCTGGGATAACTTTTAGCCCCTGTACTCGTTTTTTTACATCTGAAATATTGAAATACTCAATTACGTAGCTAACCTTTGTCTTTGGTACATGTATATGTACCTGGCTAACATTTTACATTCAAAGATGATAACAATGCTCACCTAACTTTATACACTCCCCCGTGTCTTTATCACATCCATCTCCAGAGTTGGGGGGACAGGTAACATTACAATATGTCCCAGTGTAACCTGGCACACAGCTGTCACACTCCCCCGTGTCTTTATCACATCCATCTCTACAGTTGGGGGGACAGGTAACATTACACTTGTCCCCTGTGTAACCTTACTCAAAGCTGTCACACTCCCCCGTGTCTTTATCACATCCATCTCCACAGTTGGGGGGACAGGTAACATTACACTTGTCCCCCATGTAACCTGGCTCACAGCTGCCACACTCCCCCGTGATCCTATTACATCCATCTGTACAGCTGGAGGAACAAGGTGTTCTACAGTGTTGACCGTAATACCGGGGATTCTGACACGGTCCTGTACAACCATCACCATAACGTTCACACTGTGTACAGGCTGTAGGACAGTTCACCCCACAGTTATCTCCCTTCTTGCCGGCCACACATCCCTCTGTACACACAACACGGGTGTTGTCCATCTGCCACATACCCCTGTGTCTTTTTCACATCCATCTGTACAGTCCATCGTACAACAAGCATATGTTGCTGGGGACCTATTCTAACCCGGAATCCCAACGGATTAGTCCATGTAGACTTTAAGTTGATATGGCCCTCTTCAATCAGTATATGTATTCCAAAGTAAAGACAGAGAAACACAAAATAATCCCTATCGTATTTCTAGTATCACAACTGTCACAACCCCCTCTCTTTGTGACACCAGCAAATTCACAACATAACTACTTTCGATGTGTTTATTCCAACGTGGGATTGAAATGAATAAAATAATATGTGTACAACTTACCTGTCTCGTTGCAACCGCCGTCTTGATTACATCCTTCCCTACAGGTGGTAGGACAGGAGATATTACAGTACTTCCCACTGTTCCCTGGATTACAACCATCACATTTTCCGATCTCCTTATCACATCCATCGCTACAGTTTGGGGGACAGGTGTCATTACAGTTCTTCCCTCTGTAACCCGACACGCAGCTGACACACTCCCCCGTGTCTTTATCACATCCATCTCTACAGTTAGGGGGACAGGTAACATCACACTTGTAACCTGGCTTACAGCTGTCACACTCCCCCGTGATCCTATTACATCCATCTGTACAGTTGGAGGAACAAGGTGTTCTACAGTTTGGACCGTAATACAGGGCATTCTGACACGGTCCTGTACAACCATCACCATAACGTTCACACTGTGTACAGGCTTTAGGACAGTTCACGCCACAGTTATCTCCCTTCCTCCCGGCCACACATCCCTCTGTACACACAGCACGGGTGTTGTTCATCTGACAGCGAGAGTTGAGACAGGTGTCTGGACAGTCATGTTCACACTGTTCACCATAGAACCTGGAGTCCCGACACTGGAGACACTCTCCAGATGACGACACATTGACACAGCGAGGTGGACACACACCGTCAACACAGGTCACGTTGTTACTGTCACAGTTGGTACATGGTGCGCTTGTAGAGCAAACTGTCGAATAATGAACTCATAAAACATTAAAACTGATACACATGTTGATTGGGAAAGTAATGATGCATGGCACTTACACATACACATATCTAATTCATATCTAAATATGAAATGTCCATGCTTGCCGTAAAAGGCGATTATGCTTGTCGTAAGAGGCGACTAACCGGATCGGGTGGTCAGGCTCGCTGACTTGGTTGATGCATCTCATCGATCCCAATTACGTGGATCGATGCTCATGATATTAATCACTGGATTGTCTGGTCCAGACTCGATTATTTGCAGACCGCCTTCATATAGCTGGAATCTTGCTGAGTGCGGCGTTAAACAACAAACCAACAAATCTTATTCAAAGCTATAGCTGTTGATTGGATGTTATATCATAACATCGATTTTGATTTTGACATCATCATTCTCTGATGATGGCTACATGTTATGAGGTCAGCTCTGAAACTAAATATGTACCAAAAGATTCATGGTAACGTTTGGAAAAGCTCATGACGTCTATATCATCTTAAGCTTAAAGGCATTAAACGCACCTGATGCCACCGTGAAGGCTATCGCCATGAGACACTCCATTGATGCAAGGTCCTGAAAATAATAAAACAAATGTGTTATCTAGTAACTCTCTTCTCAACCTCGTCATATCGTCAAAGGTATGCTCTCCATGCTTCAGCTGATACTGTATGCCAACCATACACATAGGCTAGTTTGCTTTGGTTAATAAACAAGAAGTTCAAATATATGTCAGTGGTGTTTGACATTATGATGTGTACATATAAATAAAGGAACTTTCAACAAATATCAATAATTCAAGATGCTAGCTGTGTATTTACGTTAACTCTATGTGACGTTAAAACGGACATTGAAAACTCCTAGAAATCGGGACATAAACCTTCAAACATCCCTTGTTGTGACGGGTGCTACAGGTTGGGCAGGCTACGCTCATCTTTTCGCGAAAACCAGGTTCATCACTATTTGATACTTATTCATAAACACATGTTCATGATATAGTCGGAATCGTACAGTCGATTCAGCTTTTAGCTGAGAATTCTTATGAATATGGAAAGGGTTTTGTCGCTTTATTTTGACACAGATAGGGTCTCACGCTTTGTCTATCTCTATGGGTATAAGAGGAAGCTCATCTGTCTCTAGCTCAGAATTCATATTAGGAAAACATTTACTTTTAATTTCTGCTGAATAGATGACCCAATTTCTTGTAATAATAGCTGAGGGGTAGCATACACGTGCATGTTTCAGGTATGTACCACTTTCGAAAGCAAACACATGCGAATCTCACAGATTTCAAGTTTGCATTTAAATGTACTTCAAAAGAGATTTATCTATGTGCAAAGATATACTACAATAGGGATGAGTATAATTTTCCCATAGTTAATTATTAATTGATGATTCGGATATATTGTATCTTGTTTGATGTTGCAACTTTTTTGACACTTCATGTCATAGGACAGTGAGTATGGATATCGTGCGAAAGCGTTGGCATTTTTACCCCTTGATAAATAGGAAATGTATAGTAGATTCATATGATACATCTTAAATGAAAATTGTGTTCTGTATATTATATGACTTTGTTTCTCATTGGCATTGACTATTTGTCAATGTGTGTGTCACTATTTCACTGTCAGTTCCTGCTTAATGTGTTCTAAAGTACGATATATTCTAGTTATTACCCTTTGTATTTGAACTGACGTTCCTCAGTTGATTACAAAAGACGTCTTCCCTTTCCAACCTGTGATTACACTCATCAAGGTTAAATCGTGATGCCTACAATAAGTAACACCAGATATCTACTTTCCTGCTGTTCTTTTCATTTTATAATATGTGGTTATTGTTTCCTTTATCAGACCCTAGTGTAATGTAACCTCAGTTAATATTCTGTTTCATTAGTGAGAGCAAATGACGGGAAAGTACATGTATAATTAATATGGTCACGTTTTTCTGCTGGTCATCTGCATTGCATCCTCTGCATTGATTCGACTGGTGCGCAATAAGCTGCAATATGTATACTGTGCAAACGTCATTCTGTGATTAATGGTGTAGATCATATTTTCGTGAAGCTAAGAATATATAACCGTACCAAGTTTGAAGAGTTTTGAAACTGGTAACATATACATATTAAATGTGTTTCCTTCAACAGAGAGGTGGGTTATTCACTAAAAATAGGAATATCCAACGCAACACCTAAACGTAAACTTGAACGATCATTGCCATACAGCGTATAATTCACTAAACATTATAACAGTGCTATTAAAACATATCAGAATGATAACGTCTTGGCTGCGAGCATTTAAAAGACCCCGGTTTCAGGGACCCATCTGTTATAATGTTATTCCCACTGCGTTGTTAGTGAGAGAGTTGGGTTTAACGCTACTACCATAATGTCTGTTATATCACAGCGTGTCATTTTGGTGTGGGAGGTAAGCCCGAAGTTGTGCAGGCTCCTGTGCTGACGGCTTCTATGACCTAGAAACAGGGCGAACCCAGTATAGGCCGTGGGCTAGGTATGAAAAAGATGTACTCAGGTTGGAAGATGATGGGCTCATAGGATGGACGCCGAATTGGGCGGCCAGCTAGTTCCAAAGATTCAATTTCAGGTTGTTTCAAACGGTCAAGGTTCATTGTAAAACGCTGATAATATTCTCTGTGATAGCCATGGTTTCTTCCAGAACTGCCGGCAGGCTTGTACATGACACTTCCATTTGATTTGGCGTTTCTGGAGGTTCTGCCATCCTTCTGATCTCTCCTTCAGCTTTTCGATCTTCTCATCGGGATCTATGGCTTTGCTCAGACGTTGAAGTGGGCCATACTTCAAGCCAGGTACATGTATGATGCACACTGGCTCTGGATCACTGGGGATACGTTTCCGTTTAGGTTGACATGTCAAAGCTTTCTTTGAGTTGTTCCCGGTTGTATAAGATGTTGGTCTCAGTCACAACAGTTCAACCTCAAAAGACACATAATCACGGTGATGACATTGTTACAAGGTGGGACATTTCCATATATATTAACTTGGGTATTCTGTAAGAGAATCTTAAGTATGTAATTGGAATATCCTTTATTTCTGTGAATGCATGGTCCCTGTTCATTTCAAGCCATTCATATACGATTTGGACGATTCGCATTTGGACATTATCTGTAAATTACAAACTTAAGTTAGCTAAGTTATGTATGAACTAAATGTTAGTAAGTGAATTCGTCTTTCACTTTCGGTGGTTCCCCCTGCAAATTCACCTTAACTAGTAGCTGTACTAAAGAATCTGAAACTCAACTTGAAATGGCCAAATTTGTCAAAATATCAAGCCAGCGTCCAAGAAATTGATTTGTATATTTGCTGAAATTACATTAACATTATGATCAGTTTTTTGCACAGCTTTATGGTTGCCATCTTGGATATGTTACACATAGGTCCATTTTTATTCAAAGTTCTGAAATCGACTTGAACATTATACTGTGAACCTCTTATATGCATACAAAAGTGAGTGATATCAGAGTTGTCAAGAAGTATTCTGTTTGATTGTCCACAAGTAGATCAATAATCAGCCTACATCAAATTATGGTGTTTATATATGTTTTCCTGTGGTATATAACACATCGAGATCGGTGAATAACACACAAGATGACAAGCCAAATCCTGAGCATACATCCAAGCGTTGTTCAGATGTAGCTAAGCCGAGAATGCAATATTGGGTATCCTACTCTGATATTATAAGAGTAAATTTGTTCCAAATTGTGCAAAAGATTTTCACCTGGTAACATCACATGTTAAGAAGTACTAGACGATTACGTGTTAGACGATTAAAGTGGAATCAGGCACACGTACCTAGAACATATACCGGATTACAGGTTTCTGCGAGAAGAATTTGGTTTTGTCGGGATATATGACGTTCGATTTGCCATGGATTGGTCCATATTCACTCAATACCAACTATTGAAACCTCATTGGAGAGGTACTTATATATGGCTTCCAGTCGTATATCACACTTGAAGATCAGTGGATCACTAGTGAGATGACAACCCAAAACGTAATCATACCCCCAAGTGATATACGGCAAAACCGGGCGAAAACGCGATATAGGGTACCATACTTTGAAAGGCTGTAACAACAAGTTCGTCCCAACTTTTTTCTTGTTAACATTCAAAATCATGTTTAGTATGTTTATGGGCTTTAAAAAAAATTAGTTGGGTTTGGATGTTGGGGGGGTGCTCGTGGGTCATACCTAGCCCACGGCCTAGTACTGTTGTTCCTATTCTATACTAGGAATAGGATGACAACTGTGCCATCCGTACCACTGTGTCAGCTCTTCTTTGTACTCTTGGTTATGATTTCACATATTTTTTTAATATTTTTTAATTACTTAGCAGCTGCTTCCGGTAGAGCTGGATATATTTACCCTTTTCGCGAACACATGGTATCATCACAAAATATCGGGGATCCGTTCATATTTTCACCATTATTTTTCCTTTTACGTCCAATTGATAAAAGAGACTAATCAATCTCTGCCATTGACGTTTAATTGTCCACGAAATGTCCATCCGTTCTGAACATGCTATGTGAAGCGTCTGAGCAACTGGTTTGGACGCTCTCTCTATAGATATCTCATCGAAAACGATGTTAAGTGACAAATACTTAAACGTGTATCGCAAGTAAATTATACAATCAGTTACATTGTACTGAAATCCGAGTAACACATGGTATAAAACACAACTTTCACGACCATACATGTTGTGTTAACAGTGTTTCGACCTGCATCAATGTTTTAAAGGTTTAAGTTATGGTTGAACCATGATAAACACTTGACCTTCAGCGAAGTTACTGAGAGAGCGTTAGCTGTTTGAAAAGATAGTAGATACATATGCATAGTCTCATTTCCAAATAGTTGATGCTTTGGGGAATAATCAAAGGGCGTGGTCGTGGGCTCAAATCTTTCATTCGCCATGAATGGGATTCTTGATGGATAGGCACCAATCCTTGTGTTCATTGTTTCATCAGAATGGTAAACTGTACAACGTGTGCGTCACTTTTGACTTTCCTAACCCTTTATCGAGTGATTAATTAAGGTGTTAACCAATATTTTAGCTATATTACTGCATATAGTGAGTGAGTGAGTGAGTGAGTATGGTTTTGCGCCGCTTTTAGCAATATTCCAGCAATATCACGGCGGGGGACACCACAAATGGGCTTCACACATTGTACCCATGTCGGGAATCGAACCCGGGTCTTCGGCGTGACGAGCGAACGCTTTAACCACTAGGCTACCCGACCGCCCCTACTGCATGTAAGCAAAATGAGTAAACACCGAAGTAATGAGGGTCGTGGACTCTTGACTTTATGATAATAATCAGAGTGAATCTTAGATTCGAACTACCAACGACCGTATCCTTGCACGGCAAAGTGAAGCATCTGTTCTCGGCTAATTTCAGAGTCATCCTTACTCCCTCTCACTGATAACTAATTTTTCCGGGTTAATGTTTAAAGCA